GGAAACCGGTAGTGAGAATTTCAATCGGTGAACCAGACTCTTATGTAGGTATAACCTCTTGATGGTTGAGCGGATATGAACTGCATTCGGCCGAATTTGAGGCTACCGGAAAAAGCGACTTCCTTTCTTGTTCTTCAAACTTCAAAGCCTGTAGCCTGTGTAGGCTTCGATGTGAGTCGTGAAGATGCTGATGAGAAGAATGAAGAAATGGGCGCCTGACCAGGTGGTAACATCGAAAGCTAAGCCTTTCGAAGGCCTCTTGGAATCTAGTGCAAGTTGGATGCTTGCTTCTTGAATAAGCATTGAGCATGCAACAACTTGTGCGAGGATACGTTCAACCTCTCACCAAGATGGACACCGTTTCAGTAACACTTTCCAATTGTCTTCAATCCTTCTTTGCTCCTAAACGGAAGCCCCCAAGATAGGTCTCTTCCACACAAAGCGGGAATCTTAAGAAGCTTGAAACTCTACAACCCCAAAGGTTTTACATTCTGACACTTGCAATATCTAGAGTTCTTTCCGAGATGGGTCAGTTTTGTGGCAAGGCCTCTAAGACGGATGGGGAAGGTGTTCTTTCTTACGATGTGCAGCAGCTTGAGGTTGAGGAGCCTCCTGTGCAAGTGGTGGGGTCTTGGCAAGTGCCTTCAAAGGGTAAACCCTCCCCGTTGGGTCGGCCGCCGCTGTCACCTCCTCGCGATCCTCCATCGAGCAAGAAATTGAAAAAGAGCAAGAGCAAAAAGGATAAAGAGAAGAAGGGCTTTAGACAGGTGAGCACATAGCTGCCGTTCGCTTCGCTTGAAATGGGTGCGTTTGCCAGGATCCTTTCAGATCAGGGTACGTTCTGTGTGAAAGGTCGTCCGTAACTTGATCAAGTTAGCAATATATATTGGTTTGGATACTCAAGAAAATTCTATCATGTTCTCGTCTTCGTTTGTGAAGTGCAAGGGGCGTGACATTGTTGGTCTTGGAATCAAGAGTACAGGCTTTCTGATGAATGCTTCGGGAAGGACTAGTGGTCATGAAACCCTAAGCTTTGGTCTGCTTGTGTTCCTCAAAATGCTTGATTGCTACATTCAACCAGCAGGAAGAGGCGTCAACAGGCGCTTGGATTTTGCTTTGGCTTCAGTCATACGTGGTCGTGAGCTGTTGGGTTTCTACTAACATCGCACAAGCAGGTCCAGTACATGGAACGCACCAAGTCGCAGGGGGTGGGATGAGGAGGTCAATGGGGGCTTGTCAATACTTACCTTAGACTTTCAATATTCCACCCAAAAAATCCAATGATGTATCTTTCTGGTTTGTTTATTGGTAAATCTTGTATCAGCGCGGCCTCAATGTCAGTGAGAATGAGCGGTCTGAATGAAATAAGCAAGTAGGAGCCATCGTGACTTGCTCCGCAAGCCAGCCCCTTACAGCCACTCTTGTCATCGCTTCTTCAGACGCTGGATGCTTGGAGCAGCTTCGGCAGCTTCAATGGGAGCATTAATGAGCGGCAGGGGCGAGAGAAGCGGGTTGGAATCCTTGGGTTCGAAGTTGCCAACCTGGTAATGAAGATGATGAATCTTCGGTTGGCACTGTTTGAAGACGAGCTGAGCCGGTTCAAGGAGGAAGTGATTCTATCGGAAGCGTCAAGGAAGCTGATCTCAGAGGACGAGCGGACGCTGTGGACCATAGCTGCGCTGGATAGGCGGTGGGACTCTGCACGACCCTTATGTCTCCCCTACTTCAATTCAGCACCGAATTCGTGCTCGTTTGTTTCTCTAATTCATTTGGCTCTTCTTTGAAGGCATTGCAGTTGAGGAATCTGATAGGCGTCGGACTGACGTTGTACTCGAAGCTCGCTTCTTTGTCTTTCTGAGGGTTCCCCTGAATGCAGTGATGAGGTTCCATATTCGGGTGGAGAGGGAGTGCCCTGGGAGTTTTTAACATTTGGGGGCTATTTGGGCGCGGGACTTTGCTGGCAGATCGCTTCTTCCAGAGGAAGATTGAAATGTCGACATAGCAATGTACCGGTACTGAGCTCTGCTGAATAGACACCAATGGCGAAGGGACCATCAACTACTCTTGTTATAGAACGTGATGGGGAATCGGTGTTCGGGCAGAGTCCGTGCTTTTCTGTGACACCAGGGCAGGTCGGCTGCATTCTTTGTCACTATGTCGTGCATATCTTCAACCCTTTGACCAAGTTTGACCAGCATTGAGGTCAGGTGGTGGGGACCATTGGGGCAAGCATGGGCATAGTCTGTTCCATTCGGGTTTTTGGGAGTTCTGCTCAGGATTAGCGATGCCCTCCTCTTGCCTCTTTGTGCCTTGCTACGGCCGTTCTGTGTTGTGCGCCTGCCTGGCAATGGCGGGAGCACTAGTCCATTTCAAGAGTGGTCAAGACTGGTTCTGGTATCGCGCCCGGTTGCTTTGGCATTCCGCCAAATCGCATTCTTGGCGATACACGATTGAAGAAGTTGCTTACAAGGGTCCGAGATCTCATCTGGTTTCTTGCTGCCTACCACCCCGTCATTCACATCGAGCCCCTTACTTATGGATACTGAGGGCACGGTTCCGTTCAACAAGTCTCGTAAGGCTCTTCCTTTGACGTTCATTGTTGAGCCCCTCAGTTATCTCGATGGAAGTCCACCGAGTCAGCATTTTGAATTTTAAGCCTCAATATGCTTGGTCAAGATTTGCGAAACGCTTTCAATGACCCACCTTCTGCTTCCCCGCTGCAGGCGGGAACTGGCTGGACTCATGATGGACGTGGCCAGACTGGGCAAGCAGAGTGCCGACGCCGAGCTGCAGAAACTTGACAAGAAATTTGCCAGGTGAGAATCTGCTTCTAGCAAATGGGGACGCACATAGTGTGGGTGTGCGAAAGTTGAGAGGTGGAAGGATCCGCGATAAAGAAAGTAAATATAGGAGGGGCGGAACGCTGGAAGTTTGGGAGGGATTTCGAGCTTGTCTGCCCTCGAGTTGTGGGACAGGATCCACAGGACCCTCTTTTCATTGCGTACCTCCGAGCGGAGTTTAACGACCTCGCATGATACCTCCTACCTCCGATCGTGGATAGTGGACCCGCTTTTCAGTCCTCATGGTGAACTTGAGTCCTCTTGCATGTTTGTAAAGTGTGACGTCCAAGCAAGCGGCTGTCAAATTGCAATCAGATTCAGAGGGGTTCAACAGGGTCTCAGCTTGTTTTGGCGTCACAAGTCATAAACCTCTTTCTACTGGCCTTGAGTAGGGTCTCAATTGTTAGGGGCATTTGGACGCAACCGAACGCCAGGCAGAGACTCGCCATGTCAAAAACTTGTATCTGACTTCCTCGGAAACACTAAGGCCTCTTTTTCTGTACCAACTTCTTCCAAACCACTCACTGTTAAATGTTTTCCAGCCAAGTTGAGTCTTTGCTCTCTCGTTTCACAGCCTTGGTGCCGAAGGTGAAGTACGGCCGAAGCTGTCGCCGTCCGAGGTGGAGGCAAACATCGAGTGGCTACAGGAGCAAGTCGCTTCTACGGCAGTGAGTGCTTTCAATCTTTTTTGCAGAGAACAGTTGTTCGCCTGAAACTGCTTAGCCGGGCTCTGGGATTGTATTGTCAATCTGACCAGAGCTTGCAACCAGTGAATCGAAATCGTCCCTTCGATTTTCGACTTGCTTCAACATTCCTTGGTCTAGGGAAAGGTCCATTTGGGCCCCGAGCAAGCCGAATCCATTTTTCCAGATCTACAGAGAGGGATTGAACGAAGGATCGCATGTGGCTGGAAATGCGGGCTCCTTACCAGCGCTGGGGACAGTGGAGAATGAGTGTCCGTCGGATGTACATCAGGGGCGTAGGCGAATGATATCCTTACTACAGTCCAGAAAAGAAGCATGCCAAGCCAGGCTGGGAATGCTTGAGCACACTTCCGCCATAAATTACATTGCAGGATAGTGAATTGTTTCGTTTCCTCTGCAGGACTTGTATCACGAGCTGCTTGCGTTGGACACGGTGAATGCGAGCCTACGGCGGACCCAGGCGGAGGAGGAACAGTTCCCGGGAACGCAGAAAGGTGAGATAACGTGCCAGTCGTCTCTTCCCCGAGGTTTGGCAGCTGCTTTTGTTTTTCCAGTTTTGTTGGAGTATTCGAGGAAATGCCGATATGTCCCAGTCGATGGGGCTGAGGCAGATCTTCGAATCTGATGGCACATAGAATAATCTTACTGGGGTAACAGAATGGGATACAAGGTCGTTGGCTTTGTGCGCTTACCTGCAAGAAAATGGACTAGATTGGAGGACGTTCTGCCGGGTGATCGCCCGTTGATCTGCTATACATTCAATGAACCACAAATTGAAGCACCCGGCGTGAGAAGGAGAACCATACAGGCTTCCTTATCCGCCTGCAAAGAGCGCGTGCTGAAATAGTCGCCTGCTCATAGAGCCTTTGCGCTCTTTTTACGGGCGATTGTCTATCTGCTCCGACCCACGCCGTCGTTAGAAACGCCGGTGTGCTGGTCTTAGATGCATTTAGCTTGATACGGCATGGTACCCGTTGAGAGGGGAATATGAAGACACCTCTGATCGCCTGCAGAGAGTGCGATGGCGATGAAGCAGGGGGCAGAGGATCCATTTGCGGTCGTTCATTCGGACACTGGACCGGAAACTCGGAAGCACCCTGCCAGTAGATCGGGCATCGTGCTGCTCCAATACTGCACGGAACTTGTGGGAAGGAGAATTGTAACAAGTTCAGTCTGCAGATTTCGTGGAGTCCCAAAGCAGCCGCCTTTTCAGAGCGCTTCTGCGCCTCTTTCCAGAAGTGTCGACTATTCCTTCGAGTACGCCCGTTCTTAAAAGCCATATGTAAAGATCGAACTGTATCTGCTTGCAGCGAACGTTACGGTGCTAAAGTAGCAGGCAAAGGAGCAGGCTGGCTTATCGTCAGAGAGATTACCAGATTCTTGAGTACATCCTGCCATTAATGTGCGTTGTGTTAAAATATCCAAACAGCCCTAGAATCCGCACGAAATTCGTTCTTCAAAGAGGACTAAGATCACTCGAAAGAGCCTCTCTCCGAAGGGAAGCTGCGCACTGGCCCTCACTCGTTGTGTAGTCTGGCGAGGCACTGCACTAATGAGATCCCGGACAGGGAATTGAGTACTTTCTCAATGCCCGCAGAGAGCGTGGGCGTGCTGAAGCAGGAGGCAGGGCGCCTTTGCGGCCTATCTTCAGGTCACCCGACCGGTCTTTTGTTAACACCCTGCCATTATGTGTGAAGCATTTAATGAATCAAGACCGGTTACCGCAGAGGTTTCAAACTTGCATCTCTCTCCTTGCCCGCAGAGAGCGTGGGCGTGCTGAAGCAGGAGGCCAAGGAGCAGGAGCGCCTGGTGCGCAGCCTCAAGAAGAAGGGCCTCTGGTCCAAGAAGCTGGACCACATCCTAGAAGTGCTCGTCGAGCTAGTTTATGCGCTCTACGAACAGCTCATTGACGCCTTCTACCCCGAAGGTAGGCCAGTACCTTCGGTGCTAAAAGTTTCACAAATTGCACCTCCTGTTGAACCTCATTGTTCTGTTGCTTAGTTCTATTCCTTCGAATGGGTATCCTCGTCCTTACAAACAGCTCGTTGGGGCGTTCTGTCCCGGAGGCAGGCTATCCCTTCACGACTTCGTGATGGCGTTTTCGTCGTCCGTCCACGGCCTCGGACGTGTTGTTCGTCGCTGCTTTTGAAACGTCTTTTCGTATCCTCTTTCAGTGAGCCTTTCATCGCATATGTGCATGTGCTACTCAGTTGTTCGATTTTCTGGCTTGGTGAAAGAGGACGGAGCAAGCAGGAAGTCCTGCTCCTGCTGCGTACCGTCGGCAACTCTTCAGCGATAATCCGTTCTTGGAACGTGTTCTCAACGTTCAGTCATTGCGTTCCGCTCTGTCCTTTTCTTGACGTTCAGTGCGCTTATTGACGTAAGTCGGTCGCCCGTGAGTTTTGTTGACTTTATGCGTTTGTTGACTTTAGTGGTTCGGGAGAGGCCTGGCCCTAAGAACTGAACAGCCTCTACGAGCAGGGATTTTTGCTAGGGAACGAAGTTTTGTGATCTGGAAAAGCATCTTCGACATCTGAGCTTGTTGATACCGTGTTTGCCAGTCATGGAGGAGACCCTGCGCGCGCACCCCGCAAAAGCGGGCCACGAGAACGAGCTGGGCGTGCAGGGCCTCTCGTTACACTACGCCAACGTCATCTCCGCCATCGACAGGATGGTAAGCACCGAGACCCTTTTTAAACAATCAATGGGAATGCTTCAGAGATAAATTTATGGCGAAAGCGTTCGACCAATGCGTATTGGATGGATTAAGAGTTTGGTATGAAGAGAGGATTCCTTTTGAACCCCGAAGGGGTGGATTGCCAACTGAGACAGACAGTTAGACAGACAGACGGTCGAGAAGTTCAATTCAGCTTTAGACTAAGTAAATGCTTGTTGGTCGGGGTGTACTAGAGGGTCGCAGCCAGGTTGTTGCTCTTCACAGAAGGCGCTTTTTGTGCACGCCGCTTGAAGCGTAGCTGGCCGCAGAGTGGCCGGTCGGAAGTCAAGCAAAAGCTCGAGTTCCTGTGTTTTGGTCAAATTATTCTTTCCCAATTTGTGTCATGTCTGGATCGCCACACCCGGCCGGATATTTCCAGAGCCTGATCTCCTTGGCTACGCATTCTGGGCGTCAATCCTGCATCCTGCATCCCTAGCTCTTCATTCAAGCCAGGCACTGAATGTGGATTCATGAAGCACCGGTACCTAAACTAGGAGATCGAAAGGTGTACAAAGTTCCACTTTTAGAAGAGAGCCCAGAGAGACGATTCGGGGTCTTATTCTGCTGTTCTTACTTACCTCCAGGTATCGAGGCCCAACTCGGTGTCCCCTGCCTCCCGTGACGCGCTATACCAGATGCTACCCCAGGGAATCAAGGCCTCGCTCCGAGACGAGATCAACAAGCCTCTGGAGGACGATTCCGTGGCCGGAATCCGCCGGAACCTGGACGTGATTCTGGACGTTGTGACACCTGTGGCCGGGAACACCGTCAGGTGAGCTGGGCTCGCATGGAGCTTTTCTGGGCTGCGAACCTTTCTCGAGCTTCCTGATCCGAAAATGCCTTCCTCTTCAACAGTCAAATGCTGGGTTGTGTTTCTCTAGGCTCGTCCTAAATTGGCCAGCTGTTTGTTGCAAAATTCGCTCCAACAGTCAAATGCTGGGTTGTGTTTCTCTAGGCTCGTCCTAAATTGGCCAGCTGTTTGTTGCAAAATTCGCTCGTATTTTGTCGGTAGTATTGTCAACCGGCTCGCTTTCGCTTGTCAGGATCTCCGGCGGATGGGCTCTTTTCCTCCCGTTGTTTTCCGATTTTCGCCTTGCGCTTTTCCTCAACCTTATGCCGGTTTAGGAGTCGCTCCAAGTGACCTCCTTCGGGGCGACCCGCCGTGTGCGTCATACCAAATATCCACAATCACTGCAAACTGGTTCCCTCACGCTTTCCTGAGATCCTAAGAAGAAAATTCCAACTTGTAAACCCTCACTTTCCAGGTGTTGCTCCGACGGCCGTCTGCAAGGCCACTCAGACCTGTGCCTCAATTTGTACTGACTCTGAACCACGTCATGTTACACATATACAACTTTTACAAGGTTTCACCAGAAGCCCGTAAGAACCTGACTGCTGAAAGTCCAGATTATTTCCTCTCGTCAGGTGGTGCTCCGACCGCCGCCTGCAGGGCCACTCCGACCTGTGCCTCATGCAAACGCTCCACCACGCCGATCGGGCCCGCACCGAGTCCCTGCTCCTCGACCTTGTTGTCAACCTCCACCACCTCATGTCCCGCGCCAAGAACCCCCTCAACCCCTCGGGGAAGTCCCCGAACCGCACCCCCAGTCGTAGCCCAATCATGACCCCCCCCCGTGCATTTGCCGCGAGTGGCCCGGATGCTGACGTGGCGGAGGCGCTGGAAGAGATTCCGGTGCATCTGCGGGCGTCCGTCGAGCCGAGCGTGGTGGAACGGGCGGACGCTATTTTGGCGAAGTTGGATGCACTTCGGACGGTGCACTTGCAGGATAATCGGGCGGCGGGGGTTGCGAGCGGGCGTTTCGTGGAGGTGGGCGGTTCGGAAGCGGGCGGAATGAACGGGATGGGCGGAACGAACGGAATGGGTGGAATGGGCGTGCACGATAGTGCTCGGCGGCAGAGCGGTGCAGACGGAACTGAGTTGCGGGATGCGGCCCGGCGGGAAGAGTCGAAGGGCGGTGCGAGGGCTTTGGGCGCGGTCGAACTAACCGTAACTGTCGACAACCGGGAAGAGGCAGATTCTAGCGAACCGACTGCAGGGAACGGGGTGACGTCAGCAAAGAGCCCGCGGATGAGCCCGGGGGGGAGCCCGCGGGGGGTCTCTTTGTGGACGGCGATGGCCGATGATGTGGAACGGCGGAAGTCCGAGGACGGCAGTCAGACGCCGGATGCACGAGAAACGGTTCCATCGGATGCGTTCGCTGCGGACACGTTCGATAGCCCCCCGGGGTGGGGTCTCGGGCTGTTGAGAAAGTCGATGAGTGTTAAGCGAGACGGGGTGAAGGTCGACGGAAATGCTTCGGGGGGGGTGGGCGATCCGCACGGCGGAACGCATGTGGGAACTCAGCCTGAGGGGCCGACGAAGCTGCACAGAGCGGGTTCGGGCGGGATTCCGAGACTCGGGGAAGAGGACGTGAAGATTCTGCCGAAAGGCTGGCATCCGGCGGACCGCATTCTGGAAGGAGAGGACGGGGAGGCCGTTTTTGGGTTCAGGAACCGGTTAGGCAGTAACCATAGCGGTTCCAGCCGTCACTACGCCGGGTTGAGAGGGGAGGGGAACTTCAGGTTGAGCGAAGAGGAAGGGCCGTCGACGGATGGGGTTAAGCCGCACAACGGGTTGGTTGGGCCTGACAGGCTTCGGTTAAACGGTAACCAAGGAGGGTTAGAGGGAGTTGAGGATATGTTCGCACGGGATCACTATGGAGGGCTGCGGGGGGAGAGTTCGTTTGGGTCAAGCGTCAAGATCGCCGAGTCTAGTGGGGCGGAAAGTCCAGGATTACAAAGCGAGGTCAGCCTAAATGACGGAATCGGTTTAGCTGAGAAGTTCCATTCGGATTCCTACATAGATCTCAAGGTCCGAGGTTACAAAATGTCGTCCGATCTGTATCAGCCGACGGGCCTCGGACCAAACGGGACCTCGAACGGGCAATCGGACCACGGCTTGACCCACAGCGGGGGTGGGTTAAGGCACGGGTTTGGGTCTGACCTGCAGATCGGAGCAGTCAACGAGTCGGATCGGGTTGGTAACGGAAGTGCGGACTCAAACCCGTTATCGACGCAGAGGTTTGCGGAAGCAGCTGGCAATGGTGGTGTTACTGACCAGGCTCGGTCTCCGGGTAAGTTGAATGCTCATGTCAACGCTAACTTTCAGATGTATCGTTCAAGCGGGTCTCCGTTGGCAAAGGAATGTGGCAGCTTGGAGGTCGTCCTGCGTTTGCAAGCATTCTCAGATTGTCCACGGAAGAAAAGCTTCGTGCATTATTGACTTCTTCAACACGTCCGAAAGCATTGTGTCGCTCTTGGCAGGGACAAATGCAGAGATTCTCTCAACGTGTGTGTATGTATCCCACTTTCCTTTCGAGGGACCAATTTTCGCTAAAGCCGTTCTTTTGAAATGCAGCCGTTACTGAAGGAAAGCTGTCAGCTCAAGTCTTAAAAACTGCTTCGTGAAACCCCGGCTATCAACCACTTTGCATTTACAACCCCTTCACTCAGGACATGGTTGTCAGTACTCTACTCCTCTGGTCTGTTCTGCCGCTTTGTTCTGATTTCCGGTGAGAGGAGGTTGAGTTGAAAGCTAAGGCTGTAGGTGCAGACCGTAAAGACAGCATTCCAGAGACCTTTCAGCACCTCCTCTGCTAGTATCCAGCTGACGTTGGTTGACCCTTGGTCCTCAATATTGCTTCCCCACCAACTTGCTGCTAACGAATACTTGTCTGCTTGGCTCAATCTAACCTAGATTTTTGGACAAATCAGACGCGGACCCTTTGGCCGATATTCAAACGATGCTGGACGGAAAGTGCGAAGGTTGTCTCCATTTCTCCCTTCTTATGCAAGTCCTCGGCTTCTGGAATATACGTCACTACCATTTGAAAGCAAAACATTCATAATGCAGATGGACAAGCCCCGGTACAAAGCTACCCGGGCGACTTTGCCAAGCTCACCCACCGGTCATCCGACCCCGGGGCACTCCCCTCGAGGCCCCACCCACCGTCCCATTCCGCGCGGAGCAACAGCTACAGCGGCCCTCAAGACCCTACCGGGGCTCGAAAGTCCCGCTTCAGCGTGCAGGGCTCCTCGCAGGGGAACGACACCCGTAGTTATAGCGAGAATAACCTCCACGGGTTAGGCCAACCCCCAACGAGAAAGAGTGGGGAGTTGTGGCACGATGCAAGGAAACTGAGCGGAGAGCTCAGAAAGCATAGCGGGGAGCTTAAGTCCCCGGGGAGTAGTAAGAGGCTTAGTCATGAGGTGCTCGGGTCGCCGAGGACGCCCCGGCGGTCGAGCCCCAATAGCCGGTCGTTGCATAGAAGGACGGGTTCGATGTCGCGGTCCCCAGGATCGTCTATGAGCTCGCCCCGGTCGCTTGAGCCGCTCAGTCCGGCGGGCGTCATTGACATCGATTTGATTGATATTTGAGACGGCCCATAAGGGCACTGGTTGGCGAGCAGCTCGATATGAGTCATAGTCTAAATGGATCATCCAGAGAGCCATGAACCGCATGGTCATTTGGAAGGCTAAAAGGAGCAACTTCAGGTCATTGCAGGGCGCAAGAGTCACCAACTCTCGAGGATTGACGCATGCTTCAAGGAGTATGCATCTGTGATTTCACTCCTGAGGTTTTTTGCTAGAGCTCCATGATGATTTCTGGCAGCGTGTAGTGCGTAGATACTTATAGTCAGGAAGCGTTACAGGCATGAGCCTGAGGTACTGCGAGATACCGTACGGTATGGTATGTTCATCTTGCATGTGCGTGGCCAGGACGTGTTGGACGATTGATCTGACATGGACGGTAGTCGGACTCATTACATTAAAATCTGCTGGATTTAGTACTGCCTACAAATCTTCGATCGATTTGGTACTGGATTGAATATAATAGCGCACACAATGATGGGCAGCATATTCGCTGACACCGGGAGCCTGTTAAAGCGGGCAATTGTTCCGACGCGCGCCACACAGTGCATTGTTCGTATTGGTACATGACACACACCAGGGTACTTAACATATGGCTCGCAAAAGCAAGGCCTCAACATGATCAAAGGCGGCGTGGGCATGCATGCTCGATTAGCGATCGGAGTTCCCATGGCAAGATCGGGACATGGCCGTCTTGATTCGTCGGAGATGGCATGGAGAAGTTATTGAAGTCGAGACGTTGCGTGTCCACCTGTCAGAGAAAGATTTACTTGCAGGATGAGGTACAAATCGCCGTCGATCGATGTTATCGTCCATGCTGACCGTCGATTTCATGTTGGGGGTTGCGCAACCCTAGGCCTTGAACCGTCGCACGGTACCTACTAGTGTCCTCTACGACAACTTCCGGTACTCAAGCGGAAGTTTTGCGACGGGGGTCCCAGTCAGCCTACAGTAGTAGGCTCATTTTGGCAGGGTAGTATCGAACATTTGGATTCCGATGTTTACGGCGTAGAAGTTTTTGGCTAGACTTCTCACGCTACCAGGCGGTATTTTAATCCTAGCTTGGAAGTTCTCGGCTGCTGCCCGGTCCAGTTGTTCCTGTCTAAAGGTCTCGCAATGAAAACTTTCACATGTAGAGGCTTCTGACATGAAGGTACATTTTACCGTACATAAAGTACAAGTGTATTTATGTTTTTCGTACGGTACTGACAACATTTGTACCTCGCAAGTCGCGACTCTGACACATTTGGGCTTCGGGGGTACCACCGCGACCCGCGATACACATAACTCCACCACCGACTGAGTACCGGCCCACCCCCTCCAGCGGCAAGCTCCATCGCACGGTGCAGAATTGGATATTGGAGCATCCACGGTTAATTGTACCTCATCCTGCAACGCAATCTTCTCTGACAGGTGGGGGACTTGGATTTCTCTAAAAACGTTAGGGGCATGCTTGCACGCCTCTTCTAGAACGCTATGACAATCAGGCCGGAGAACTTAGAACCAGGACCACGCAAAACTTAAAATTTTGATGGTACTCGGACATGGGTTACAGTAGTCTAGGTTTATGTGTACGTCGACTTAGTACGTTGAGTTGGGTCATGTGGCTGGGGGATGGGTGAAATTGGTTTGAGGGTTTAGGCTGGGTACGCGTGCGGAGCATGTTGACTTTTGGTTCAGGTTTGTGTTTCTTTGAGCCCGGGGACTTCATCTAACTCAACATACAATCAACTTGACATATGATCGAGACGTATGCAAATTACTCCAATGCCTTGCGCATGCATTTCATTGACCACCTTAATGGCTGCAAGACGTCGCCATATTGCATGCGGGCATCGGGATTGCTGTTATTGTATCATGCAATGTTCCTACTCTTAGTCGAGATTAGAAGAGCACCTAATTTTAACCTATTCTCGGCTCGATATACCTAAGACTCAACGGGGTTATTTCTAACCAATGCAGACTACCTAATCAGCGGCCACGCGCGCGCGCTACTCCATTTTTATGGTTGATCTCAATTGCACTTAGTCCTTCGCATACCTGACAACTCGCTACTTACTCTGAAGATCCGCTTGCTTTGGAATCCTCGTTTTCCGACTGGGCTTCCCGGATGAGATCGTTCATCATTTGTTCCGTTGTCTGTACGAAACAAAGGTAATGACGTTTTTACAATGCTTGCAAAGGTAGTGGAGCGCTACATACCACTTTGGGATCAATCCTTCGATCTGCTCCGGACCAGATCAGTCTGTGGAAAGTAGTCTGACAAGCAGCTTAAGTTCGCATACTAAGTGCCTCCACCACGAACATACTCAATGCAGGCATGTCCAGAGCTGCGATCGGATTGCAACACTCAGGTAGGATTGCGCAGTATCCCTGCACTCCAACCGACCAAGAGGCGTACATTGACTGATGCTGAAACTAGTGGCAGTGCAAAAGTGAAGCTTACAAGCAGGTTAAAACAGCAAATAAGGCGACTTTCAATCTAGACTAATCCAAATCAACCCGAGACAGTTTTCTAGGCACAATATGCTGACTATAACATTGAACTCAGGCCTTGGAGGGGGAAGAAAGGTGGCTCGATTAGCGAAGAGCCAGTCAGCTTACGAGGATGCAAAACGTTCAAGAACAACCAAGTCAAAGACGAGGAGTAGTTACTCAAAGATGGATTAACCATTTAATGCACAGGTGTTCGGATAAAAAGACTCTCACCCCTGGCACCAGTCGCTTGATCAAGATATCGGAGCCTGGAATGCGAATGCCCAACTGGAAGAGCTGGTCAAGCTTAACCTGCATCAAAGAGCAGCAAAGACAGCAATGACTGTACTGAAAGCACGTTGAAAAACAAGCTCCTCTTGAAGCTTTTGCCCTTACAGCAAAAGGGGAGCTCAGATTTCTTCGAAAATTCAGGACCAAAGCGCATCTGTTTGACACAAGAAGACCCCAACGTCAAGTAAACAGAATGCTTTCAAGAGCGAGGGTTACCGTAACCTTTTTGGCTTTCGTTTTCATAGTAAGGCATTGTATCCTGGTACTCTCGCTCTCTCTCTCGACGAAAACTCTGAATTGGTCCAGACTAGACATTACGATAGGACGTCGAAGTGCCGAGCAAGACTCCCCCTGCAGAGATGACAACTAGAGTGGGTCGAAAGCGAGTCCGTCACCTACTCTGGCACACTGCCCCCCATTGCAGTCGGCATCCTCAACCTGCCACCGACCATCAAACACGCGCATAAAACCTGGGCGCATCAGCTTGAAATACTGCCGCCCCTCCTTTGGATAATTCTCATACAGAAGGCGCGTCGCAACGCTGCCCTTGAACCAGAGGACACGGTACCACTGATGCCGGTCCATCTCGAACCTGGTGAAGTCTGCGGAGATGAATCACGTCTCAGCAACCGACTGCGATTTATGGAGGTGTTACCTCCATTTGGAGAGCAGTAAGTTTAATTGACATCCTCTTGAAGTAATGAACTGTCCCAGCAAAGTTTCAAACTGCAGATCTTTCTACCTTCAGCTGAAACAGAGTGATTAATAAGAGGATTTGCAGCATTGTCAAAGTCGCAAGAACACGGAAAGACCTGGAAAGCGTGAAGAAGTGCCGCATTGAGATTGCACTGTAAATGGCACTCAAGTAGCAGGGAGCCTTTCTCAAGGCTCAAGTTCACATTCAAGAACATATTGACAATCAACATTGTGAAAATATCTGGGCATCCTGCAAAGTTCCCCCTTTTTTGCGCAAAGGGCATCTTCTTGCAAGGGGACTGCAGCTTGGATTCTGATGATTAAATTTTACGAGACTCTTCCATACAGATCTCAAAATGTCAATCTGTTGGCTGATTGCCACGGTCAACTAGCTTCTGTTACTGCCAGTGGTTCGAGCAAGTTTTGCCACCAGATTACTCAAAGAATGGTGGCAAGTGCCTGTGCATGCATGCAAGGATGGAATGCCAGACGTTTTGCCACGATCTCAACACTGTTCGAGGTCAATTTGTGCGTGAGGAATCAGGCAAAAAGATTCATGCCAGTACAAAGAGCTGAGGAAGCCTTAGTGTTGGGTAGACGCAAAAAGCCAGACCGTGACATTTCGCAATATGATTGTAAAATCAGTGGCCCAAAAGTAGCACAAGAGAAGGTCACCAGAAAAACTGCAGTGTCTCTCCAGAATGTGCTAACAGAAGATCTTAAGCACTAGTGTCAGCATTCTAGCACCACCATCACAGTATCAAATCCCTGCAATCACTTGTATCAGGTTCCAAAGGATCTCACAACATCTCAAAGAAGCTCAGATACTCACCTTTCTGCTTGTCCTCATCCAGAACTTCCATATCACTGTACCCCTTGAAGTTGCTGAACACCCTGGTTGATAAATCCGGGTCAGAGATGATTTTAAAGACCCTTTCTTTAGTCAAAGGGACCAGAAACTCAATTGAAAGATTCCAGAGATTGGTCTCTTTGTCTTTCCAGATTTCTTTCTTTGGAGGGGGCAACTCAGAGGTGTCAGGTACCATGATGAAAGCCGAGAAGATAAGAGTTCCAAACTAGTGGTGCTTGAGTAGTCGCAACTAACTTCCGTGCATGCAACTGATTGTATTGCTCAAAAGTGACGCCGCACCAAATGCCGCTGTTGAGCCTGCAATAAATCTTCCAAGAGTCCGTCCTGGGAGAGTTGTGATTCTGAGACCAGATTGGTGAGAGAGATGAAGGGAAGAAAGTTGGATGAAAGGAAAGTGTAAAGCGCTACCTTGCAGACGCGCCCAGCTCAGCTGAGGCAGCATTAGGGTTTGCATGCAATCTAGGGTTCGTTTTTTGCGCCCCTCTTCTTTAGCACCGTTCGATAAGCAGAAGGGGAACGCGGACTCATAAGACCCGTCCGATAGCAACGACATTCGACCATGGTTGGTTGCAGCACTCCGATAACTCATGTGTGACCTAAGCGCCGTGTGACCTAAGATAGGCACCCGGGGGACGGGTGGGGTTGGTATGGTGGTTAGGGTGGGTTAGGGTGCGGAGCGGGTGATTAATTGTGTTAGGTTTTTAGTTTGATGTGCCCGGGTAACTCGTATCTTAGGTCACACGCCCGTTAGGTCACACGAGAGTTACCGCTATGGTTGCAGCTAATCTGCTTTGTCCACGCGGCCAAACCTTCCCGAGGCTTCGCGCGCGGCCGCTACGCGCGGGTATCGAGAACGGAGCGCGGCCGCGCGAACCGCGCCCGGCAGAGAGCGAGTAAGCGTCTAAGCGCAAACGGAGCTAATCTGTGCAATAGTGTTCTCATGGCTCTCTGGACATCATGTTTCGGAACGTGCATATGCGCTTTGATACCCAGCTCGCCGTCAACAAACTCAGAGAGCATTGATCAACGGGCCGTGGACTATTGAAACTAGTCAACAATGTGTCAACAATATGTGCCAGGCCTTAGCTGCGCACCCATCGACTGACTCACTGCACAACACAAACAGAAACAAATGTACGTACAGCTCTTTGCGTCGAACCTGCTATTGACTCCCAGATAGTCCGAGCGTAATTCTTAATCATGAAATGTCTGAACATCGTCCGACGACATTGGGAATGGCTCAAGATCATGAAGTGCCGTGCTCGGAAAGTTGGAACCCGATGGCAAATCTGACGCAAACGGCTGTAAATGGCGGCAGGGAAGTTATGTGTCCATCAAATTTCAAAATCAGCCTACATCACACAGCGAAGAGCGCTCCAACGAGCTAGCCAAACCGTCGGGAGCCGAACGCGAAAAGGCACTTTTGAGTCCTCGCAAGTCAATAAGCCTTCTGACCTTCTGGGGACCTTCTGACCTTCCCGCTAGGCGGATACGCATGCAGACACATCCGTAACCCGTGAAGCATGCTCTAATTTGTCCCGGCCCCTCAGGGTAGATCAATATGGTGCATAGTGTCTCAAGGCTACCGAGACTACCAGGACATAAAATCTAGGCGAGAGTAACAGATTGAATCGAGTCAGGAAAAACTGCCAGTACGCAGTTTGTAATGTACAGTACTGGTCGACAGTTACTAGGCTCCTTTGCCAGCACAAAGCCTTCCGTCTGGAGGTCGCTCGCTGGGCACATTGAACTTTCCCCTTGAACGGGGTTGCAGAGATTAGTAAGGTGGTCATCTTGTCTATATAACCAGTCGTGACATTGGGCACTCACAGTTGGCAAAATCGTTCGTCTCACATACATGACGTACACTCCAAATCTGCAATTTGACAGCGGATTGAGACCCATATTGGACCATTCATGTATCGATCTTAAAAGCGCCATTTGAAAACCATTCATGGGTGCCTATGGCACCCAAAGAGTGCGAAGTCTCTTTCCTACTTTTAGCGTCTCTGCTACTTCCTTCTTGGCGGATAAAATGCCTCCGAATGAGTTGACGCTTCGCCGTCCCTTTTTCCGCTGATCTTTCTACACATCATACAGCCTGTTCAATCTCACCGGTAAGTTTCGACCCGATGCTTTGGCTTAATGCATACACTGGGTTTGCGATCCCCTGATAAACCTTCCTCTCTTCCCACCAGATCTCGCCCGCCACATCTGCGCCTATGCTTTTCGATTCCGAACGACCCACGATTCCGGTGAGACTGTCAAAAAGAAACCCCCAAGATTCCGCACTGTACATCTCACACCACCGGAATGGTCCTCGGCGGCTCCTTCGGCGCCTCCCTGCCCTTGGTCTCCTGCTGCTCGGTCGCCCTCTTTCCGAAGCCCGCGGGACTTCCGGCGGAAACCCCGGGCGGAAGCACGGAAGTCGGCGACTCGAGGTCTGAAGTCTCTCGGGCGTCCGCTCCCGGCGAGGGCGGAGTCTGGACGGAATACCGGTCGGTCACCGGAATGGTGATGACGTCAGGCTTGCGCGGGGTCGGGGGCGGGCGCTTGGGGACGGTAACGTGAAGGACGCCGTCGCTGGAACATGGAGGCGGATAGCTTACGAGAGACGAGATAAAAGTACCTTCTGCAATCGGGGAGCGCGGAAAGAGGTGCATACGAGGAAAGGAGACGCCAAAGAGGCCGCAAGCGATAACTCCGACGAAGCGGAGACGCCGTATCGCGTATGGAAGCCCAAGAACAGTACGAGACGGAAACAAAGCTGGAGCCCAGTAAAGATTTCAAAGCGATTTGAAGAGATATGCTGACAGGAAGGGAAGTGCATTTAGCCCCACAAATGGTGATGCCCGTTCCCTTCGGAGGACGCTGTCAGGCATGTATTTGAAAAATCTTCATCTGGAGGACCGAAAGCGCAGATTCGAATCGTGCGCAGAGTCTGCTTGAACCTAGAACTTGCACGGATCCGATACTAATCTCGACCTGAGGCCCCGTTAATTAACGGCATCCGTGGGCAGCTTGGACTCGAATACAAAGTCGACCGCTAGAGTATCCTCGTGCATGAAACAGAACCGTTCAAAACCTCTACGAAACATGGTTTTCAAAAACGAAGAGGTTATTCTTGAGTAGAGTTGGGCCCTGTCCTGCTCGACCATCTGAAACATCGAGATGTGAAGCTCGCGGACCCCTGGTTTTGGTACTACCAAACCAAAACAAAGGAAAGAAGAGTAAAAATCATACAACAAGCCGAAGAATAAACCTGCAGGTGAAAAAAACTGCGTCCTTGGGCGCACAAGAGCAGCCTGGGATTTAAAAAGTGGTTGACCAAAAACTCAACTTTCCTAATGCCTACCTACTTCCCGCTCTGACGAACTCCAGCGCTCTAAACCACTCTCTTAATGCCACGCTAGATCCGTATCCTAAGCAATAACCCTAATCATAACCCTTCTTCTGACAACAGCCCACCTGCAGATGGAGTAGGCCCTGTTCGGTTCCGCAGGTGCGAATCGTACGAAGTCGCCCCTTGTAGAACCACTTTATCTTAACCCGAGCGATAATCCTACTTTTGCGCCCGCGGGCAGCTTGAACTTGCGGACAAAAGTGAAGCTCTGGCGCTCATTGTCGAACCACTGGTTACTAAACCATAACCACGATTCTGGTTATTGCAATGCTTGTGAATTTGGGTTAAGAGCTAACCTGTAGGTGGAGTAGGCCCTGTCCGGCTCCGCGTCCGCGGGCAGCTTGAACTTGCGGACGAAGGTGCCGCTCTGCCGCTCCTTGCGCTTCACCTTCACGTCGCGCTCCAGCATCAGGCTGTCCGGCAGCTTCACGCCGCTGATCGTCAGGTGCCGCTTCGCCACCTGGAAACGGGTCAAAAACTTGGTTAGGCACTTTAGTTTTGTTCTCCGCTGCCTTGATAACTTCCGTTGTGGGTGGTTTCGATTACTGTTCTGGCAGCCATGCCGCGAGTGTGAATGTACTCCCCGCCACTGGTCGTCAGGTGACGCCTCTCCACCTGAAATAAGGTCAAGACAAACGAGATAGAGCTGGGTTGGAGAACTTGCTGACCGGTGGAAACGCCCAGAACTCGCTTGACCCTAAGGTTCTGAGACTAGGACTTCAGAAGGGCTCTAGCGTCAGGCTGTTTGGCAGCTTCACGCCGCGAATCGTCAGGTGACGCTTCTCCACCTGGAATCGGATAAGGGTTATGATATCGACAAAGGGTTTTACGGTCAGGGTAGAGGCTTCAGCAGCAAACGTGGCACTCCTTCATAATCCAACGTTAATCACAATCAAAAGTTCTTGGATGAGTAACGAGTCGTAACTATTGTCAAAGTGGGTATCTGGCCTTTTCTTTTGCTGAGTTACGACGGAAAAAACGTGGTCTGCAGCAAGATCCACAAGGAAAGATGAACAATCTTGACCTTGTTTTTTTCCATCCAACACGAAATTTGAACCCTCATGAAAAGAGTTCAGGTTCGAGTCGAGAGGTCAAAACTGTGTGGCTATTAGGCCCTGAGAATGATTTCTCGCCACGTAAAACTGAAGACGAGTCACTGAATTTCTCAAAGATCAGAAGGTGCGTTTCTCCATGAGCACATATACTCAAACGTGATGGGCTCAGCGTTGGACAAGAGATTTGCAATCCGGTGGTCCGGGTCTTCCGAATTCATCGCCCCGCCATTCCCGTTCTAATACATGACCCCTGTTACGTTTGACGCGCATGATTCGACGACTTATGCACGTCGTGTGCAACTTTACAGATGAAGAAGACAGCCAGAAGAGTTTCGCAAGTGACGTCGTGTGAACAGCGGGACCGCACCATCTTTGCTTTGCAAGAAGCGGTTCAAACATCGACAGCACGTCGAATGTAAGCCAAGCGTCAGCTAATTGGCCACGCATGCTTAGCTGAATACGTTTCTTAAAGCAATCTGGCTCAGACAGACGAAGGCTTCAATTGAAGCGGTGCGTCTTTAGAAGCATCAACGAGCCTTTTTCGTCTTTGCCCCCGTAACGATCTCAACAGAAAGGCCAGAATTACCAACCCGGTCGTCACACTCAACGCGACAAATCACCCACTTCGCTGAAGCCTTCCGCAAACATCATTGACTCCAGAAAATTGTCGCCTTCAGTTTCTTTGATGAGACGTGGATTTTGAAGGTCCCACTTTCTACTGCACATCAGAAACGTTTCAACCATACCAATTCAGATTTCTGTTGTAGCCAGATTGTACGAGCGGCGCTTCGAGACGCGCAGCGCCCGTGAATGATTGACAAGCAGTGGCCGGTTGACAAAAATGCACTGCGCACACGCATGGGCTCTGGAACCAGCATCATTTGGTACTGCCGTTCGCTATACGCGATGGCAGCAGTGGTTACCGTCCATCTTTGCCAAACATCATCCAATAATCAAACGCAAAGAGGTGCTCCAAATTGACAGATTGAGACCCGACCGTGGCAAGGTACTCAAGTGACGGATGCGTAGAATCATAATTTGTCTGTCAGCTTCAGTCTGAATATCGACAACGCACCTCCCGTTGAACGAACAGAAAGTAGGGATAGTCGCTCAGGTTGACCTCCAAGCGCCATCGGTGCCGGATCCTATGACTGACATCGTAGAATTCCACAGAGGTCCGTCAACCGTACCGACGGCAGTCGCACGTCTGAAAACCATCTCGCTATTGGCAAATGGTCATGATCAATGGTCTAAGGGACAGGCGCGTTTCATTATTGCTATCACAAAGCCGATTCCATGTTCACACAAACAAGCACGGGGAAATCGGATACTGATAGTCCTCATGCTAACTTTGAGCAAGATACGAATAGCTGTGAAATCAGCATTGTCGACTCCAACTGTTGAAGCCTTGCTAACCGGGTTCGATGTCACATGTGCGAATAAACTCGCATCTGATCAGCTTACTGGGTCTGCAAAGTTGTCCGTTCTAACGTTCTGGTTAAGAAACATCTTAGTTGACCCTTGCCTCCATTCTCGTGGCGTCTCATTTGATCCCCGGCGGCCGGTGAAAACATTTTTGAAGATTCTGCGAATTGGTTTCAAACTTGGTCGAACTTAAACGGTTCCTCAATCCCTCACCTCCACTTCCATGGCGTCCCGGTCGATCCCCGGTACGTCCACCGTGAAGTGGCCCGGGTATTCCGTTCTAGTGACGACGAAGATAACCGGGCCAAATCTGTAAAATCAAGCATCTCAAACCCGGCGAGCTAAAACAGAAATCCTTAACCCTCACCTCCACTTTCATGGCGTCCCGGTCGATCCCCGGGGCGTCGATCGCGAAGTGCGTCCCCTGGCGCGTCTCGACCACGTCCACCGGGACCCTCACGAACCGGGGCTCCGTGTCGGTCTCGGTTTCGGTCTCCTGCTCCTGCTCCGACCCGGCCTGCTCCTGCCCGGGGGATCCGTCTTCCGGGCCGGTGTCGAGGGATCCCGCTGGGAAGATGATGACGCCAGCCTCCTGGCTCAAAGGAACCTCCTGTCAGGCGAACCAAGAATCGACTTCGATACTTCAAGAGGGGACAGAAATTGTGAGTACAGCTTAGACTTGAAACTCGAGCAGCCCAGGAAGTCTTTCGGGAGGCTTCACGTCCGTGTTTCGCGACTGGCGTGATTGTCTACACTCTATCATGCATGCCGGTCCACCATATGTACGGACGGAAGGCAATTTATCGAACCGTCGGTGAGACATCTTTAGATGCTAAATGTTTGTTCAGTCAGAATTCAAGGTTACAACGTAGTCTAGCAGGTCAAAATCCAAACAAGAGACCTGAACGACCATCATGTTACCGTTCTGATTCAATCTGACAAAATCAGAAAGGTAGCTAGACTGGACCCCATATGGGCAATCAGAACGTGACACACAATTTGGATGTGGAGGGAAAACAAAAGATGAACGCGTTTGCATGCACGAAGCCTTTCCTGGTTTCTATCTGTTTCAAATCTACTGAATCTCCCTCAAAAAGAAGGATACACTGGACGGCATTTTGTAGCCACATGCTGCATGCATTCTCTTGCTAAGCAAGTCCTCCTTGAAACTTGCTTTGAATCTTCTTTGGCCATCTTGTTCCTTCTTCACATTCTTCCGAATCCAGATAGGATGGAGATTGTATCAACTTTGCTCGACAAAATGTTCCATAATGAAGGAGCATGCTGAACCGATTCGCAAGTCCTTCAGACCCCAATCTTCAAGACAGACTTTCGCCCCTCAGCTTTACAACCTTGAATGCAGCACCACTAAAGCTCAGAATGACGAGAGCTAGAAGATCTCAAAGGTCGAAGCACGACTTAGAAGCCTCACGGCTTTGCACCTCCTCACCTCCTGCTTATCCTCCCGCGCGTGCTGCGCGCGCTTCCTCTGCTTCTTGCGCTTCTTGCGCGTCGGCTGCCCCGCGCCGCGCGCGCTGGGCGCGACGGGGCCGCACGCGCACGTCGGGTCCAGGAACGCGCTCAGCTCCTCCCCGAGCGCGTCGAGGTCCTCTCCGATCAGGACGTCCAGCAGAGAATCCATGCGGCCGGTGGGGTCCGCCGGGCACGAGCTTTGCGCGCGCGCGTAGAGCGCAAGGCGGAACGAACCTTCAAGCACGCTCTTAAAGCGCCTCAATTTTGAATGCAGCGCCACAGCAAGGGAGATTGGCGAAGCTCAGAAGCTCCTTTGAAGCAGCTTAAAAGCTCCTCCACGATTTGGTTGTCGTTCTTCGGCGGACCAAGAAGAACGGAGGAAGGAAGAGACTTTAGCACTTGTCACACAGTCAGCCTGCCGCCTCAAAAGTGATCTACAGAACAGCGCGGTCTTATGCGGTCGTTCGGCGAACAAAATCGCTGATCCCACTCAGGCGCGCTGCGCCGACCGAAGAATCTGACCCTCGGGCGCGCTGCACGTATCTCAATTCAGAGTTGTGCATGCTTCCGGCGCGTGTTGCATGTGGGCTGAAGTTTGAACCTCTGTCAACACACGCCTGACCTTTTGTACAGCGGAATCAGAGATCGCGTGTCCGCAGCATCTCTCGTCCGCTCTGCCCATGTTTCGGCGACTCGCCAGTGACTTCAAACAAGTCATGAATAGAGCCTGGTGTCCCTCAACGTCCACAGGAGCAAGCACTTCCACAAGCCCAAGCTTCATTGCGTGCAGTGCAGACAAACGCTTCCATTACTTTAGCTGCCGGTGTACTGTAGAAGTCGGCCGCCCGCATTTCATGCAAAATTGAGACGAAGATTTATTGTTGCCACGCTAACGCAGTGACATGCGAAGGGCAAGAGCATGTTGCATATGTACTGGATGCATTGAGCGAGTATTGGACTAAATACGTACCGTGGAGTCCGGGCGCTACAAGGGCCAGCCTTCCAAAATCACCGGTATGCATGTAAGTAGTGGCCCTGGTTCAGGGACCACAGGCTCGGTGTACACATGGAGCAAATGACTTCAACGCTCCCATACCACGTGGGTCAGCGGAGCACAAATACATCACTTCTGAGTTCTGACATCCTTTAATCCGTTCGCAGCCCCAGCTAAGAACTTCGGAACTCGGAATGGCTCATGTCTCAACAGCTCTCGAACAATTTGTAAGTCTGCGTCATATCTAGAGGCTTCCATTGCATGCGCCTTTCAGTCTGCCGTCAGCGACGCTGGCAAAACCCAGACTTCAGAACACGTATATCTTGAAGTCGTTGAAAGCTTTACGTTATGGAGGTAGTTCGACCAAAATAGTCAACACAGAAGTATACCTTTGTACCTAACAAGCTCGCCGTGCGCGCACACTTAATGACGTAAACCGTGTCTAGTGATGACCAAACGTCCAATTCAAGCAGCTAATTTATACTGTTAAACAGTCTAGAATCCCTATCCTGGCGGCTATGCAAACTCTCTTGTCGCATGGAGGGAAGTCATGGTCCCAACTCCTACAACGAACGAATCAACTCGTCGACGACAACTAATGCAGGTATTTTGGCAAATCAGCACCAAGCTTATGTAAGATTCACTCGCTCTGCTTGTAATAAACTCTCCAATGTACAACGCTCGAAGGCCACAACAAATCTAGTAGTTATACCTTTTAAGAGGCCTCACTCCAATCCCGCAATGCCAAACTAAGTTCAGAGCGTTCAGTCGGCCCCTTTCTCTAAGCGCTCTCTCTGCGTCGCGGTAGCACTGGCCGTCACTTCCAAGCGTTCCCCCGTGGCGTCAGCTTCGACCTCCACCTCGACGTCAGACTCGACGTCAGCGTCCACGTCAGCATCCGCGTCAGCTTCCTCCTCGCTGTCGCTGTCGCTGTCCTTGCCCACCTGCTCCGCGATCGGGTCTGCCACGTCAGCTGCAAGGTCAGCAACGGCCCCACCGACGGCGCCTTTCACGGCGCCGATCCCGGAGATAGTACCTAAGGAAAGGATATAGTCACGTCAGGATGAAACAACATTTGCTTTTCAGGATACCGGCGTTGGTCCTGGACGGGTGCACCACAGATTCACACGACAGTCCAGACCAATCTCCGTGCTTTCGGCTTTTTGAAAGCTAACGGCAGAAAGTTGCAGTCGTTCGTCGCCTTCGGTTCCTGTCCGTGGGAAAGGATGCAGAAGCTGACCGTGGTGGCGGTTTGGAGACGAGCGAAAATTGAAAAACGGCTGGAAAAGGCTCCGGTCTAGGCCTATATAGCTAGGAACGACACAAGGAGGGGTTCGACACAGAACACCGAAACGTTGATCGATCCAACCTAGGCTCCCAGCTGAACCTCCTAGACCGTACCTGTGTCGCCACTTCTGTCATGACCCTGGTCGCCTCAAAAAGCGTCTAACCAGCACGCCCGACCGTGCTTGCTTGTCATTACAGACTCCACCGGTACGTACCTGTGGTCGCCATCTCTGTCATGGCCCCAGTCGCCGCCCCCTTGACCGCCCCCCCCAGCGCGCGCGTCAGCTTGCGGAGCGCCGTCTTCTCGGCCTCCGCCTGCTGCTCCTCCTGCATCGGGTGACGTCATGCTGGTCAGCAGTCCGCAGGGGGCTGACGTCAGCGAGTCCGACGAGCCCGCTTCACAGGGCTTTGCGGTCCGAAGGCGGTCTTTCTTAGTCAGAAGATTCCTGTTGTAGCTGGTCAGAAAGAGCTCTGGGATCACGGAGATAAGGAAGGAATGGCGCAAGGCACATGCACTTTCCCGCTCTGTGTGCTGAAGAATGTATGGCGGATAGCAGTGCAAGCAGAACAAAGTCCAAACTAAAACACCCAAAGCCAAGTAAACATACCACCTGAATCGCCGCTCTTTGATCGAATCGTGAAGAACTGTCTTCACTCATATATACTTTCCGTCGTCTCAGGCTGTCGTCTCAGGGTAAGCCTAGTGATGTTCAATTTTCTAATACGTCCCAGATAGTATTTTGCGGGACAAACCACAGGGGGCGAATAGAAGGGGGTTATTTCGAAACAAGCCTCACCGTCCAAAACCCTTTCTCTTGCTTCCGCATCTGCACCCCCTTCTCTTTCAGCAGGCACAGCTGCTCCGAAACCGGGTTATCCACGGCCCCCTCAATCTCTAACCCGACCCCTTCCTCAGCCTCAATCCTCTCTGCCAACTGCGGGTTTTCGATAACCACGTCCGAACCCCCAAACCCGGTCTCGAAAACCAGGTCGGAGCTCCAATGACCCCTCTTCACTCGCAGCCCGTCCACGCTCTTCGACTGAGGCCTCGCGAGCTGCGCCCCGGTCACTTTTCGCCCCTCTTCTTTCACTTTCTGAGTGCCCGGTTCAGAGTCACCGGGCTCTTTAGCACTCTTTCCGCTCTTTTCCTCATCACCGTCTGCCCTCTCATCCACGTCAGCAGAACCCGACAGCCCCTGCGGGATAACGTCATCCCCCACCGCCTCCAACCCTGCCTGGAAGCTAGCATCAACGGCTGCCAACGTCTCATCCTCCTCCTCGTCATCGGCTGCCACGTCACCCCTCCGCGCCGCAACCTCCAGATCCGCCCCCACTTTCACGGGCCGTTCTGAACCCTCCAAAACGCTTTCGGCTGTCGGAAACGGCACCTCTTCAGTCTTCCCCCCCTCGCCCACCGTTTTGTACTTTTTCGCAACGACCTGCAACCGCGCGCCGCTCCTGACGCGAACTTCCCGCCCTCCTCTAGTTGCATTGACCTCCACTACTTCGTCCTCTTTTCTTTTCTCCCCCTCACCCTTGTTCGACTCACCCCCAGTCTCTACACCCCCTTTTTCTTCAATTTCTGGTCCACCCTCCCCCTCTCTCAAAACCTGCGTTTCGGCAATCTCCTTGGCCCCCTCGACTTTCCTCCGGATCGTTCCTTTCGGCTTATCTTCTTCCTGTTTCTTCTCTCGCCCGTTGATCAACTCCTGGCTCTTTTGTGCAAGCGGGTCCACTCGCGACGCGATGGTATCGCCGAAGGCGCCGCTAATTGCGCCTTTAACGGCGCCATGAGGGATGAAGCCGCTTTTGGACGCCTCTTGCGCGGCGCCTGCAATTACATGAGCGTTGCTGAGAACAAGGTTGTTGGTTGTGATGAATACAAAAGTTGGTGTGACTTTTCAACCTGCCTGCTGAGAGATAACTACTTCAATCAGTCACCCTCAAAAAACAGTAGTTTTAGCCAAGGCGCAATCCGGAATGGCAGTAGCAAAGTGGAACGAATGCGGAGCCATGTCAAACGAGATGCCACAGTAAACACTGAACTAGACCCCAAGTATGGGCTTCCCACCCCTGCCCATCCCACCTCCGCCCATCCCACCCCCTTAGGTCAAGAATCACAAGCTTGTCATTCCAAAGCGATAGACCGACCACCGCACAATGTTGGTTCCCAATTCTCGAAATGATACGACCGAAACAGAAGGGCAGAGCCAGCAAGAGCTTTTTCTCTTCAAACAACTCCAAGAGTGACGCACAGAAACCCTTTCCCTCTCAGTCGTCGAACAACATCTGAATGAAGAAAAGCCAGGCAATCCAACCTACCCCAGATCGCCCCCTTCATCGCGCCAGACAGCGCCTTGGTTCCCAGGTCCACCGCATTGCCGACCACCGACACCGCCGTCGTGCTCTGCCGCTCCTCCATTTGCCCCCAAACCATTCCCTCTTCCTTGACCCCTTCCGAAGCCGTCGCATCACTGTGCACATTCACACTCCCCTCGCTTCCGCTCGCCGAATCCGACTTCTTCTCTTTTTCCTTTTTCTCTTCCCCTTCCTTCTTCTCTTTTTTCGTCTTCCGACCCGCTTCCTTCTTCTTTTCGGTCCCGAGAATCTTCCCCATGCGTCCGTCCGTTGTCTTCTCCCGTTTGATAATCACGGTTCCGCCGGACTTGGCACGTAACCGGGCCTCGAGCTCTTCGGCCGCTTGCTCCCCCCGCTCAACAGCGTCCTCGCCAATCTCCTGTGCGGGGGGGTCGATAAAGAGGGAGACCACGTCTGCGACGGCCCCCGTCAAAGCCCCCCGGAACGCAGCAATTTCGATCTGGCCGCCACCAACTGCGCAACAAGGGGGATACAATAGTGAGTTGGAGTGCATTCTGGGGACAAACAAAATTGAAGGAACGACTTGTGTGCCAAATGCTCAAGAGGCACTAGGGGCAAGCGCCATGAGAATATTCTCGACTCTTACAACGAACTTGAAGCCGAAGACTTGTAAAGCAAAGTGTGTCTGAATCAAAAACATATCCTAAAAGGGTTCTTCTTTAGAGTGAAGAAAGTACAACACAAATGCGAGTGTCAAAAGATTACCAAGATTGGCAGGTCACAATCCCAACAACGCTATGCCACACGGTTTGAAATCGGGCCTAATGTCTGGCAAAAGCTGCTATCCCGCAATGGTATGACAAAAGGAGTCCGTGTCTTGTGTGCCGATCATAGGTTTTTTTCCAGGTGACTCTAAAAGGGAGTTCCTCTTTCTCTCTAACAGATCTGCACTGTGCTTCCGTCTAGAAATCGTGTTGTTAGGATATGATCTGCTTCAAAAAACTCAGACAGGGCTCTGCATAAGCTGCAAGAGAACCAAGAAGAAACGAAAAGAACCCAAGAATGTGAAATTGCACAGTGTGTAAGAATTTGGCCCGTACCAGACATTGTCCTCTTTCTTGATCAAACGGGTTTGGGCCGTTTAATACTTGGGCTCCGCACACTAAATGCCAGGGTCTGCTAAATCGCCGGGGTTTACAACTGTTACAACTCAGCAAATCTAATCCGTTCGATCAAGGGTCTGATCAAACGGCCAATTTCATTCGATTGTAAGATATGCCCAAAAGCGTCTTCTCATCTGAGCAACTCCTCACCATGCATCCCAACAGACTCTGCCATCGACGCGGCCGCCCCGCCTTTCACCGCCCCCGAGAGCCCCTTTGCAATGATCCTTGCAACCGGAACGCCACCGATCCGCCCCTCACCGACTACGTTTTCCAAAACCTCTGTTAACTTCGTTACAGACTCTGACACCATCCCCTCGCTCGTGCTCTTTACTGCTCTGACAGCCCCGTTCGCTTGCTGAAAACTTTGACCTACCCTGCTCCGCCTATTTTTGCCCTTCTTCTCTTTGCGTTCATTGTTCCCCTCAGGTGACGCCCCCTCAGTCGCTCCCTCTCTACTTTTCCCAGCTACTCCATTCTCACCTCCCCTCTTTCTGACTTGCGCTTGATATGATTGGACTTTGCTTTGAGGCTCTGCCTTGCTTGGATCCACCTTCTTCCTTCTCGTCAATTTGATCCCCGCATCCGAGGGCCCAGATTCCCGGTCTGACTCCGAGTCTGAATCCTGGACTGCCCCATAAGGATCCAAGACAATCTGCTGCTCCCCTAGCGTCATACTGCCCCGGGGTTTCAGAGGCCTCAACACATTGCTCGTATCACCTTCCACAGAGCTACCCCTGCCGCCAGACTCCCCGGTTCTAGTTGTACCTTCACCAGTTGCCACCTCTCTCTCAGGGCTGAGAACTGCCGACGGTAGACGCCTTGACCTCACACCGCGCCTCTGGCCTCGCAAGGATGCTTTGTCGAGCTTGGACCATGGTTGTAAGTCAAGAAGGCCCTGCGCTCCTCTGTTATCAAACAGCCAATTTGCATGCACCCCTCTCCTTTCCTGTGATTGCTGCTGATCTTTCGCTGTGTTTCGTCTCCAAAAGGACTGACTCCGAAACCCTTGAGCAGGCTGTCTTTTACTACACCGACAGCTGAGATCCAGACTGGAAGACCAGTCCAGCTTGGCACGGCATCTATAAACTGCTGGCGCTTGATTCTTCCAGCTTCTGACCCTGACCTCTCCGAGCGTAATCCCCCACCCTCCAGCCGCTGTGCCATCAATGCTGCTGACGCTTTGCATCTTCCTTTACTCTCTTTCTTTCAGCTCATTAGTTCTTTCTCCAACTACCTTTTCAACACTAATGAAGCTTGAAGCGTATGTATATACAGGACATGCCGCCTGCAAACATGTAAATCTGGCAATGAATTCCTCCTCAGGCTGTCAATCATACCACCATCAGAACTCCCACCAAAATCGGCCTTTTTAGAAAGCAAAGCTCTTAGCACTTTTGCTTACTAAAGTTCAGATCTAAGCAACGATTGAAGTTTTACAAGCCACGTAGAAGAACCCCCTTTGAAAATTTCACAACCTTTCCTTCAATTGCCCGAACAAGCATTGCAATCACTTCGGCATTCTTCTCAAAAGCGGAATGATCCGACATCCTGCTCTCGTGGGGAAATTCCCAAGCTCAAGGGACGAAACAGTTGGCTGAGTTGCTAGAATAGCAGCACTAGCTGAGCACTGAGCTGAGCACTGAGCTTGAGCGTGACAAGGATGCAAGCACGTGACCTAGTTGGGACAGATCAGCGTCTTTTTCGTTTGGACACGTGGCAGCTTTCAGGGGCCACCCGAGATTCGGATGGTCGGACGATATTAAAGTTTGGGGGTCGAATTCTGCCGCGCAATCTGCTGTGTTCGGACGTCCGGTGGGACGGCAGCACCAAATTGAAACATGCATGATGGCGGCGCCGCAGCTTTCAAAGGTGGAAAGAAGAGCTGCGGACAGATCCTCCATTCCAAGCCCTCACAATGTCACATCACACAAGCTAGCAGATGTTGGGCAATTGGGGTGCACAGCATTGTGGTGTTCGTTCCCAGTGCTGTAGAACCAAGGAGAGCAGTTGAAACAGGCACGGAAGGAGGTGACCGCATCTAATGTGCCGACATCAGGCGCGACACAATCATGCGGTACCTAGAATGCGTGCCTAGGCCAGCAGCAAAGTTCGTCCAACAAACATTGAGTTGCTCGAAGGCGTTTCGGTGCCAGCGAATCGTATTCAAATCCAGTGGCGGCTCTTTTCCATTCCTTTTACATCAATCCTCGGCTTGTGCAGCACTTACAGCTCAGGTCTTTGCTGTTGGAAGCTGGGAGAGCAATTGGGGTGGCTTGAGAACTGCCACCTCGGTTAACAGCGGGGTCAATATCAGGTAAGAATGATGTTGATTGTTTCATCGTCGGCAATCTTGTCAGTCCAACGTTTTACTGAGGCTCAATTTGTCACCAAGCAAAGTTGACATGCTGAATCACAGAAAGCAATTGTCATGAGGAAAAGAGGAATGACAACGCCGTACTTGTCCACACCACCTTTTCTTTAAAGTATTTCGGGACTCTGAGAGAGTTCCACCACCTGAAGCGATTGGCATTTCTGTCGCTGCAAAGAAATCCTACTCCAGCTCAGTGCGGTCTCATGGTGGTCACTGAGATACTATGTACGTTGCTGCAATAGCATCTTTGATGTATACCAGTCTCTGGATTGCCTTCATACTGCCCTCTCTACGCATTGTAGGGGCAGCTCCTTTCGCCGTCGTTGAAGAAAGGCAAGAAGAGAGCGGTTGGCTATAGCTAGGAAGATCAAGCTGATCCAATGCCAAACACTGTACATGGCAGCTGGAAAAGCGCTCTTCTGATGTGTTGGCCTGTACACTTGCTGTATCTTGTGCCCTTCCTTGTTGCCGTGCTCAGGTGAGACTGGACTGCTTATTCGATGGCGCCTCTCCAAACATTTGCTATCGGACTTCAATCAAACTTCTTGGACTTTGCTAGTAATCGTCTCCTGATGACTCAGGTACCCCCAACGCTTTTCTCTCAGCTCTTGCTTGTAGGGCTACTCACCATCTGCGGTCACAGATCAAGAACTGTCTACAACTGCCTCTCCTTCTCACAGAAAGCGACTGTTTTTCTATTGCCAGGCACACAAGCGAAGAGACTCACGACCCTGACTCAGACTCTCCCATGCGCAGGCCCAGCTTTGCAAGAGCTCCAGCAACGGTTAGCTTCTCGACTGGGGCAGTCAGCATGGCGGGAGGTGCTTCGGAGCCAGGCGCTGCGGAGTATATTGTTGTCTACGTGACCATCTCAAACGTTGAGGAAGGTGCGCCCGTCAATTCCCCCTCCCTTAAGGCTCCTGGCTAAGGAATGAGGACTCAAGTAAGGATTGGTGTGCTAGTTGGCCGAACTACGAATCAGGACTTAAAAGTGGAGCAGCAGAGGAAATAGCAGATTATAAGAAGCTTCCAAGCACATGTTGGATATGGGGAATCTCACAAGCTGTGTCATAGAACCCTCTAGGACCGAGTGTGATAGCGTGATGCGAGTTGGATGTCTGCGCATTGGTCAGAAAGCTTTTGACAGACTCGATGACATTTCGAAGTTCGCTCACTTCAAACAAAGAGGAAGGCGTTTCACGTTCGAGGCCTTGTTACTCTTATTCTCACGCCGGGGACCAGCTAGATTTAAACAGAGCATCTCCATGTAATAAAGATCAGGCAGCACTGGGTGAGGTAAGATGCATCTGGGAGGCCTAGGTTGAGATCCCGTCTCTCGGCTTCCTTGCTGCTGACGCTGTCAAATTTCTCGCAGGTCGCAAGCTCGCAAAGAGCATAGTCGAGGCCAAGCTAGCGGCGTGCGTGAATATGGTGCCAGGTCCGTGGAGTTTCAACTGCTTGAATCGTCCGCTCGATTGTGAAGCTACTCGGTTTAGAAGCTTGTCTTTTCCAGACTCCAGACTTCTTTGTAGGTTATCGATTCGAGCCGTCTTGGGGTTCTGTAAGTCGCAAAAGGTTCATCTATGACATCCTTGTCGTCAGCCTTACGTCTTCTTCCGGACGCAGGTCTGCTACGGTCGTCACTTTTCTGCTCTAATTGTGATTCAGGCTTCCTGTCGCTTCTGCAGGCGTCGAGTCGACTTATTGGTGGGAAGGAAAGGTAAGGTCCGGTGGATCATACGCTCTTCTAAGTTGTTTCGTACGTTTGGCACCGCAAAAGATTTAGCCTTTGCAGGAAAGCAATATCGGTTTATCAACGTTGCCATGACGAGAAGGTGGCAAAAGCTGATAGAACTGAAGTTTGAAAGCCGTTGTGCCATTAGCTGGGACGCCCAGATTACTCTCCGAGTGCAACACGTCATTGTCTAACTTTACGAAAACGTCAAGCCTGATGGGGACGCTTCGACAACAACTGGACGGTCTGGAAATTCGCAATCCTTATGAGCGACTGGCAATCGTACAATCTGTCCAACACGAGACGGCTTTTGAGAGCGCTTGTTATTTTTCGTCGCAAACCGTAAGTAAGTACCTCCCAATCATCCCGGAGAGCAAAGAGGGTCGACGGAAGGGATTGTCCTTCATACCCGGGGTCGAGTCAAGTTTGCGCTATCCCTAAAACCGGAGAGCGGTTGAGAAAACGCTGTCTCTTTCGCGTTGAAAATTTCCAGCGGATGTCCCTGAGAAACCGAATGTGGTTAATACGTAGCATCCCATCTCTGTGCAGATGACAAATGCTGATCAAGTAGTTTTTATTTAAAATTAAGAAAGCTTCGCGGACGTGGTCATCCCGTATTTGTGCAGGTAACCACCGACTCCGAGGTGCTGCTCATCGCCAAGACCCGCCAATCCCTACTAGGAGAGCTGACCGCCTTCGTGAAGGCCAATCATCCTTACGAGTGAGCACTATGATTGTTGATGGCAGAAACACTCATTAATCCTCATTTCCGCTTTTCGGCAAACGCAGGTTAGTGGCTGCGTTAGCACAGTCGTTTTGCCGCTCGACTCAGCACAGCTGACGAAGTATTGTCCTAGGCTTAGTCGTAAGCTGATTCGCTCGCTAAAAGAGAATGAACGCGTTCGAGCAGGGTGTGATTCCTGTCACGGAAAACAAGGTCCTGAAATCTGGACGACCTGTCGTGCTTTCGACCTTACTGCTTTGCTTGGCGGCTCAGGCATCGCACTGGAATGTTTTTTTACTGCGAGACGCTGGCACAGTGGGCATCATCAGACCGCAATGCCACTGGGCAGGCACTCATCTTATCTTATGTTCCCAATCTTAGAAAAATTTGCAATGAAAGCCTCGGAGGAGCAGCTGGTTCTCTGAAGGTCTCCTCATTGTCAAAGACAACTAGGTTTAGCTTGGTGTCAATTCCAAACCTTTAGTTGACGGAGTCCCGGAGTGCGCTTAGAGTTATGACGTGAACAACGGAGATATTTGATCTCTCGAATGCTGCTGCCGCTTCATTTTAAGCTGAGTGGCTCCATGTGAATCTTCTAGCTAAAGTCCGCATCTGGAAGTCTGCATCGACCTTCATTGTAAGCGATCCGATCATCTTTGCAGGCTACCGGAGGTTATCAGTTTACCAATCACAGGGGGCAACGACAAGTATATCGAGTGGCTCGGGCAAAGCACCGAGCGCAAGGGCTAGCGAACCCACTTCGCACGTCGTCAGAGACCTGGCTAGGTAAAAGACGAACAAAATCCTGCAGCAATAAACTACGTCAAGCGTCGCACTGTGGTCGTAATCAGCTAAAACCTGTTCAGTCCCCTCTCAAGAGACGTCAGCCGGTCGCTTTGTAACAACCGGTCCGTCCCTTATTCATTCTGTGGTGAAGAGGACACCAGCATCGGATTTTTTAAGGCGTCCAGTCTCAAAACCGAGCCTCTTTGCCTTTTACAACATTGAACGATCCGCTCCGATCGTGGGGTACCTGCCGGCTGCTGCGCCAAAACTTTTTTCTGCTCTGCATTTGTCCGATGTGGTGTTTAATCACGGGGACCATGGTCAATAGTCCAAGTTTGTCTTAACCTTGCCTCTAGAGAATCAGCAGAAGGGGTTCATCTACCCCAAACCAGTAGAGACACACGTCCATCTACAACGATATTCTGCTTTCTGCTCGCATGCGAGGTCATTTCGACGTTTTTGAAACGGCAGTCTGGAGTTTCAAGTGGGCTCCCACTGGTTAGTTGGAAAGACGCGTAGAGGCCAGTGTTGCATTGTTAAGTCGTTGGTTCGTCGAGAAAGCACCTTCCGACTGAAGGACCCAGTAACGTAGATAAGTTCGTCGCGAAGAGCAGTCACCGAGGCGGTTGACGATTCATCGAAAGTGCGAAGCAATCTGAAGTGGGCTTTTCCGGCACCCTGTCTCTTTCTCTTGGTGAATCGCTTTCAGCGCTGACCTAGCGGAGCGCTCCCTCGATCTAAAAAGCGGCCGCCCCTGATTCTATTCAAGGTCAACCTCAACGGATTGTGCCCCAGCTACGTCACCCTTTCAAAGATGATCGGCTTGCGAATCCAATTCGAATGGTGTTCATCAGGTCGGGCCTTTTATTCTGTACGTTAAGCGTTTGCCCGCAGACCTGTTGTGCTGGCTGCACTAAGATCTGCCGCCGTGCTTCTGATTGGCCGCTGCTCAGGTTCAACTAAGTTTTCGCTTGGCAAATTCAGTGTTCTGACTACGGCTTTTTGAGGCTCTCGTAGTTATTTCTCAAGCAAGACCAGTCAGTAAAATGACTGGTCCAAATCCAAAAGGACACCAATTGTATCAAGTTTGTGGTCAGCGACGGATGGTAGCCAAGGCACACCCTGACTACTTTTCCCTCAAAGTGCCTAGTCTTCTTACTCTGTTGATTCTGCTTCGCTGTCACCTCTCCTAGATTGCGAGTCAGGCTGCTGGAATGAATCTTGCCTTACATGCGTGCTGTCAGTTGTACCCTTGTACCCTTTGTTAAGACCAGAATCATCAACAACTGGGAGAGCAACTCACGTGATCGATGAACTCTTTCCCTGAGACACTCGCCATTTTGGTTCGAGGTTGTAGATGATATTCGCTCCAGTCAAAGAACCGACCATGTTGTTTCGCCCGGGCCGGTCTCGTATTGGGCTGCACGATTAGGCAAGTTTAACAGCAAGTTTCAGGGATGACGTTTCGGTTGCCAGCTGGTGCCTTCTTTCACGTTTGTTCCGCCGCTGGTGGCTGTCTGCTTATCATACGAGCGTGCTCGACAACGAAGTCATACGACCGACTCAGTCTGGTCTCGGGGCGAGCATTAAATGCCGGCCATCGCCGCAGGCAGTCCGACACTGTCACCGAGTAGTCGAGCAATTATGGACCGTGCAACGCCTTTTCTCCGAACGACAACTGGCAAGCGTGACGTTGTTTTGACGTACGTAAGTTGCCAGATGGCAACCTGTCTGCCACGCGTCATCTTTCGATGGACCCCTATCCGGCGTCACGCACATCGGAAATAAATAGTGACGTTCTGGGAGGTGACGCCTGTTTACCCGAATCGTGGCATTTGCGTCATGACTGTGCCCTGATTAAACGGCCATGAGGTTCCAAGGATCTAGTCATCGATGATCGTTCATTTGACTGCCAAGAACTTGGACACAGCTTTTACCTGCGAATCAGTGCTGTGAACTGCATTTTCACATTCAAGAATTTGTCTAATGAAAAAATAGGCGACTGCCCCCAAGTGCCACTGAAGAACTGGAGCTGATGTGCATTGACGTTGCGCAGCATTTTGACAGGTGGCAAGTAGTGCGTACTGTCAATTACTGTGAGTTTCTGTTGCCAATTAGATTTCTTGCAAGTAAGACCTGGTTCCAGAGATCACCTTGTCCACTTTGGAAATGTGATCAAGCTTGCTAGCCCCCATTGGTTTTCAAAAGCGCTTCCTTTGGGGCTGTTGATCATTTTCATATTAAAGCCTGTCTTGCAGCTTTGGGGCGAGGTTCGCAACCTGGGAGCTCACTTCTTAGAACCTCTTACATAATGTCACTGCACTAGAAGCCTCAGTTCCTGAACTCCTATAGTCTGCATTGTTAGTACGTGTCTGGCTCATCGCTTGCGGCAGCTCGTTTGAGCTCTTTGGGACCAAGCAGGTGTGGGAGGGAGTTACAAGAACACCCGTGACAACCCCACCAGGTAAGTCGTATACATTTCTGAGCTCTGCAAATACGATTGCCTCAGAATATCTGAGAAACAATCTGCGAGTGTTTGGTCCCTAGCTTTTGCTGCATTGCCATTAGTAAGTAGTGAACGGTACGACGCTGGTCCAAAGGGTTAAGTTAATTTTTTCCAGAATTGTTTTTGACCTTCCTTGAAGCAATCATGACCCAATGACCAAGAGACTGCAGACAAGGTGTGTTGTCGCAGAATGCAATTTGAGCTTTCCTCAAAGGCTTAACCTTTCTTGCCTCCTACTTCTCCCCATAGAAATGCCATTCTGAGTTCCCCCAAAGAAGTGAATGAGAGGGAGACCTTACTGTGAGGCTGTGCCGCAGAAAGGGCATGCCTTTAGCTCTCCTTGACAAGGAATATAGTATGGCATTGAGCGATCCCAGTTCAACTTTGAGCCACTCGCAGCTTCGGTTTGATGTTGGCGGTTTCGAGTAGGGTCTTGGCCTGGGGACTCTGGTGTCTTTCCGCTGAGAAATATGAGGAACAAATCTTACTTGCCAGCTTGCAGCTTGTCAATGAGACGACTCTTCGTTTCAACAAGCATGGCAGAATCCTCGTTCTTGGTCATAAAGTGTGGCGCGTTAATCCACAAACGCGGCGACCTGGGAAGAGTTATCAAACAGAAATGTCAAGGTTTCGTTACGAAACCCTTGTTGGGAACCTAGCACATTCGATGCAAGCAAAAATGACAGCACTAAATGGCCAGAAGTCAGGGAAAGCAAAAGCTTACTTGTCATTTGTCCCCACAGGGGGAGTTCCCTAGCTTGCAGCAGACATGGCGGCTCAGATCGTGCTGAACAGAAAGCGGAGGGCCAAGGAGGAGCGGAACCGGGCACCCAATGGCAGCCAATTCGACAACCCCATGTACTACGCCGAGTCTGACATAACGTCCGAGGACGATGGGGCTGGGGAGCAAATGGGAATGGAAGAGGCGATCAAGGATATTGAGGAGTGAGTCTTGCATTGTAGTCATGTTCTTGCGTGGATTTGAGACCGACTTCTTGTGTGCACAATTGTGTGGTTGTTGTCACTTGAGGATTGTCTAAAGACACACTTTGCATTGGGTCCCGCCCACGACAACTGGTAAACGCTGATTCGTTCAGAACAGATCGGTTGGACAATGTCTATCAGAATCTTCAGCAGCTTTCTGAGTTGCTTAAGGTGCAGCTCCGCAGCAATTCTACTTTGAGCTTCTGGGGCCTTCTTTTAAACAACTGCCTCAAACTGCAAGCTAGTCTCAGGCAAGATAATTTCTACTTCTACTTGACGGATGAAGAAATCAAGTCCGGCGCTTTACATCAGACTGCTGACGCCCATTCGGCCACTTACAGTATTGTACAAGAACTTGAGATTGGAGGTCCGGTCTGATCTTTTACAATCACATTCTCCAGTGACCAGCTTTTCTGATGATGAGATTATTGTCAGCCGAACCTTCTTGGTTTTCATTGAGCGAACCAACTACGCTGTGTCAGTGTTTCATGATGTGCACTGAATGCAAAAGGTTGACACTTTCATAACATTGACCATCACAGATTGGCGCTTGGGCAGGATCGGAAAACACCGGATCCATTTCTCTGTGTCAGTAAAAATGGATATCATTGAGTCTCCTTCCGGCACTGCTTACAAAATCACAATACAAGAGCGCCCAGGGAGTAAAGCTGAGCGGGATGCGCCGGCTGTGTGTCAACGCTTTGCCTGCTCCGCTAACCGCTCCCTCTTGACACTTGCAGCGACGACCATAAGGTGGTGAACGGCGTATATCGCATGATCAAGGAACGAAGCGCGCACAAGACCGCTTATATCGACCTTCTGACGTTTATCCTGTTCACGGCTCTGTATATGACGGTGCTCTACTTGCAACAAGGCAATGCGCAGCGTTATCAGGTCACACAGTCGATGCAGCCTCTGTTGCCTCAGGTAAGCCTGCGATTGTTGCTTGAAAGGGGAGGTGAAAATGAGCTACAATCAAGACGGAAGGTCCAAAGTTGAGCAGTGACGCGACAAGAGCATCCGGCTATGATGACATGAACGCTCAGTCGACGACGTACTAAGCGGAGAAGGGGCTTTGCCGTACTCACATATACCCTATTGACTTATGCTGCAGCTTTTCTTTTCGTATATATGCTACTCCGCGTTTTCCTGGTCCCACAAGCTCGTTGGGCTTATTGTAGGTACAGTGGAACTAGGGGTTCGTTGCTTCTTCACGCTTCACCGAAAGAGGGCGTGCACCACTCTGAATAGGCATAAACTATCTTCGAGTTCAGATGCAGCTTGGGCTGAGTTAACTTTAACGCGCGCATTTGCGTTGGGCCAACCGAGATTCTAACCTGCCTGGTGGACCATAAAACCGCAGCGTTTTCTCTTTCTTCGGTTCAGAATCCCTCACTCAGCCGAGGGCTCTGCTCACTTATCGAAACAATGCATTCGTCACTACTGCTTTTGAGCAGAAGCTGGGTGGTCCTAGTGCTAACTATCGGTACAATCTCAGCATAACCCTTTCATAACCCACTGCTACCCGACTTAATAACCCACTTTCTTCAGGACACGAGTCTCTCACGACCTAAACGAGAGGTTTGTTATTACGATCTCAGCCGAACCTTATCCTAACCCACTGCCAACGTCTTTTCAACCTGCTTTTTTCAGGACACAAATCTTACCCAACCGACGGATGTTTTCACGTACCTGAACGAGACGTTCGTTATTACGATCTCAGCCGAACCGTGTCCTAACCCACTGCTAACGTCTTTTCAACCTGCGTTTTACAGGACACAAGCCTTACCCAGCCGACGGATGTTTTCACGTACCTGAACGAGACGTTCATCAGTACGCTCTGGGCGGACCCCATCCCAACCTTCGACAATCCTGACGGGACGGAAGCAGACGGGAACCTGGGGCGTTACGCGGGGAATCACAACAGGTGAGGCGTTTTCTTGGCCGGGGGCCTGACTTGATGCGAAATGTCCGCACAAACCCTCTAAGACTGGTGCGCCCTAATTCGGACGATTTTTATTTCGGACGGGCAAACCCAAAATCTAATTTCGGACTCAGTTAACCCAGTCTGCGGCTGCTCGTGGACGTCGGTTCTCGAGGTCGCGTTTCAAAATACTTTCAGGAGCGCGCGACACCGTTACACACGCGCGGGTGCGGCCACAGACTGGTTCAGATAGTCGGAAACTAAAACCCGTGTTTGCCTGTCCGAACTTGAAATCGTCCGGAATTCGGCGCACCAGTCTTACATAGTTGGCTGGCAGGAAACGGGGTGAGGTTGTCTCTTTGAACGGATGGCGCCTTTGGATGCCAATCAACATGCGTCCGTCTAGGATCTCGGCTTGATTCGCCCGGCTTCAAGCGATTGACCGAACTGACAGTCCGCTTTATCTGGATGCGACACCGAACGTCCACTTGGTCTTGTTGCGAAAACGGACTTCCTCGTTGCTCGCTCAAAGTGACGTTTTGTTAGAGCGACTAGACTGTCAGTGGTCTGCTCGATGGACGGACGTCCGATATTGTGTTCCGGCCGAGCGGACGTCCGCTTCGTCTGCTCGAAGACATGCAGAGTCCGCTTGATGTGCTCCACGAGACTGACGTCCGCTTGCCCACCTGATTGTACGGACGTCCATTATTGGGTCCATATTGGCTGTTCGCTTGGGACGATCGTTCGATGGACGTCCACCGGGCTGTTTGATGAAGGTCTGCCTAAGTGGCGGACGTCCTCATGGTATGAGTGAAAGAGCGGCCGTCCGAATACCGGCCATCATGAGCCGACGGACGTCCGCCTGTTTGGCGCTTTGATGAAAGGCGTCCGCGTACTTGGCAATCCCTAACGGATGTTGGAGTATTTCGGCCGAGCTAGATCCGTGGATGTCAGTCCTTCCGATTACTCTTAAAGACGGAGGGTTAATGAACGGTTTCTCTTGAACAAAAAAGACGTCCGCCGTGCACTGCAGGATTCTGGGGGGACTACTCGTTCACCAGGCGCGCTACGGAGGGCGAGTTTGTGCCCGGAAGAGGTAACTGCCTTTCGAACTTCGCTCTTCAGTCTCTGTATGAGTTGAGAGGGCCCTTCCGGTCCTTGGGGGCATCTCGTTTCTTGGGTATTCAAACCGGTAGGGCATGTGAATTTAATGTCCTCTCTTCAAAAGTGGTCGGATGTGCTTCGTAAGTATCCTAACCATCCGGTCTTTGAGTTGGTTCCGAAGTGTGCGCTCGTCACCAGCAGATGTGGGCGTCGGCAGTCAAGCCTCTGACGCTTTGAATTGGAAAGTACTCCCCTTAAGTGCTCTGAGATGAGTCAAATCAGCATCTTGATCTGCACCGGACCCCAGAGTCGGCTTTGGGCGTCACTAATGCCCAGATCCAAGTGTCAGCTGGAACCGTTGCGATCCGGGGCTTTACGTTATCAGATTTCGGTCAGGACTGCTTCCTTGTTTCGTTACCTGCATCTGCGTCGATTCTAAGCGTGAATCTGTTCTTTAACTCATCTACACAGATTCTCGACTCACTCTGCTTCGCTTGACATTTACTTTTATTGACCCTTCACTTTTTCAAGGCGTGCAGGTTTCAGAACCTGTTCCAGTACTGCTCCACTAGCAGTACCTCAAAGGAACCGTTTGGCGTTAACCCCATCTACGTCAACACGTCGGTTTTGTACAACCCAAACGTGACCGCGACCGACTACTACGCTCCGGCCGAGATCAACAGCGCGGGGATACCCTATGCGCTCTTCTTTCGCAAGATCGAGGTGGGCGAACTAAAGTATAACCCCAATTCCGAGCGAGTTCTGGGCGATAAACGAAGTCACGTAAAGCTCAACGCTCATATGGTACTAATTCAGTTATAAGGTTTGCACGAGTATCCAGTTCTGCGGACGTTCCGGAACCGTGCCAACGTCTGTCGTTTCGTTTCAAGAGCCGCTCAGTCAGCGCTGTATGTAGACCGGGATTGAAGCATGGCGTCACGCGGGGCAAATATTTCCCTTCTAAATCCTGATCCGTCATTCACGCAGACTTTAAGGGAAAAAAATCGTGATCGGAATGCAGCCCGGTTCACTGCAGAAGATACAGGGTTGGAAGGACGAATTCGTGGTCCTATTTCACATCACACTCACTCTGGATGAAATAGAACACGGTTGAGGTCGCAATTGAGGTCGCAATTTATTGGTCCTAAATGTTGCTTCGCATAACGGTTTTCCTCTAAGTATGCAGGGTTTGAAGGACGGTTTCCCGGTGGTGTTCGACATCAACCTCAGTGCGGAGAATGCGGCCAACCGGCTCCAGTACCTCGCAGACGCTTTGTACCTGGACAATGCCACGGATATCGTCACCGTCCGCGTCATCACCTACAACGGTAAGCCGCGCGTGACGTCACTTCTTGGTAGCTCGATGTTACCGTCGCCGGTATCAGTAGTACCTGCAGCAACGAGTGTTAGGAGAATTAGCTATGACTGCTTCTTGTTGAAGCCGGGTGTGCCTCTGCTAAAGATTCATCTTTGCAGTCTTCTTCTTTGCTGTTGAAAGCGCGCGTGATATTGCCTGTGGGGCCCCGGATGCTTTATACTCGAGCTCACCCCTTCGAACTAGCTAAAAGCCAAAACTTGTAAACTCTTGCGAAAACCGAAACTATTATCTTAGAGATAGGTGCCCTTGGAAGGGGCACCCTCGATAAATACTTGCAGATGCGAGCGCCGCAAAGCAAAGTTTTCTAAGAGACTGTAAGCTTGATGCCTTTTTGTTGCCAGAACAATTCGTATCTCTCAGCTTGCAAGCAGCAAGCTCTTGATTCCTGTCGAAGGGGATGAAACCGTCGCCAACCAAACCACTGACGATTCAGTGCCTCTTTGAGCGATCCTGCGCATGCATGCACCGCCCAAACGCTTTTGCCCTCTTCCCGACCCGTTCAAACCTCGGCGGGACGCAATTCCAGACAACACCAAAGCTACCCCAAGTATAAGCGTGAGCCCCCTGAGACGATCGTTGTTCTTGTTTACAGGCGACGCCCATCACTTTGCCCAGCTGCAGGCCTTCTTCACCTTCCAACCGGGGGGGAAGATCGCGGTGAATACCGACATCAAGGGCCTGAACGTCGAAGTCTACGCCAAGACGCAGGACTGGGTGCGGGCGGGGCTCGAGGCCTTATTGGTCATTGGCATAGCGTATGGCATCTTCTCCGAGGTCAGGGAGGCTATACACGTGCACAAGTCGAAGGGCTCGGTTCTCAGATACTTCTCGAGCCTGTGGAATTTCATCGACGTCATTTCACTGGCACTGCTCGTATACGCCGTAATTCACAGGTGGGTCCGTTCTTCTTCTGCTTCTCGAGTACAGTTTCCATCAACCTTTCTCAGATATCGCTTCGTTTTTTGTTTCTCTCTCCTTTCCATGCTTTTGCTGCTTCTCGTTTCCATCGGTTCTTGCTGTGGTAAAAGTTCGAAGTCTGTTCTGCTGAACCTTCCAAGCTCGACTTTTGACGGCCTGTGCTTTCAGAAGCCAGGCACACCACACGGGCTGACGTCCTATGAATTTCCACTGCTCTTCAAGGCACGGCCAATGCTGTCTTTGACGGAGACGGCTTTCAGTTTTCTGCTCTCTAATCATGCTCTGGCTACGCGTACGGTTTTCTTATCCAAGACACTTCTTTCGATGGCCCAATTACTTACTTCGCCCAAAGAGAGGCAGTCTCTTAAGAGCTTATCTCGACCACGTTGCGATGCAGCCCTTATATGGGAAATCTGAACCCCGGGACGGCTATTTAAATGGTCGACTGGCCAACAGTTAAAGTGGAATTACCGGTTTGAAATTCGGCCCTATACTTCGCCGTTACAGGATCTTCTACGTTGTGATGGCCCAAAGGTTCACAGCGGACGTCCACTACGACATCTACCAGGATCTGAACAGCCTCGGACGTCCGTGGGGCCTCAAACTGGACGGCTCGCAGTACACCGACTTTGCTGACCTGGCGACACGTGTCGCCACGCTGATCGAGTTCCACAATGAGTACGTCACCCTCAACGGCATTAAGTGAGTTCCACGCACCTGTGGTGTCAGCGGAGTCTGAGAATATGCTTGCTTTTAGTATATTACGAGACTTCGTATCAAGTGGCAATCGGTGCTTGGGTGGATATTGTTGGATTTCATTCACAAGATGCTTGTCTTGTCGGCTTTGATTGACGAGACCCGTTTGCAATTTGATCCGTACGAGTATCACATCGATTCGCGCAACTACGTTACCACTTTCATGTATTGATTTACATCTTCCGGCCCGTGAGGCGGCTTTCTTATGTTCCCGCGCGTGGTAACCTAGTCGACTCCGCGGCAGGGGATTCCGGAATTCTTATTTCCGGCCAGGGAGTTTTTGTTGCTTTGTCTACGGGCGTGCTTTCTAAATTCCAACTCAAGATCGTTTCTGACCACCTAAGAGGATCACTTCCCGTCCAACTTCTGTTATTCAATCCGCGGTATCAAGTACATAACTCGACGTGAGCCAAGTGTTTCTTCCGACCGCTAAACAAACTTGACCTCCGGTTTTTTGCAGCGTCTTTTTGATGATCCTCCGCGTGCTGAAGCTGCTCGACTTCCAGCCCCAGATGGGCATTCTCACGCGCGCGCTCGCGGCCGCGGGCGCCGACCTCCTTAACTTCTTCATCCTCTGGGGGATCATCTTCGTTGCGTACGCCTACATTGGGAATCTCATGTTTGGGGGGAACCTAGACGCGGTAAGTTCACCCCCCGATCTCGTTGAGACTTTTTGGCGCGATGCGCGATCGAAATTCTTCGTTCTCTGGGGAATATATTCGTCGCATACGCCTTCAAAGGGAGGATTCATGTTCGGAAGGAGCCTGGATGCGGTAAAGAATCCCCCCATTTCAACGATCAAGTCTTTTAAGCTCCTAAATCTGTATATCGTGACGGGCTCAACTTCTCCTGATACAAAACCAAGATCATCTGGTTTAGGTCACACTGAACGCTGTAAGGGAATCTCCAAAAGTTACCTGGCTCAACTTAGATTGACTCCCAGACTTTCGCAACGGCGTTCAATGAGTCCGGTGGAACTGCCCAACAAAGTAGACCTGAACGTACTACTCTCTTCGTCTTTAAATGCCAAGAGTCTAGACTTTGCGTTAGTCTCCGTCGTCGCCTTTGTTGGGCGAATTGGTTTTGCAGCTTCCTGAACTTGAAGGTGCAAACGCACACAACCACCGATCTGTCGCTGAGCGTTCCATTCCTCGCTTGACCCGCGCAGTCAGTCTCTTACACGTTCCTTTCTCTTTTTGCAGTTCCGGAGCTTGCAGTACTCCCTAACAACAATGTTCATGTGGGTGCTTGGCGACACGACGGTGAGCAGGCCAGCCCATAGTCTCTGGTTTCAGGCAATAGGATCACTCTTCAACGCTGGAAGGAAGAACACAACTCAGCCGTCTTAACATCTTGTCCAGCAACTTGAAGCGCCATCTGCGGGCTCGTTTCTGCGATAACCTCATCACCACATTAATTGACAGAGGAAAAACATTTTCAAGCGTTATGTGTTTCTTTGGCCGCACGGTTCCGTGCCGGAGAGGCAGTCGATCTTTTTGGCGGTGGTTCTTGATCTACCTGCTCTCCAAGTCCTCTGCATCATTCCATCGTGTAAGTGAGATCACCAGAACTAATCGGATCGTTGATCCGCTGAGATTCGGACGGACAGGAATAATATGGGGATCTTTAGGTTTTGATGGGTACTGCGGTAGGCAAAACCCCGGGCCTGTATTTCTGGCTTAGGAGGGGCTTCGTCAATATGCATGCTTGACGAAATCTCTCTGGAGAGTTGCCTGTTATAAGGCTCTTACGACTGGCCGCCGTGGGCCTGTAATATTCCGCAACCCGTGCCAAACAATCCGCCCAGAAATCACCCCAACAATCTGAAGAAGCTCGTACTCCCATGAAGCCCGTCGAGTCCGCTTTTCCAGGCGGAATACAGATGCGAGGCAAAGCGCGGGTGGGAGCTGAGGGCGGGCCCCTGTGGTCCATCAATAAGTGAATGGTCGATTTGGCAGGGGGAGGGAGGAAGAGGGAAAGACGAAGAAGAACAACTCAAGAAAGTCGTCGAATCCTCTTTTCTAGACGGGTCAACGTTGCTGGCGAAGCGCGGAGTGAGAGCTTTGGGCGGGCCATCGTGGACCGCAAATAATCAAACAAGCAAAGCGGGGTGGAAGAAAGCTAAGAAAAGAAGGAGAAGAAAGAAACCCGTTGTTTACACCTCTTCAGGTGGAGTACACGTTGCTGGCGAAGCGCGGGTGGGAGCTGTGGGCGGGCCAGCTGCTGTTCATCACGTTCCAGGTGTGGATGGTGTTCATCGTCATGCAGTTCCTCATCGCCATCGCGGTCGACGCCTTCGTGGACGTCAAGGTGAGCGCCCGCCCTAGTTCTTCTCTCCGTCTTCTTCCATTCACCTTTACCGGGAATGTGTTCTGCCTCGCACTCGAAGTTTTTGACTCCGGTTTTTGCCTAGCCTGCTCACACCACAGTGGTGCTCCAAAAAGCCAAGAATGTAAACGAAAGGAAGGAGGAAGGAGAACCTACTCTCCCAACTACAGTCGCCCAGCATTCTGATGTCAAAGTCGGGTTTCCTACTGAACATAAAGATGTTACAAAGGAGGATGTATCGGTGAGATCAGAAAGGCTGCGCTTGCCCTTCCAAGGCGCCCCGAGTTTGACACTTGCCTCACTGGTCCATATACGCGGTACCATCCGTTAGGTACCGGACTTCCAAGTCACACGGAAGGGCTTGTATGTGTATCCATCTCGACACCTTTGCTCAAAAGAAGGAAGCACATGGTTTTTGGTCCATCTCGATTCCCCTTCTCGGAAGGAGGAAACCCAGGCTGGGTCGCCATCTGCCGACTGCCCAAGTTCCATTTTGAAATATAACGACCGAACCTTTATACCAGCTGTCGGAATGACCGGTTGTTATCCCTTGTCCATCTTTTGAAGCAACCACTGTAGTGCATTTCGATGATTCAAAAGTAGGCACCAAGTCTATTCCGAAGTCTGAACAGCAAAAAAAGTGACGTATGGTCCTTCATCGAAAGGGAACCGACGTGCCTCTGGGCTTCGTTTTTCGATCAGAGTGGAGTCTATTCGAAGTGTCGCTTCAACGTGTTGGGCGCACTCTGGCACCCTACTCGAACGTGCTTCTTGCATGAACTCTCAATACAACTATACAGAAAGAGTCATACTCCCTGATGAAGGCAAAAAGCTGAGTGAGAGGCCACTGACAGGTTCAACGACTCCCCGTGGTTTTTGCAGCTGGCGACGGAAAATGCCCCCGGGATGTTCGAGGAGCTGTACGATTTTGGGAAGGCAGGCATTCTGCGGTACCGGTACAAGCGACTGCCCGACAAAGCGCTGCTGCGGCAATTGAAGCAACTGAGGGGAACAAGCGTGACAGATGACGTGAGCAAGGTTTTCTGTCTCTTCGTCCTTTCGATATAGAGTCAATTAAGCTTGAGGTCTTTTAGGATGTCGGCGGGAATTACTGATTTGCTGTACCGGCACAAGCGCCTGCTCGACAAAGCGCTACTTGGGCAACTGAAGCTTCCGATGCGGACAGGCGTAACAGCTGATGTAAGACCGTTGTTCTGATTTTGGTCCTGAGGTCTTAGACCCCTGGTCCTTGGTTCTTTAGGCTGTCGGATCACTGCGGTGCTGTCGCGAGTTCATTTGTGGTTTTGGCACAGAGGCGTCCCGAAAGGGCGGCTGAATTCCTTGTTGGGGAGCACGAGACGGGATGATATACCATGGTCAAAATTCTGCTCGTGCTTGTTTGGAGTCTTTGTTGGCTCTAGGCGGGGGAGTACCAACATCTGATTGTGATCAGAAACTCGTTTTGACAGGGTGCGAGTCGCTTAAATAGGAACAAAAATGTGCTGCGCGGCTGAATCTTCAAGTCATGACTGATCCGCCTCAGGGAAACGGGGGGGAACCGAAAGTTGCGACGAGTGTAAGCCGATGTGATGCGGCTACAGTCGCTGCAAATTGCCCTCGGGTTAGATACAGTGGCGACCGAAGACGCGGCACATTCGCTTTCCAGTCGCCGAACCGGCGTTCTCCTTGGGAGGCTCTCTTCTACCGACTTCGGTTCATCAGCATCACGTATTTCTTTTCTCGCAGACGGTACGAGATGCGGAAAAGACGGGCGATCTGAGCAGTAAAGACAAGGAGCTGATCGTCAAGGTCGACGGTCAGGACGTTGACACCGAACGGCTGAAAGAGGTCCTCGAGCGCCGGACGCTGTACGAGGTGGGGCGTTCTTTCGTTCGCCTTTTTCAACCCTGATCAAGTTTTCCTGCGGCCACAAGTTTTCTTGCAGGTATCGAGCCACTCCTCTAGTCAAGAAGGTCATTCCTCCACGTTTGCTTCTATCAGATTTACAAATGTTGCACTGGAGATTGAGTTACTGCAAACATATGAGTTGGGAGGACCGACCTTGAGTTATACGCTTTCCGGTCGATGCTGAACTTAAGCTCAACATTCTAAGCGAGGGGAAAAAGCTTACGGTCCTCTTCGAGCGACCAACTAGAAGCCAGGATGTCTAAGCACTACAGAAAGCATTTGTACGTCGATTTTCCCAATACTTGCAGCAACATGAAAGCGGGATTCGAAGTGGCAAGTCGCCGCAAGGACGACGAGGGTTCCCGCTATACTGACACCCTGTTCGCAGTTGTGACGAAGGATGGCGGTCCTCGCACACTGGTTCAGACCTCGTAACGCATTTCTAACTTCTATGATAAGATCTATGATAATCAACCTCATGGGTCTAAGCAGAAACCCATTTTGCTTCGAACCTCACTGAGACCCCTTGATTGATTCCAGCCGTTACAAAGTGGTGGAAACGTCATTTCTTGTGCTTAAAGTTCCTCAATCTCGATTCGGATGTAGGTAGCTGACAAGTCGTCAGTCGATCCGACGCGCGTTGCGGAGCAAGTGATGGCACAGTTTGGGCTGGCGATGGAGAAAGTGGAGAAGATCGCAAAGAAGCCCAAGAAGAACGAGGAACTGCACAAGCTCAAGGTGAGTAAAGAATATTAATTTCGGGAAACAGTAGAGGTTCTATTTTGTATTTATTGCCAAATCCCGAAAACGATAAGGAGCCAAGGCCGAGCAGTTCGTGCTAAAAGGTCGCGAAGGAAACCAGGAAATACATACGTTCAAGTTATTCGTGAGCTGCGGCTCAAAAAGAACCTTTGAGTGGGCCTGGTTTGCAGCTGGTCAGTGGTCGTCCTGCTTTGCACAAAACGTCCGCGTCTGCTGATCTGGTCCCTGAGCTTCCAGTCAAGTCCTTGCTTCTTTGCGGACGAAGTGCTAAGAGAACCCATGGAAGGAGAACGTGGACTCCAGTTTTCCATTCTGGACCCCCACACCGATCAGAACCCCCTGTACGGAGGCTTGCGGTGCCAGCGTAGCTCCCGGAACCCCACACTAACGTAATCCCAGGGTACTCTTGCCTGATCGACCGAGGGCTCAAACGGTAAACCTCTCATGCACACCTGGTACTTTGACCGATCACCAGCGGAAGCGGTCGGGGACCCAAACAAAGGGAGTCAGTTGAGTTGTGCGCGCACGGGGTTCCGGTCGGTGTGGGGGTCCAGAATGGAAAACTGGAGTCCACGTTCTCCTTCCACGGGTCCTAAGATATAACGGCGAAATAACCCTTCATTAGAGATGTTCGAAGCATTGCCTGCGCACGAAGCACCGGAACGTGAGAAAACCTTTGGAAGCTCAAGCTTTGTCGAATCAGCTGATGACCATTTGAGGCTGGACAGGAAAGTTGGGACAGGATATGGGCAATCAAGACGGGTGCAAAGCAGCGCTGTCTTCTCACATTATAAGCTGTAAAACAGGTTCCATTGAACACGTGTGGTTTTTCCTCGTGTCTCATCTTTGGATTATAAAGAATGATTTCTTTCTTTCTTTTCCGTTTATTTTTTTGAAGCGCTGTGTCGAAACAACTTTGCTGTATTTCAAAGCAAAGCTTCTCTCAGCCCGGTTTCCGATTCCCTTTGACAGTAGATTGGTCATATGGTCAAACCGGAGCAAGAGTTACGCGGCAACCGCCCTAACCCATCTAAGGTTCGGATATTTCGCTATAATTCGAAAACACATCAACGTCTGGACTCCGTTCCTTCAAGCCTCATCATCTCTTTCTCGTGTTGTTCTGCAGGAAGCGGTGGACTCGTTCGAGAAGCAGCTCGCAAGTATGAGTGACGTCATTCAGGGGCGACTGAACGCTATCCACGGCGACATGGCGGTCGCCGGGATGTCGCGTTCGACCATTCCGGAAGAAGGGCACGAGGACTTGGACTCTTAGCAAGAGCTGGGTTTGACCGGGTGGGTTAAGTTACTTTGTCTGGTCTTTGCATGAGTGACATCTGCGGAGTGGTCTGCGGGATGTTTCGAGACCTTTTGGGGATTTTGTCGATGCCATGTCGCGTTCGATCATCCCGGAAGGAAGGACACAAGGATCTGCGTTCTCGACATTAAATCCAGGCTTAACCGAGCAGGTCAAGTTTCTTTGTTCGGTCCTTGCAAGAGTCGAGTCCGCGGGGGCTTTGCGGGACGTCTTTTGGAGGGCATGTCTCGCTTCGCCCAATTGGATGAGGAGTTGGGTTTTCAGTAAAACCGGGCTCAACCGAGTGATTTGAGTTTCTTTCTTTAGTCCTTTCAAGGGAAGACCGCCGGGTGTTTCGCTGGATGCGCAGCTTAGGATTCTCGGGCGCTTTTCAGGGCATTTTGAGACACTGTTTTGAAGGGGACAATCGATGATGCAATCAGTGGTGCGTTTGCAGCCAGACGCAACGATTCTTTGGCCAATGGTTCTCGTGACAGGGAATGAAGACACTTCAATGACAAGCTTCTCGGTTTGGAAAGGAAAGGAGACGGATTTGTTCGATACGTCGCGCTCTCTTCCTTCTACAAATGCAGCATTCGAGAGCCTGCATGTTTCAGTACACAGAGCGGATCCGCGAGATGGGTTTGGAAGCCTTTCCGTACCGCCTCGTACGGTTATTTCCGTACCAGATAGTTTCAAACAGTCCTGCTGACATCAGCGGACGTGCATCCGCTTAAAAAGCACATGAGTTCCGCCACATCCGGCTGATTCGGGCTACAGGACCCGGTAATCCGAATTCACGTGCCGTTCCATTCTGGCGCACTCACAGCCGACCTGTGTTTGATTTGCAGATGCTTCAAACAAAATGCCCTGCGTTGCGAGGGCGATGACGATGACAGGCTATATGACGAGTTTGAGGAGTAGTAACACGGATTCGATTGCTCTGCCATATGTAGACAAATCTGAAGGTCTTGGCCCGCTCTAGTTGGGAGGTTTGTGACTTCTTTGCTGCTGAGCCCTGTAAAGACGTATATACTCGGCAGCTCTTTGTTGTGGGTCAAGGGATGGGGCTGAAGCTAAAATTTGTGGTATTGTGCGTCAGTCCCATAAACTTCTTGGTGATTGCTATGCCGTGCTCGATTGTTCAATAACATAGTTTCAGTGCTAGGTGTGTCGCGGGACCAGTCAGATAGGGTCTCTTGTGTGGGGCCTGCTGCTTTGTTTGGAGGAGAGTGTCATAAACTTCCAGCACAGGTCGAGCAAGTCGAGAAAGTCAAACACCTGAACGTGGTGACTTGTACCTCCAAAAAGAAGAAAATTTCAGAGACTATAGACTAAGATACTGATGACGGTTTCAAGAAATTAACTTATAACATTGATCGATGACATATTTGGGATCTATTCAGTTTCGTTTGGCATTTTGCTCGTTCTCGAATTTGGAGGTTGGAGCAAAGTCGGCAAACCCGTCAATCTGTGTAATTACGAAGGAATGAGGACACCTCAAATCGACAAAGATGAGGTTTCTATGAGCCACCGTGCAAACTAGGTCTTACGTCAAGTAGTATGGTGGATGGCAATGGTTGACGTCCACCTTAGGGCAGCCAATGGGCTTTCATGTCGACCCCCTTTCAGTTATCAATGACTTGAGCTAAGGTAACGAGGTTGGTGGCGTACTAACTAAGGGGCTAGCTTATCTTATCTAAACCTGTGAAAGCAAAGAGCAAAACCGGGCTCAACTGGCAAGCGGATTGCTCCATACATGCGTTCGACCACAAATCATATGACCGGCCATTTTGGATGAATACATGTAGTTGTCAATGTGTGGTTGAGTCCAAGAATTATACTTATAAGCTGAGCGGCATGTGTCAATCTCGAGAAGGCTCTTGAATTCCGACTTCGTTTGTTAACGTACGCAAGTTTAGAGTCTACATGGCCGTCAAGTTGAGCTACAATTTTTCCGCCATCCGGACTACGCAACATGGCATGATGTCACTATCATGCTTCTGCAATGAGATGATTGCTGGGGTCCATTTCCGTGTTAGACACGATATACAGTTGCACGCCGACGTGAAACGTCCGAGCAGCTTTATTTAATTGCATGTACGTGCACACACTAACCGGCATGCACCATACCACACAAATATCCCAGTTTGTTCAATGTCATGGGTTCTATGTTTTAGAACGACTACGTGTACAATATTTTGTCTTTTAAATAAGTGCGCGCCCATATCATGCAACCCGAGACTTCAATCAATAATTGCATGCGAGTTACACCATCACGCTTTATCCACTTTTGATTGAAAGTTTAAGCATGTACGCGTTGTTCATAAACTAACAGGTGAGTCGATGATCATTTGAAAGATGCTGTCATTGTTGCAAACAGCTTCCATCACGGGCATATCATCCAACCGTCGCAACACTGATGGTTTCATGCAATCCATACGCTTGGTTCCATGAAATGACTCGAATCTGAATTACGGTCGCAATACAACTAAGCTCGGAAGGTTGGCTAGGGCCAAATTTCTGCACACGAAAGTTGCAGACACTAGCTACGCCACTAACCAAGGTACCATTCGGGCTATATGTTAAAACGCAAACATGCATGATCGAACGGACTTTATACAGGCTACTTGGCTAGCAAGCAAAGCATTGCGTCCAACCTTTGACTTAGCCAGGCTTATCTTTTACCTACTTACCTATACCTCTAGCAAGCTGCGCGGCTTCAACAACTAGCTTAGGCCAGTGCTAGACGACTTCAAAAATACCTACCTTCTTGAGCTTACAAGCGTCACACGTCATCTAGACCTTGTTTGCAATTGTCAATGTGCCCAACAATCATTATTTGTTGATTCTAGATCGTAGGATACTGATGAATTGGAGTTTATCTTCTGCTTGGAACCTGATCTTTCTTTACTTACTACTTCAATGTGGCAAAGCGGTGCACCTAAAGACTTTGACCAATGGCTATACAAAAACAACACAATTCAAGCCCTCGCAAACCAACAGGCAGTGGCTGCAGAAGCTCAAAAAACAACTTCGTATTTAGCCAACAAGGACGTATCACTTTTGCAACTCTTCTCCGTTCGCAAGGAAAATCTCCCTGACGGGGCCCTTGAACCACTTCCGAGCATCAATGATCCACCATCCTCCAACAACAATGACGAGCGCCCCAATAGTGACCGGTGCATAGTTCAACCTGCAGCACAAAGGACGAAGCTTACGTCCTACCGTGCAACACAATTAGTAATGGCTTCCCATATCACTTGAGTCCAGTCAACCTATTGTCCATAAGTCCTTGAGCTAAGTTTCACCGGAGATCATCATTGAGCCTAAATAAATGTCGATGCCGGAGCCCCCTTGAACGCTTCATAGCAGACTGCAATGCAAGAAAGGTCGGGTCATGAAGAGTCATCTCAAAATCTTGTTGCGAAGCGGAAAAGCTCGACTCTTCCTCTTGGCAAAAGTGATGCGTTCGGATCCTCACGTGGTCGAATTGATGGGGTACGTGGTGGGCAGTAGGAAGACCGCGCAGGTGTAACAGATCCACAGGAAGCCCACAAAGCAGATGGGCCGGCTAAATTTGCCTAAGGAAAAGGGGCCCGGTTGGAAGCGAGCCCCGGGGATTATCATGCGGAAGAAGATAGGCACTCCGTAACCCCCCATCTGCAAAAATTGACAGGGTACTCAGTTGAAGATAAGTTGGGGACGTCAAAAACTTGCCAATGCTCTTCCTTGCAAAAACCATGGCCAAAAGATGGTCCGGAAACATTGAGAACCAAAGACCCCGCCGTGCTAAGAAGACGCTAGAAAGCAGGGTGCAAAGCTACAACTCCGTTTCGTTTTTTTCAAAACTACCTTCGGCACTTTCGCGAAGGGTTCGACGAGGATATATCGGGACCCTATCGGGTTGGCAGGATTGTTGAGTCAAAGAGACTCAAACTAACTTCGATGCCAAAAAATTGCAAGAGTTTGGGTGAACCGTTGCTCGAAACCACCAGGAACGTAGATTGTTTGGTTCATCCTTTTCGACGATCGCAACATTCGTTCACTGTTTGACAAGCGATGACTACCAGACGGATGTCAGTACGTGCGGACGACTTGTTTCCACTCGCGGTGGACACTAGTTAGGAACATGACAGAGGAGCAAGATACAAAAGCTCTGTCGCGTCCAAAGCTCAAATCATCCAAGAGTGTACTAGAGGACCTCTCAGTAGGTTCCAAGACGTGTGAAAATATGTTTGAATGATTCTCACCCAACCAATAGTGGCAACGGAGGTGATGGCGCTGAAGACCACATTGAGCTTCAATATAGGAAGCCCCAGAAGGCACGCAATGAAAGCGGTGAGCCAAACGGCGTTGACCGGGACCTTCAACCGGGGGTGAATGCGGCGCCAAATGAAGGACCCGGGGATCCCGCCATCACGGGAGAAGGCATACACCTGGCAAACAAAAGTTGTCAAATGGTCGGACGAAGCAACGGAATTATGAGGTACTCACTGCTAACAAGCCCCTGTACATAAACTTTGAATGTTGGGAGGACAGATTTGATATTCTGTTGTCTCAACGCTCGACTCGACACCAAGTGATCTCTTCCAAGAACTCCCACCCAGATAGATCCAATGATCGCTTTGGATACGCCCTAGGCGCCCTGCTCGCGGCATCGACTAGACGGCCGGCGTGAGCTAAACTTGATCCCCTCTTTGACCTTGACTTTACTTCACCAAAGACGTGCATCGAAGACAAGAAAACGGACAGGCCCAACGCTTCGGCCAATACAAGGTCCACATCCAACCACTTTGCGGCCCTATGAAGTAAGTTTGTAACTAAAGCTTTGGGTCGAAGAAGGGCAGGCAGCTTACCACTCGGGAGGCGCTGGTCATGATGCTGAGGCCGCCAAAGAAGAAGGACGAGAAGATGACAAATAGCAGCACAATCGCCCCCGCCGAATTGCCGAAGCGTCCGTGGAAGACATCGTACAAGATTTGTCCGGGGGGAAAGCTTCCTGCAAAATTAAGAGGGCAGTTAATAAGTAAGCCGAGCAATGTGACAAAGGAGTTATGTAAAAGGTGGGAGCCAAGAGATTTTGCAGGACTGTTGCGTCGGGAGGGACTAAAGTCTATGCTTCAAGACCGTCGAGAAGCTACGAGGATTGCGAAAAGATCCGAGCCACTCACGTACAAAGCAACCTCCAAACCCTCCCCCAGTTTCACTTGGAAGGTGCTGTATGAGACCATTCCAGATCCGAATCCCGTCAATCAAAACGGCAGAGTATCTTCACGCGGAATGTTAGGCCTTGCCTCGACCAAGAAGACTGCTGAGAAGGGAAGAGAAGCAGGGAAAACAGAGGGGTCAAGCCAATGAGCGCGGACGAGAGTAGGAGCGAGCCCTCCTTCCGAAACAGGCATCTCGTTTACTGAAAAGAGGCTTGTGACTCAAGTTCCACTTTTCCTTACCTAGCTTTGATCCGTTTGTTACCTGTCTTCCTTCCACGGAACTGAAACTTTCAGAAAGCGGTCCCTTGAACCTCTCCTCAAAACTTGGAACCGCAAAGCTGCGCACCTGCCGTCTCGTTGTTTGGATCGAAGAGATTGCTTGCGTCCCCTTGGATGCTGAAAGTCAGGCTCAGGAGAAAGGCGAATCCCAATGTTACAATGATGCCAAGGCTCGAAAGAATGGCAATCGGCCCGTTGATATCGGCCCTCGCGGTTTCTTCCGTCAAGTGCGCGGCCGCGTCGTAGCCTGCAAATGCAGAGATGCAGTCGAGTGTGTTGAGTGACGCCCAACTTTGGATCCTTATGAAAAGTAGATGAAACTTGAACAAACTTAACTGAAGTAACTCTAGCAAGCAGAGAAACGCCTTGCTTGGTGAGACCTCTTCCAACGCCCGAAAACTTATTGGGTCGGTGAGGTGTGGCTTTCTCAAAAGGCCCTTAGGATGGCCCTTTCTCATGCGTGACATTTATTAAGGACCTAGTGCACAGATGAGGCTTTGCTAAGAACGTGTCTCAACTATGATCTATGAGTGTCTTAAGAAGGGCCTTCCTAGCAACAAAAAGCTCCTAACAAACCCTCTGACCGCCTTTAGTTACACAAGTGCAGCAACTGTACAAAGAGGCCTTTGGTATTTTGCGTGTCTCAAGGGGACGAGTGTAGACAGCTAGCACATCAGATTCGCCTGATAGACCAACCCGCCTTTTTCCAAATGCAACAAGCACACACATATTCCTCAACCGTGGTTGGAAGGCAGTAACGCAATAACAAAGAATGCTCACCAAACAACGCGTAGTGGCTCATAAGCACCGACAGGATGAACGAGTACGCTTTTGACGTCACTCCGGTAGTCTCCGAATTCGTCACAAAGTTGCCAAACACATAGGATGCCGTCTGCCGTGTCGGAGCCACGAGCGGCAGCATAATGATCATCACCACTGCTCCGGTGATTTGCAAAAATAAGCTGATCACGTCCAGATACGCTATGATTTCAATCGCAAAAGTGTTGATCACCGCCCATATGAGCGTCAACCCAATATACATGGCGACAAAGATGCCCTTGGGAGCGAAATAGCCTCCCCCAATGTTGTTTCCGGTTAGAAGTAGGATGATGATTTGGAGCACTTGCGCCCCAGGGTAGGCTTGTGTAGCCACCGCAAAAATGAGACCGACGGTTTCCAACCACGCAGTTAGCCAAGAGGCGAGGGGGCCCCATACGGGGCCTGCCAGATGGGCGGCCCAGAAGTAGAGAGACCCCGTAGTCTGCAACAAAGGAAGTTCAGTGGCTTACAGGATGCAAGAGAATCTGGTTTATGTGGGGGCAGCGGGGTCACACAAAGGTACAAGAAGTGCCTCTGTAATGACTAGCCTAGGCAGCATAGTCTGGGTAATGCACAAGAACGGGTTACCAATCCTAGCAGTCAAGGCTGAGGCAAGATCCAATCTGGATTTAGAATCATCACCTCCCATCGCTTTTGCTCCAGCTCAGGACCGGGCGCCAAATCGAATAGACGGTGAAATGTTGTTCAAGTGACAAAGTAGTTGTATCAGAGCAATGAAAGGCAACACCTTTTTCTGAAAGAGGAAGCAACACTCAGATTGCCGGCTGAGTATACCGGATTCATCACTTGAAACAGCGGGACTGCTATACGCAACTGGCACAACACCTTGCAAAGGTCGACCGTGCTACACCCACGAACTAATGGATCAACCACCAGATGTGCTTTGTCACTGCCGGTCAACGCAACCAAAGTCTCTCTTCCAAACGCGCAAAATCGGCACACCACTCACCGGGAATGACGAGCAGATCTCTGCCATGGCGAGCCCCACGAACATGACGAAGAACGAGACGATGACCCAGCCCCAGATAACGCCCACCGGCCCCCCGTTGAGCAGTCCGAAGCCATACAGCGGAATGATCCCGGTAAACAGCGTCATGGTTGAGAAGGCAATCGCCAGCAGCTTGAACATGCTCTGCACAGAGCCGGGTTAGGCAACTTAACCACCTTATAATTTGTAGCACACCTGTCCCGGCTCATGATGCTGAGACATGTGCAGCGTCAAGATCAGTATAATGTAGGATCAACAACCTTAAACTTCTTTCTAGGAAGAAGCAGGGGGCTTCCCCTAGACGATAGACTCTATGCGACACTTATTACCACCCTGATCATGCGGCCTACATCCAGGATCGGTCCTTCAACCTGTCTCATGATTTGACGCAGACCTTTCAAACTTGGGGATTAGACCACAACAATTGTTTGCTTGCCCTTTCTTCTTTGATGTAGAAGTCTTGCTTAAAGGAAGTTTGAGATCGTCATTCCAGAGCCTGGAATGCCATTGGGATGTCTTGATGAAGCCAGGAAAAGAAAGATGTGACAAGCACCGTCAATTACGCTGCCAGAGAAGAGAGGGTGAACACCCCCACCAACGAGGTGGACAAAAAGGTATCAAGCTCACCAGCTTTCTATTGAGCTCCTGCTTGTAACCTGCAACATGCAACAGAGTGCGGTCAGTCACAGCATTACCACTGATACAGCCACAAGTTTCTTCAACGCCCTTATTGAACCAGGTTAGAGCCTACTCACTAACTCCCATCAGTAGAATCCAGCGAGCGCGGTCTAATCACTAAGGCTTACTGGCGCCCTTGCTGGATAAAGATGCCAAGCAGAACAACCAGGGATCTTTGTACCGGAACAATAAACCACAGATGCATAGCAAACAATTGTTTTTATCCTTCTTTGAGATTCAAAATAGGGTGCCTTTCATATTAACCGCTATCCAACCAGAAGAAAACCGACAAAGACACCGTTAGGAGGTGAGACTACACCCACATTACCGGTTTGCTTGCAACTTCCTGGGTTTGCCTAACTACATTACCGACTTGCTTGCAACTTCCTAACATGTATATTTCCAACAAGGAAAATCCGCAAAAGTCCGCCAAAAAAAAGAAGAGGTGCAAGAGCTTCAGATCCACGTCCCTGTCCACAAAGTGAACCGACGGGGGCTCATCTTTCAATAACTTTAAAAGCAGGGAATTCACAGAGAAGACCGAAACAGAAGTCAATTGTGATCAGTAAAAGATTTCTCTGTGATTCAAACGAGCAAAAGGAGTACTGACACAGAGGGACTCCATGTGGCAGTTAACAAGCCACGCTGCCATACACAATTACTGACAGCTCCAGACCGAAGGAGAAGGCTGATCCAAGAACAACTAACTGAGAATGCTAACCTACAAGAGCGCATACTCGGAATCTGCGAGACTCACCCAGCTCGTTCAGCCGCCTCTCTCCCGAGTCGATAGCGCCGCCCTCCGGCTGCTGGACAACACTGCCGCCCTCCATCAGAAGCGGCCCGGCTGGAGCCATTCTGCAGGGGCAAAGAAGCGGATCCTGCCCTCAACGCTAAAAGAGGGGCCCAGGCTGATCTGCTGATTCAGTGATGGTCAATGTGGGGAAGAAAAACAAGATGGAATTGTTCCAGGAACATCAAAGGCATCATATTATCATTATGATCATTGCAACAATAATGCTCGTGGCATTGGGTGAATTGCATGCATGCACACGTGGCAGTTCTGTTTGTATAATGTACTTGGCACGGCCGTACTTGCACTACGGCACAATGCCGGCCTCTGTGCCGGCCACTTTCTATCCGCACCGGTTTCCTGTCTGTGCCTGCCACCAGCTCGGGGTAATGTGACCAGGGTACTCTACCGGCCGTTTTCATTTCCTGACCGATACGCCAGGGGGACGCCAGCACCGCAACTCTTGGTCAACGCAACCAAATAGCAAATGTAGCGGCGCAACCTCAGCTACCTACCTACTACGTAATAGGGAGCTGTTCAAACTTCAATTCAGAGGACAAGGCTAGAATTCAAGAGTGCCACTGTGACAGTGCTGCGCTTGCGGTTTCGCTCTAGCCTGGTATCTGCTGCATGCTAGAAGAGGTATACTTCTTTTCATCTAAAAAGGGTGGTGCACACGATGATTACTGATTTGACCATCTAGCGGCAACAGGTTTGTTCTCCAAAGCAGTCTGCTGCCGTTCTGTGTTGACACCCTTTCGTACGTTTGAAGCTGGCAAAATCACACAGGCACTACATTATCAGCTTTCGGATCCTCGAGGTGAAGTTGCACCCAGTTCAGAAGCTTTTTTGACCTTTGCGAATCATACCACCTCCAAACAAGGCCTTGCAGAAGCTCAGGACACAGCCACCATGAGCGGCGAGCCCACTCCAAAGGAGGAAGGCCCCCAGCGACAGGGCCTCTCGCTGGCGACGCTGGCGACCCACGCAGGGATCCCCCGAAAACCTCTGCTAGCTGGGGGGCAGGATTCTGCTCAGAAGAAGTCTCACACCCTCCCACAGAACGCCCATGTGACCCCCCTGTTTCAGACCACTGTGTTTGACTTTGACTCCGTCCAAACGGCGGCGGACCAAGTGCTTCGCCAAGGTGTGTACTTGAGTTATTCTGAGTGGTGGTAAAAAGTGGCGCTGCCTAGAATCTTTGCATTTGATACACCTTTGCACGTCCCATTCTGCATGTTTGGAATTGCCGCTTGTGCTTGCTGTCTTCAACCATTGCAAACCTTGAAAGAGTGCATTACAAGTGTTCCACCCTATGCTGTACATATTGATTGCGATTGAGAAGTGAACCCATGCAGCGTCTTCAAGCTTCTGCCAGTTGTGCCCTGAGTCCAAATCTTACTCTGCTTACAACAGCTGATAGAGCTGAGTTTGACTATCTTCACAGGTGCTTATGAGTACGGCCGAGTTGGACTCCCAAACCCACATGAACTAGGCGCGGCGGTTGCGGCACTAGAGGGGGCAGATGAAGGGGTGGCCACATCGACAGGTGGGTTTGGTTCCCATGAGGCTAGGCTTGTGTCTGGCTCCTGAAGTGACTCTTTTGCCGGTTCTGGTAGGACTCACCATCTGAAAGAGGGCTGCGAAAGCGGGGGCTTTTACGATGTTCCCAAGCCTTGTTACCTTCTAAACAAGTAGGTCTTTCCAAATTCGAAAGGGGCAGAGGCGGGGGGCCAGAAGAAACTGGCAGGATGGTTTGAGCAGGGCTCGTTGATGCCACAATCAACTGTTTGGTTGAGCTTGCAAAACAGGACAATGCTTGTGGTGAGAAGCCCTTTAGATGGGGGTGGAGAGAGAAGGCTTTGGATTGTAATACAGGTTGACAGTGCCAAGTGATGTTGCTTAGTAATCGGATGTTGCTTAGTTATCGGACAAGCTGCTGTCAAAGGCTCTTATTTTCAATGACGATTCCCAACCTGGATGGAGATAGTGTCAGGGGCAGCCGTAGATACAATGTCTACGACGACACTTGGCAATGGAACCCCAAGCCCGTATCCTCTGAAAGTCCTCACAACCAACATCCAATGTTACATCAAGTCGACTGTAGCCTTTCTCTTTCCAGGCATGGGTGCTATCGTTGCACTGCTGTCGCATTGCGTTCGGGGGATCCTGTGGTCGCGCAATATAACGTCCACAGCGGCACTTTCCAAAAGCATTTCAAGCGTGTAACCTGAATGATCTTTCTTACCTTACAAACAGAATTGAGCCTGATGTTGATCCGGGTAATCGCTCCTTTCGGGAATGGGCGCAATTTCTGCCGCGCTGCTGTCGCACCTGCGCTCGGGGGACGTCGTTATCGCGCAGTACAACGTCTACGGCGGCACTTTTTGATGCTTTCCATAGCCCGTAAACCTGATACTCTACAGACATGAAGAAAGCCTGATACTGATCCGGGTTTTCACTCTTCCCAGGAATGGGCGCAATCTCCGCCGCACTGCTGTCGCACCTGCGCTCGGGGGACCCCGTGATTGCGCAGTACAACGGTTTTCCAAGCCCGTAACCGAAGTCCAATTCCTACAGCCAAAAGTAAGCCTGATGTTGATCCGAGTCTTCTTTCTTTTCAGGAATGGGCGCAATCTCCGCTTCGCTGCTGTCGCACCTTCGCTCGGGGGACCTTGTCATCGCGCAGTACAACGTCTACGGCGGCACGCTCGAGTTCCTCGAGCACGACCTGCCGCGCTATGGCGTCACGGTCCTCTTTGAGGACGTCAGCAACCTGGCGCGCGTGGAGGAGATCCTGATTGGCGCCGGAAGGTTGGATTCCGCACAGACTAAAACGTCGTTGAAAGAGACGCCCAAAACGAGTCACAGTGCTGACGTCAGCTCGAGCAACGGGGACCACAACGGGGCAGAGAAGGCAGACGTCACTGCTGATGAAGTGCTCTCAGATAGGGGATCAAGCAGAGAAAAGCCCTCGTTTTTCGACGGTGGATTGAGCCAGAACGGGAAGCGGCCAGCTGTCAACAAGCCTTGCAAAGTGGTGATCTTTGCAGAGACGGTGTCGAACCCGCTGCTAGTTGTCACGGACATCCGCGCTCTTGGTGAGCTGTCCAAACGAGCGGGGGCGGTCTTGATGGTGGACCATACGTTTGGGACGCCCCTCCGATCGCGCCCGCTAACAGAGGTGAGGCTGTTTGTAAAGGGACGCCAGATTGGAGACAGCTCTATTTAAGAGCTGCTTGCTTTGATGAGAGTCAACACTCGAGACCCGCTGTGAATGTAGAGTTCGCCAACACTGCTTGGTAGTGAAGAACGTACACGTCTCATAGGAAGCTTCGTACGGAACCTCTGTTGTAGTCCTGTAGGATTGAAACACGTGATGCTTCTTGGATTGTTTGACCTCGAAAATATTGGACCTTGACTTGACTGAATGACTTGTGCTGATGCCGACAGGTTGCTTGTAGTTCATGTCTGGCTATTTGTGAAAGAGTGTTTTTGAGGGGAGTATAAGTACGCCCGGTCTCCGCCCGATTGCGGAGCTTCGAGAAAGACAAGAATTGTAAAGAAACATGGGGCTTGAAGAAGCAGATCAAGTCGGATATACAGTCGTAGGCTAGAGTGCACGTTCCGCAGTCGAGTAAGATCAAGGTTCCTTTAGCGACAGCATCGTCGATTAATCATGTTGTAGAGTTCGGACGAGCAGAGAATCTGCCTGCGGGTTTGACTGTTGAAAGCAGAGAATCTGCCTGCGGGTTTGACTGTTGAAAGCCTTTTTGCCAAATCTCAAGTTTCAACTTTACAGGGCGCGGATTCGATATTCACAGCATTGGGATGCATATCAACCAGATTGCAGCCACACTTTGATTGACAGCACTGCCGTTCAGACCCTGCGAAACTCTCGAGCACTGATTCTGCGAGCAGCAAGTTGGACTGGCGAAGGAATATCACAGTTTATTCTCTCCTCCCACAGGGGGCGGATCTCGTCATTCACAGCGCGACCAAGTTTCTAGGGGGCCACCACGACCTCTTGGCGGGCGCGGTCGTCGGCTCGGTGGAGCTCATCCGTCCGATCCGGGACTTCGTGCAACGTGTCGGTCTTTGGGCCGCTCCTTTCGACGCGTGGATGGCCGTAAGAGGCATCCGGACTCTCCAGGTGGGCTAGCCGAAACCTCTGTGACTCTAAGCATGTAGTCCACCCGAAGGTCTGTAGCCTTCGTACTGCGCATCTCCTTTTTTTTTTGGAGGGATCACTGTGGGGTCAGCCCCTCGTCAGCAGTTACAAGCAAAGCCTGTTGTAAACGGCCTTTTGGCAATCGTAGGTGTTCGAGTTCTCGATATCGCTGGAACAATCCCGTTCTGATTCTGGTTATAGAGGGAGGCGCTGTTGGTTCGTTGACATTGCTCTTGCCAAGTGTTGACTCTTGGGCGGCTTCGCAAATGATTGATTCCCAAGGCTTTCAACGGGGCGCGCTACGAGTTGCCACCTCCAAAGCGCACCTTAGAAGATGTCACGTTACAATGTTGGGTTTCCATGTTCGGAACCCCGGAGTATTGAACCTGCATAGTACGTAATGGCTTAGCTGGCACCCCGAGCTATCTTACGAGCCCACTCAACGTGCTAAGGCTCCAAAACTGTCCCTTTCCGAAGTACAGGTGCGTATGGAAAGGGCATGGGCGAACGCTGCCGCGCTCGGCCGCCGGTTGGAGAAGGATCCACGTGTCACCGACGTCACGTGGCACGAGAAAGTCGCCCTGGTGACGTTTGTGGTCATGGGCGGAATTGACGCGGCCGAGGCGGCGACGGCTGCTCTCAAGCTGATCATAGTCGCGACATCGTGAGTGAACAAAAGAATTTTATGTGGTTTGGTCACCTCTCAATACGCTCGTTTGAAGAAAAGCGACAGACAACGCATCTAGACGCAAGTGCCCACTGCTCCAAATCTGCGTCATATTACGGAAACGGAATAGAAAACAAGACTTCCACGCCATTTTGGGAATGAAGAACTTTAGAAAGAACTCGATTAAGTCTGCTATAAGCTTTGCGTCTGATCACAAAGGTGTTTTGACCTGAAATCCAATCCTTAGGAAGTAGACCGAGTGGTTTTATCCCCCCCATTCGTGTTTGTAAATCTGAAAAGCTGCTTACTTTGGAGATGTCGTTGTCAATTGCATGCCTCCTTGCCATCAATTTGGTGGTCTCAGATCGAAGTATGCATTACCAGATCAAGTAAAGGGGTCAACCTTTTGTGTTCGGAACCCCCCACTCACAGTTTTAGCAGTACTTGATGGCATTCCGTTCCTCATTTGCCCCCTTACCTCACCGATTGCACTCTATGAACTGTTGGCTCGTGTAAGGACAACTCGCACTTCGCTTCTAAAATGCAAGACGGATGTTTCACGTGGAAGTTAATTCAGGCAAAAGCTCTTTCTTCCGCATCGCGATCGTCCATCGGAAAGCTGCGGTCAATATCAGATGCACTTGCAATATGTCTTTCGTCGCGTCGTTCAAGTGCTCTTCTTCAAGCTTCGATACAGACATGCTTAAGCATTGGAGGAAGCAGAGAAGCACGCTAGGAGAGGATTTACGAAACGGAAACTTTTGGTACAGGCTCGGCGGTGTGACTACCACCATTTCCCACCCCGCGACTTCGTCTCACGCCTCTCTGTCTGCCGATCAACGGGCCAAGCTGGGCATAAGCGATGGCCATTTGAGGATATCCGTGGGTATAGAAGACGCTGACGACTTGTGGGCGGATCTGGATCAAGGTTTAGCGGCTGCGGCAGCGTTAAACAAACGTAACTAGCTCGCTTACGTGAGAGAACTTTCAAGCGGGGGAGGTGTGACGCCCAGCTCGGGCAACCTCGCAGAAAGTAAAAGGGGATATGCCACACATGAAATCGTGCAGCTTGATAAAAACACTAAGAATGAAGGGCTTGGTAACGCACGCTCGGCACTGACAGATCGAAACGTGAAAAGTTGCGGCACCTTCACTTTGAAACTGAGGGTGTTCGGGTTAGGGAAAAGAGCGTCCGGTCAGGACTGCATTGGCGTGGTTAGTTGGATTACATGCATGTCAGGGGAGCAGGTACTAAAGGTGATAGCAGCTAGTAAGCTAACAAGTAAGCTAACAGGCGATGTACATACAAGGTAGGGCAAATTTGAAATTGACACGATTGCATCCGCTGTTCCAAAGTATGTTAAGACAGTTGAACGAAAAGAACGTACAAAACACTCTACATCCGTTGCATGTATATCCCGGCGATATATGAGAGCCAATTGAGAGCTAGCTAGAAAGCCTGGCTGATAGGATTCGGACTTTTACTAGTTAATAAGCTAGAAATTACAGAGCTTTTCTCCACCTAGCTTGCCCGCCTCATCATTATCGAAGTTTGCCAAGTTTAACTAATTCAAGTCCACGCATGTGACCGTACGTACTAAGTTGAAAACATTGACCCGATGATCATCCAGATCTGTCCATGAGATCCAACCAATTCTAATTGCGTGGCATAACTTATACCCATGTGCCCCCACCATGCATGATGCAATGATCGCATGCAGTGAACCGAACCGTTAGTACCGTACATTTGATGCGGGGCGGCTGCCTAGGGCATGTGTTATAGGGGCATGATGACGATCATGATCGATACAAGGCTTGCATGATAGGCTGTACATGGGCTATATCACACTTGGGCGGCAAACTTGAGCTAGACGGCATGGCATTATCAAACGATTGGTTCGTAACACTTTGATCTACTGTCACGCAATCTGGCCGGACAGCGCGGCTTGTTTCTCAATTTACCATTTTCGTGCAACTTTTGGCCTATAAGTTGGTCACCGATCGCGACAAGCAGTGTTCAAGCAGCCAAATCTTCGCACTAAATCAGAAAGTGTCGTCAACTATTTTCTTGCCCGCGTTCCTTGGGAGTACGCCCCAAATAATAACTGCCGGTCCACTTACGAGCCACATGCCTTCGTATCACCAGCCATGACGCACCCTTTTCGCAGACGGGCTGAAGGGAGCCTCGGCTCGGGTGACGTCGGCGGGAAGCTGGATGATGTCAGCATGGGGTTACCATTCCGGCGGCAGACCTGCAGAGGTGAGCCTGATTGATTCGGCGTTTGGTAAACGAAGGCCGGCCCGCATAAGGAGGCTTGGACGCTTTAAAGTCTGCAGATGCACCGATGGACCACTCAGTGCCACACTTTTGAGGGACAACTGACTATATTCTGTGAGTGGTTAGGCACAATCCACACCGGCGCTTCTAAAGGAATGCGTCAAGCAGAGTTCTAAGACGCGTGCTCGTTGTAGATGCACCTTAGCGACGGGGTCGGAGGGAGCCGGAGAAGGAACAGCAGCGGAGCGAGTAGCATCGAACGATCTCGGCAAACCGGGAACTTACGATCCATTCTTTTGGAACGTTGATCTGTCGTTCAAGGGAAGCGTACTTGCACTCTGCAGTCAACTTGAGAGATCCGACAGCGTATACGACGTTCACCTGATACTGGTCGCCCGCACACTTGCCTTGCTCAGTTCCGCAGCGGCCTACTACGTGACGCACCCGCCTCTTCTGCTGAGACCTGGCAGTCTGGAAAGCCGAGAAGAAGAGTAAGGTCCCGTTTCGCTCGAGCTTCGTTTGCGAAGGCAAGAGACAGGGAAGAATTTTCTCAGGTCTCGGAGAGAAAAATGAACCGGGAACCGATAGCTTGCAGCTTCCGCCATCTTTCCAGCTTTCTCCGGCTTGCTTGAAACCCGGCACGTGCCGTTTGCAATCACCACCCGTGATTTGCTGGAATTATCCTCCCGCTGAAATGGCCCGTCCAGCGTTCCGCGAAACGATATGCCCTTTACAAGGGCGTCCATGATGATGACAAGGTGTAGGACTTTGGGCAGAAGACTAGCCTAAGTGAGAACTTATCATGAAGATTCTGCATGATAGGTGTATCTCGTCAGCTTAGGTTGTGCAGCCATTTAACGCTACGAACACATAAGTCAGGATTGCCTCTCATTCGGTAGGTAATCGAAATACTTCGTGCTCGAAAACCTTGTAAATGCCGTACCGGTAAAACGGTCGGTCGCAAAATGAAACCATAATGACAAGGTGTTCTTTTTCATAACATGATAATCATAATGACAAATTCGATACGGAACATCTTGAAAGTCTAAAGCTACAAAGGAGAGGACTGGCTGCATGCTCTCATCCACCTTCAACAGAAGGCAATTTGCAGAAAGCTCGATTCAAAATCGGTACATTTAAACAGAAAGAAACGACTCCAGCAAGTGCAAAACACCAAGAGGAGAGACATGCAGAGCAAGCAGTAGCCCACAACCTCTGCTTTGAACTTTGCAGACAACCGATTGGCCCAAAGTCCGAAAGACTTACTCACCGAAGCTACAGTGAAAACGTCCCATTCGCACTGCCCACGCACTGCTCCTCCTGCTCCTGTTCCGCGGTCGCTTGCACCTCTCCCGTCGACGCAGCCCCCTCCCCACTTTCGGCCTTCTCCCCACTCCCATTCCGTCGCTGCTACGTATATCCCCGCCAAAACTTGGCCGCCACCTTTCCCTTCGCAGCTCTCTGTGCACAGACTCAGAGTCACACAGAGCACCCCCACGCGATCTGAGGCGCAATGCTAATCAGAGCACCTTTGACAAAGGTGGTCGGGACCAGCAAGGAGCCTCTGAAGTCGTCACCTGCGTCTCTCTTCTTTTTGAAAGGTTCCTGGGATGATGGAACCGCGTGTGGACTATTTTGACCGCCTGAGCGATGATCTGTTGGGAGGCATTCTCGAGAGACTGCTGTAGAATCCTCATGAGTTTGGGACGCCGGACAAGGCTTGTGGAAGAGTGTGGCTGGAGTCGGTCTGCAAAAGGTTCCGGAGACTGGTGCATACGTCGGGGTGTCTGGATTGGCAGTTTGACAGGCCTAAGGATGGGGATGCCTTCATGTGTTACCTGGTGCGCCAACGAGCTAGATTGAGTCCCTTGACAAAGGTAGCTCTGGACGTTGAAAGGACAAAGCACTTGGGGGCAATCCTACAGTCAGTGGTAATTGCAGCCCAAGGTAGCCTCGAGGAACTCCACTTATTTGTGGGGGACTCGGTCCTAGAGGATGCTGTCAACTGGGAGTACATGTTCCTGCTTCTTGCTGCCCTGAGAATGCTCCGCATCCTGGATATATTTTCGTGGAAAAGAGGACCTACACACCGATATCCAGCGACTTTGAGCAGATCATGGTTCCCGGATTCCTTCCAAAACTTGACGTCGTTGACGCTGTATGGCTTTGCAATCCCTGGGGTGGAATTCAGCTCATTCTCAGAAAAGTTTCCGCTGCTGAAAGCCTTGAGCTCCACTCGTACTCCACTGGCGCAAACGTGTCCAGCAAGGCGAGCGCACTAGGAAAGGCTTTCTGGTGGGGCGATGAGGAAGCCGGGGTCGATGCGGATAATGCAGCGAATCTCAATCTGCCGAGGAGCCTTAACAAAGTGGTGGCGCTGATGGGGAGCAGGTTTGCGGATGTGAGAGAGCAGGCTGTGGTGGCTCTACATGAGCTGCTAAGTAGTACCAAGCAGCACATTGCCATAGCGGCTGTGCCTGGGGCCCTGCACAGCCTGGTGGAGCTCCTTGCTGACGGTGGGCATATGGCCGCTGCAACTCTGGGAAAGCTTGCTGACGAGGCTGCCAACAGGAGCCGCATAGCCAGTGTTCCTGGTTGCTTGTATAAGTTGTTGTTGCTTCTGGAGTGATGGAGTTCCGGCCCCAGGCATGTCGCTGCTGCAGAGACCCTGGTCAGTCTAGCAGGGGATGCTCACGTACATAGCAAAATCGTCAACGATTCCCACATTTTGGCAAGATTAATCGTCAATCTCAAGGACAGGTCTGGGAGGGTGTCCGAGATGTCCGGCTGGGTGCTCTGGTGCTTAGCAAATCCAGGCGCTGAGGGCGCCAGTGCTAGTTCTGGCGCGCAAGGGTGCCTGCAGAACATCGTCGCACTGCTGGACGCTGCGGGCCTGAGCAGTCACTTCGGGGAGCTACTCTCTGTCCTGTGCAACAATCGTTGCAAGCCTGTGGCTTCGACGCCTGCGTTTTTTGAGAGTTTGTTCAGCCTGGCGCTGAGCGAGCGAGTCGACTTACAGATAGCGGCTGCGGAGAGCTTGCAAACTTTGGGGAGGGAAGCTGAGAGTCGCAAGCTGATTGTTCAAGTCCCGGAGTGGCTGCAAACGCTGACAGGTCTTGTGGATAAGGGCAGAGGCAGTGTGGCAGAGAAGGCGGCGAACGTGCTGCGGGATCTCGCAGCCTCTGACGGCGCAGTACGAGGCGCTATAGCGGCGGATGCTGGAGCGCTTCAAGTGCTGGTGAGCTGTTTGGTGGGCGAGAGCACCCCCGTGCAGCAGCCTGTTGCCGCGCTACTGTCAGCGCTAGCACGCAATGCCACGACCAGGCAGGCGGTTGTGGGAGCGTACGCCGGGTGCTTGCAGGGACTGACTGCGGCCTTGAAAGACGGGAGTGCAGCTGTGCAGAAGGCTGCCTTGGAGGCGCTGTGGGTTGTGGGGACTGATGACGGTGCTCGCGAGGAGCTTCTCAACGTGCCTGAACTGGTGCCGGCGTTGGCAGACATGTTAGACGATAAGCGGCCCGAGGCAGTGGTCAAAGCAGCAGTGGGGGCTCTGCAAAGCATCACGGGGTTTCCTGCGATTGGAGAGTGCACAGCAGACACGCCGGGGTGCCTTCAGAGGCTTGTCCAACTTCTGCAGTGCGGGTCGGGCCGCGTGCGCACATGTGCGGCGTTCGTCTTCTCCCAACTAGCTGCGGATGCTGGTTTCCAAAAGGTGGTTGCGGAGGAACCAGGGGCCATAGAGCAGCTCGTGAGTCTTTTGGGCGTCGGGGGGCCGGAGGGGGCGCACAGGCCGGCGGCGCGGGCATTGCACACCCTGGCGTGGGATCTCGAGTGCCGGCCCCTCATCAGCGCCGCCCCAGCGTGCTTGGAACAGCTGTTTAATCTTTTCAAGGGTCCTCAGGACTACGTGCAGAGCGCGGCAGGGGAGGTGCTGTGGTTCACCGCGGTCGGCTCCGCCAGCAAAGACGCCTTTTGGGAACGGCCTGGGGTTGTCGAGGAGTTGGTAGACCTGCTAGGTGAGAACCGCACGGGGATCCAGCGCGCGCTCTCCGCCAGAATTCTGCACAATCTGACCCATGACGACAAGGGCCAGGTTGACGAGGCGAAGACCCGGGAGATTGCGGCTGCGCCGGGGTGCATGGAGCGGCTGTTCGGCCTGCTGAAATGCAGCGAGAGTTCCGTGGCGCAGTGGGGGTTGAGTGCGCTCCGGGCGCTGGCCGCAGTCCCCGAGATCCGGACGGTGGTCTTCGGAGAGCCGGGCTTCCTGCAGACGCTCGTCGGGTTTCTCGACCTGGACGCGTTAGACGAGTCGATGCTGGACGTTGCGCCGCGCGTTCTGCACCAGCTTCTGTCGGCGGACGCGAAGAACCGGGAGGCCTTCCTTTCCACCCCGGGCGGCCTCGAGAGATTGGTCCGTGTCCTGGGGACCGAGCTGCCACAGTCTGCCACGTGGCTGCTCATCGACCTGGCGGGGGGATCCCTCAGTGCGGGGACGGATCGCGGGGATCCCTGGGGCGCTGCACAAGCTGGTGGAGCTCCTGAAACCGTACTGGATGCGAGAAGTGGCGCTTGAGGCGCTCAGCGTCTTTGCGGCTGATAACGAGAACGGGCGGGCGATCGCCGCGGTGCCGGAGTGCCTCACGACGCTGCAGACGCTGGCGAGCCTGCCGGTCGCGGAGATCCAGGAGGGAGAGGACCCGGGGTTACGAGAGCTAGCGGCTGGAGTCCTCAGCATTTTGGGTGGGGCAGCGGAAAGAGAGGGGCCGCCGAAACAGGATGCGGGGGGAGCGGAAGGGGCCGAAAGCGGGGACGGGAGCGAAGGGAGCGGAACAAGCGAAGGGAGCGAAACGAGTGAGGAGAACGGGGTTCCTAACGAGAGAGATGATCCCTTAATCCAACGGCTCATGCAACAATCTTTAGATAGACAACATGGAATCGACGGTCGGGGCCTCCTAAGCACCTAAGCGCCCGCTGAGGGCCCTGGCATGCCTGCTCAATCGAAGTACGTTTGCATGGACGTTTGCCTGGTTCATGCGGCGCACTGCATGCATGTGGTGCCTACCATTTGCAAAATGAACTTCACCCTTGAACAGCTATATCACTTATTACTTATAACTTACGATACACAATCGTGGAAGATTGACGCTGACAATCGATTTGGCGACATCGTGATACGGTGCTCCACTTTCAAAACTTGATATCTTTCAGACCGAATACTAGGGCTGTATTTCATGTAATTCTGGAGCTTCATGGATATTCGCACCCAACTTCGGTTATTACATTCACTTAAAAGAAGGGCGTTCGACATCCTCTGCTCTAATCTCAATGCTTGCAAAACTTTGGAACGAGAAAAGTGTCTTTCACGGGTCGGATGCATTGTGTCAATGGGAAAAGAGGGCGGGAACATGCATTGCTGCCGAACTCGCATGTTGCGATGGGTATTGGACATGCAGTCCAGGTTTGACCGGAGTATCTGCTTATGATACATCTGGATGCCGCATTGACTCTAGGACAGGTATGCATACATATGGATGCCGTATTGACACCAGGACACGTGCATGCCTGCTTCAGCAACTCAGTCCAGGATTCAGCCGCGCAGAGCCAAAGCACATTCTTGTTATTGGGAAAACCCGCCCTTCCGTATTCACCAACTGCTGATCGATCAAATATTCGATGCGCCAGGACCACCAGGAACAGACCCCGGTGGTCTTGAAGGAGGAACCGCAGTCTGGCCGCCCGCTGGACCACCAGCGTTCGATGCACCTAAAAGTAAAAGCTGAGGTTAGCATGATTAGTATACCAGGTCAATGTATGTTCTGATGTTCGACTTTGAGCATCAAACGAATAGAGACGTGTTGCAAGGAGGCAACAACTTAAATCAAATGTTCGACTTTCACCAATCGTGAACTACCGAACAAGGAATATCGAAACGAATGCTGAAGGTGAAGAAATAGCCGTACACGGTCACCGGGTGCCTAAGCTCATCCTGTTTTGCTTTAGACGAGTTTTGGGAGAAAAGTCACCTAAATTTGGCGGCTTTTCGCTGCTCTCCCCCGCCGCCGATCTTTTGACCACCGCAAGCCGCTGCTTGTGTGCCTCGTTGACGGCCTGCGGAACGAAGGGGACCGGAAGCCGAAGTGAACGAACGTGCAGGGGACAGGCACCAGATTCTCCGGGCTCTAAGGACGGGAAATAAACGTCGGAGGGCAGGAAACAGCTTCGAAAACGCTAACGCAGACTCAGACCGGCTCCGACAAAACGGTCAACGACAGGGCAGGGGAGAATACAGACGGCACCTTCTACAATCCGATCTAATCAAGCACTTCGCCAGCTGGAAAATAACCAAGCTCTAATTCCATGATAGTACCGCTCGCAATTAACCGTGCACCCTTGAGTCAGACGATTGTGAGAACGCTTCTCAAAGAAAGGCCGACCAGAAGCTTTGAGAGAAACACGGCCGACCAAATGCATTGTTCACATAGCTCGATCCCGTTACTTGCAGGTCATCCGTGACATTGACTTGATTCAAGAACCCCCAATGCACAAAAATATCCAACGCCACCATCCTCAATCCTACAATCGCGTCCAAGCCAAATCAGCTTATTCGTAAAGCCGTAACAGAGGCGTCAAGCAAGGACAACAGGCCTTTTTTTTCCAACATCGAAGAGGGAAAGAGCGACCGAAACGTCTGCACGTGGACTCACTGGTCGCCTGTAGGGCCGCAGCTCGTCCCCACTGAAGCCTGGTATCGTCATATGCCAATTCCGTTCTGCACCACGGGGAATAAATTCCCGTTTGTACAGTGACTTCAAGAAGATCTGGCAGTGGATCTTGATTTCGACAATACGCCGCTCAAAGTGGGCGTAGTGTCACACTGGCGGCATCGCCAATGCATGACGACAGCAAAACTCGGTCAAGTGAGCATCGTCCGATGAATTCAGCTGACACTCTCTGCTATTAGAGATGCACTGCCGAGCGCAGACGCCCAACATAATTGACGCCAATCGGATAGCATGGGTTTGCTCAACGATACTAGCAATCTGCCAGCGTGCGGAGAACAATCGACCCATGTCCGCTGATGCAGGAAACGAACCGCCTACAGAGAAGATCTACAACATAAGACGTCCATCAATCAAGCTTTTTGCATGTTAGAAAGCATTTTTTACACCAACCTTTCGTGACAGTTTGCAGAAAGGTCTACCTTTTTCTTCGGACGATACCAGCGCAGAAACCACGTTTTTCACTTCAGATTTTCAAGGACACAACAGAACGTTCCGAAGGAACGTCGAGCAATCCAGCCACGATTGCTTACCTAGATGTAGGAGGACGTCCTTGGCCTCTAGGACCGGGGACTTTCGATGCCGAGCCAACGAACACGAGAAGTTGGTGACCTGCATCAGAACAAAATTCAAATAAGCGACGAGAACAATCACATCCTAGCATTGGCCTTGACCAAAGTTCCTCAAATGGAAGGCCCTTCTTTCACAAGAAATGGGTTCTGTGCGTCAACACACAACATTGAACCAGGCGCGCAATTTGCCCTTCTCTTTGATGATAGATGCTCGGAGCGGCCAAGATTATCTCCCGCATGATGTGATCTCGATCCCCAGATCGCAGCTTGACGCTGGATGGAATCTGCAACCAGGCTCGCCCAGGAAAAATAGACCTTTTGGTGAACGTTTCCCCCCGATCGTAGTCTTACAGAGAGCCACTGAACTGCAGGGCGCTAGCCAAATCGACATCATTTCAGCCTCCGGCATCCGCCCTCAGCAAAAGCCGTGACTTCGACCTGATTCATTGCAAAAGGAACATGGTGTGGTGAGAACCGACGGCCGACAAGGGCTCACCGATTCGATGAAGTCGTCAGCGACCTCTAGCAGCACGTCTTCTACCTCCGGATCGAGCACCGCTCCTGGGTCCACCTGGAGAAGGAAAAGCCATCTTGCGAAGTAAGAAATCGCCTCGACCAAAAGAATGCTCAGCTTTTCAGCCTGCTCCAAGTACTTGCATTTACACTTTCGCATAGGCTAAGAAGTGTACTTCACGCGTTCTTCTAACTCTACATGAACGGTTGAAGTCCAGCCCTTTGGTTGGGAGGACCGCGGATGGCCGTCCGTTCGACACAAATCTAAATGATTATTTCAAGTCAAGCTTGACAAGATCTTTGATACAGGGCACAGGCAGGATCAAGATGATGCTTGCTAGGTCGAGCTCTGCACCTGTTTCACCTCTAAGTTACAGTCTGTTGCTCTGATCAGGTTTGAGAAGAAGCGTTTCACTTTGCAGAACGAAGATCACCTAGTTGCAAACGAGAAACAGTGACGACAAAGTGCAAGTGGTACTAAGACCTAGACCGGAACAAGATCAAAACTATTCCTAATACCTGGAATACGAACCCCTGTGACATCAAGAAAACTGGAAAAAGTGCAAAGGCAATTGAAGGTGCACAGAAATTGAGACTCGCAACCCACCGCACCTGTGCTAGTAGATCTTGTAACGTCCGTTTCCCAAGCAGCTGTGCCGGGGCAGCGGCGGGCGGTCTGCTGAATCGCGTGAGTCCTAAGGCCTGGGCCGCCTGGGCCTGGGCATTTGACACCGGGGGAAGTCCAGGGGAGCCAGAGCGCTGCAGGAGGCCCTTTTGTGTCAAAGCAGATACAACAAGATTCTACTTGAACATTTATAGGACTTAAGTATTTATCATTGTCGTCAATAACGATAAGTTCTTCAAAAGCTTACACCAGTATGTTTGTACGACTTGTGTATTTAACAGAGAAACTTGCAAGTACGATTCAAGTTTGATTCGTCATATGACAAGAAGCTGGATCCGTGCAGCTATAGCTCTAACGCAGTCCGTGAAGAGATGGGAAAGGGTATGGTGGAAAGGGTACAAAGTCTTATGGTCCCTATGGTTCGTTGAACCAACCAGCTTGAGTCAAGGGTCAGGACTCACACGCGAGCTCTTCTACGTTCAATGTTTCCTCAACTATACCCAGATATACATTTTTTCACGCGAAAGAGTTGGGCAAGTTCATATAGCAGATATCAGAAAGGCGTATGTATGTATGACTGATAGAAGAAAAGGCCCGAAGCAACAGATACTAGATTTCAGCATCTTACCTGTGCTTGAGGCATTGGCTGAAAAGCCCAAAGCAACAGAACAAGAGTTCGTCATATTACCTGTGCTTGAGATATTGGCTGCTGCGCCGTCCCTCCAGCGGCTGGCCTGGCTTGTGACATTCCGGGGGGGTTGGCCTGCTGGACCGGTCGCGCTTGCATGCCCCCCCCTTGAGAGGCTGGTGGAAAGAAGGGCGAGGGTGACCGAGCCTGTGCGAGTCCCGCCTGTTGCTGCTTCTTTTGAGCTGCGGTCAGAGCGACTGTGGGCGTCTGCGCCCTCTGCGTACGGGACAGGAGAAAACCATCAAAGAAGGTTGATCTTGGCAAAGAGGCAAAATACAAGGCAAAAGGGCTGACAAAGGCTCAAAATGTCGATACAAAAGAACTATGACAAAACTGGTGAATAGTCCGCCCAAGGTGAAAAAGTTGAAGTCAATGGCCCGACTACATGCTGTACCAGGCTTCGCAATGATTGAAACGATCTGTTTTCAGTCCCGATGCTTGACCAGCCCAGCAACATGAAGAAACCGCACTGTTTCCTGCCTGCACGTCAAGTGAGATCTTTGCTGATGGGACTACACTGTAAGAAGGTCAGAGGTGGCCCAACCAAATGTCCAAAAGCTACAGAAAAGTTGGCCCCAAATTCTTCATTGACACAACTTGTCAATCCGGTTAGAAACACTATCGTAAGCTGCAAAGTGACAGGTTTTGTGCAGCACTTTTCTTAAGCCTCCAGTGATACAACGCTGCAAGAAGAACACAATTCCAAGACTTTCAGAGCCCCAGAAATCGAATCTCCAAGCACACAAGAAAACGGAGTACGTGGAAAGATCCACCATACCAGTATTTGCGAGCCTGGAGGCACTTGGCCGATCCCTTCTCCAGGCCTGATCACATTGGCCCCCGCTGGCCTTGCCCCTAAAGTCTGGCCATAGCTTCCCGGGAAAGTCGGCATAGCTGATGACGGAGAGGGCATAGCAGATGCAGGCTGTCCAGGTGGTCGCTGTGCATTTGGCTGTGGCGTTTGCATCAGGCCAGGAGCAGTTGCAAGGGGCGGCGCTGTCAAGGGGCCTGCGGGACGGGGGGGCTGCTGCTGCTGCATGCTTGACCGTTGCTTGACCACTTCTGAACGCGTGCTGACCTGTTCCCAACCTGTGCTCGACTTGTCCTAAAACTGTGCTTGACCTAGTCTAAAACAATGCTTGACTTGTTCTAAGCTGGTGCTGATCTTTCATACGTGCTTGATGAAAAAGTCTCGACCAACTATTTACAGAATTCTTGCTCAATCAATTCTTGAGTGTCTTTCTCCTATGTAGTGGTCTCTTGATTTTAACAAGGCGCATTGGTTTCACTGATCCCAATGCTCACCACCACCTTTGTCTTGCGCCGATGGTCACGACCAGGCTTGTGACTATGCAGTCTTATTTTTCCCCAAACACTTTGCTGCCAGGGTTTCAAGTTTCAACTATGCTTTTCTATCAGAAGGTGCCTCCTGAAACCTTGCTGCGAGAAGCAAAAGAAAGAAAACTGGAGATGCCGCACTTCGTCGAGCAGAGACAATGTTCCAGACTTTACACTCCTTGCATGCCACTCCCTTGCCTGGGCCCTGCCCCTGATTGTGAAAAGTAAGGGGCGTCAGTATTTGTAGGGAGGCAAACGCCAATGGGAATTGCTGTCTATCCTACGTAAATATTATGTAACCTCGCACATTTGAATTGTTGAATCTTGTCTCGCTTTGTTGTCACATGGATCAAATGCAAGGCCACCTTTGACAAGGTCCGCCTGGACAGCGGAACGTTCCGTCGGCTCAGCGACCAGTACCCCAGATTGTCCATATTTATTAATGCGGTATTTTGCACCGGCCGGAATTCCGTGTCCTAAACCAATTCAGCGGAATACTTGTCTGGAAGAGATCTGCATCTGGCAGCCACTCCGGAGAAAGTTTGATCACATTCTGCAGTTCTTGTTTGATGCCTTGGGCGCTTTGGTGCGCATCAAGGGCGTTTCTGGCAGCCAAGTCATCGAGCGTAGTATTGCTTGCCAACCTGTCGCAGGTCTAGGCATTTGGAAACCTCACATGATGTCGCCCCGAGCGCTGCTCCCTGCAGTTGCAAAGCGGTTGGCCTTTTTGGCGCCACTTGAGAGTGCCTTTTCTTTGGACGCCGCTCGGTTTCTCAGCACAGAGAGCAGAGATCTGCTGAGTGGTGCAGAGAGGCAGGTGGTGACCAGTGATGGCGCAAGGGTGACATCAGCATCGTGCGGGGTGACATCAGCATCCGAAGAAGAGAATGTTTTGGGTGGTGCTTGCGGAGCAACCATTACCGGGGTGGGAAAGGGCTCTGGCCCCAGATGGCTGGTGAATCTGAGCGATGCAGGAGTCTGGGATGGTTTTGGGGCCAGTGAAGCGAGGGGGTATCACTCAAGCAGGTAAGAGGCCGCTTTGATAGAGACCCTCTTTACCTTGCGATTTCTTTTTTTTTTTCTGATGTCAGATCTGGCCCTGTGCACGCTCTGACATGCAGCTAGACTCTTTTGTTCAAGGAGCGTAGGATCTCTTCAATGTGCTTAGAAGCACATTGACATATTTGCAGTGGTCTGAGTTGAGAGTCTAGTTGTTGAGTTGTCGTTGTTTCTCTGAGGTGCTCGTTGGTTCTGTGATCAAAGGGGATCTCTCACAGATGGAGCCACTTGACAAACTTTGACATCACTTCATTGATTTCATGATGGAGACGGTTTACTCAACTTAGACCCTTTGTAAGAGGATCTTTGATACGAAGATTCTTTGTGTCAATCGCCAGTGGTTAGCTGTCCACTGGTCTAGTAAGACACTAGTTTAGTAAAGCATAAGTGCGCATGCACTGAAAAGAAGAAACCCTGACCACAGTATGTGCCCCAACATTTGGAAGGCAGACAAAAGTCCAGACCACGTTCATCTTTTGTTTTGCAGTTATGTTGTAGATCTGTTCTGAAGAATGGCTGTTCCCAACGCTCCAGGTCCGTTGACATCACCTTATCACTTCGTCAGAAACTCACCACTCCGCTTTTTGGTGACCCTGCGTGTCGCATCTGATTTTATTGTTAGCATTGTCTTGCAAAAGCCTATCATTGCCTGTTTGCAGCCGTCTCACAAAGGCGCAGTCGGCCGTCCAGTACGCGGACGACGCCGACGACTTTCCCCAGCATTTCTCCAGCAATCGCAGCCAGGGCAGCTATGGATCCTCACGGAGTGGGGGTTACGGAAGTTCTGGTTACAATTCTCGGCCCCAGTCACGAATGGGAGGGTATGACCGGAGGAGGACTGGGGGAAGGGATGGGATGGACTTCATGCCGAGGCGAGAGGCAGTGCCTAGGGTTCGGATAGAGGTTGGGGAGTATGACAGGGAGGCGCTTCCGCAGAGCTCTTCAGAAGAAGTGCAGGCGTTTTACGAGGAGAATGAGATCACTGTTGTGGTAAGTCTTGGAGGAATTATGGTGTGAAACTCGCGGCAGACATCTGTTGAAGGCGTCTTTTGATGGGATTTGAAGATGGATGACGATCAAAGCGAAGCTTGTTAATGTTGTAACATTGTGGTCAAGTGGTGGTTAAGAGAGTGAAGAAATGATTGCGGGAACCTATGATTGCATGACAAGATTGTCTGTTTCAGCAAGACCTTGATGGGTGGGTGGTATGCAAATGAAGCATCAAAATGGCCGAGCAGAAAGTTCTTGTTGCAATGTCTTTGTATGTATCAACATGGTAAAACTGCAGCTAGCTTAGAGGGAGGATGGTATCTCAGGTCGTCTCACTTTTATAATGCCAACCCTCAAGACAGAAAGAGCAGACAGTGAAAATTGCTTGAGGTGGTTGTTTGACGAAGGACCGATATTCACCGGGCTATCTCCTTTGCAGGGGGAAAACATTCCTTCTCCCGCCTTGACGTTCGAGCAGACGGGTTTCCCAGAGCAGTTCATCAAAAAGGTAAGGATCGGAAAGAGTTTCTGCAGATGGTTGGTCAAAAGGAACATCAGGAACTTTGATCAGCCACAAGGATGGGTATTGTGTCGATAAGGGTATGCTGTGTGTCGATAAGGGTATGCTGTGTGTAATAAAATTATTATCTTCAGCAGTGACACTCTAGCCACATGTGGGGTCTGCCATGGTGTGCCTCGTTGTCAATTTTGGAAAGTCGAACGGAAGCGCCTTCTGCTTCTGATCAAAGTGTGTCTCCTTTCCTCGTATTCGTTGGCCCCCCGAGTGAGCCTGTACGAATACGAAAAGTTATTCGAGAACCAGGTCTGTGGCGGTCCTCTGACTCTATTCCATCGAATAGCGAGCCCTTCTTGTTTATTGCAAATTCCAAGGCTCCATTCACCTCTGCAATTGACAATCAGATTTGTTGTTATTGTGTCTGCTCAAAGAGGCTGACGCAAAAGATTGTGGGCAAAATGCTTTTCCTCACAATCAGCAAAGACCCTGGGCTCGATGCCCTGTTCGAGATGATCGAAACCCATCTTGATGTAGGCGTCTTCATCTGCTTCTTTAGCCTTGTCAGACAGACAAGGCTAGTTCTTGACTTTCATTTGACCGCTATTTCTCATTCCGACACAAGATATAATTTACCTGGCACTTTTGTGATTCAGCTCTGAGTATAACTGGTCACATCGGTTCTCTTTTGCAGCTCAGTAGCGGTGGCTTCGAGAAGCCGTTCCCCATTCAAGCACAAAGCTGGCCGCTTGGATTGCAAGGCCGCTCCCTCGTCGCCGTTGCCAAAACCGGGTCTGGGAAAACCCTGGGTTATCTCTTGCCCGGGTTAGTCGAGGTCTTGAAAAAGAAGAATGATCGGAGGGTGGGGCCGACGGTGCTCGTGCTGGCGCCGACGCGCGAACTCGCAAACCAGATCCAGGAGGAGGCGAGCAAATTCGGGCGGATTGCGGGGCTTACCAGCGTGGTGAGTGTTTGTCTCTGTTAGCGGATCTATGACAATCGACATAGCATCGTTGGCAGAGCGCCAAGTGACGTCGATTGGTTCGGTGAATTGTCCAACGGTTTCTAATATTCGGGGTTGACGAACACGGCAGTACTGGGGTCCGGTCGAGTGAAAGTCGCTCTTGATCAGCTTCGCGGAGCTTGACTTGGAGGAACTTCTTTTTTGAAAGGGGAGCTTAAGATGACTTGGCCTATCCCGGTTGGCTGCAATTCGCAGCTTTTGTATTTCAAGAATCTGTGTGTGACTTGCAAAGACCTGCAAATTTCAAAACGGTTCGAAGCTCCGAAACCTCTCAACCACAGTATCGGGAGTCAATGACGGGGGCGGTCAGTCAGCCTGGCTGATCGCCCCGCGCCTCTGGAGCGGCTCTTTTCCACGCCGTATGTTTCAGCGCAAACGTCACAGATCAAGCCCCGCCACGTCGCAGGCCCTCGGGCCTCCGTGGCGGGGGGTCGCATATTCCATCACCGTGAGGAGCCGCGTCGCGGCAAGTACCTCTTTGGGCAGACCATGCGACCCACATTTCCTCTCCTTTCTGTCTAGACATTGTCTAGAATACTCTTTGCTGACTTCGTTTGATCTGTACTTTCAGTTTACAGGGCCTTTCGGGAAGGCTTTGTGTTCCGTCCAGTCAAGCTGTCGAGTTTCGTTTGGTTGTGGTCCGACTCGTATTTCTTTGCTTTGCCACGTGTCCCTCGAGTTCCTCTTTAAAACAGCCTATTCCTGATGGAATTCTACTAGTCACCTGTATATTCTAGACGAAGCGCGTCTGGCTTTTCCGAGCCCTCTGCAGGTTGTTACTAGGCCTGCTACCATTCTGTGCTACTATACAAAAGCCTACTGAGGACAACATCTCCTTTTTTGAGTTAAAACGATGTTGAAGTTTACCGATTGGTTATGTACCTTTGCAGTGTCTGTACGGCGGTGCGTCCAAGGTTCCCCAGATGCAGATGATTCGGGCGGGTGTCGATGTTGTCATCGCGACCCCAGGACGGCTGAACGACTTCATCGAGATGGGGCAGATCGACCTGAGCCAGGTTTCGTTCCTCGTCATTGACGAGGCCGACCGGATGCTTGACATGGGTTTCGAGCCGCAGATTCGTCGGGTAAATTCCTCTGTCTTCCTCCTCGGCTCGGCATGTTCGATTGCCGATCCCACTATTTGCAAAAACTTGCATGAATTAGATTGACTCGAGACAGGTTTTCTTCTCGTCATTGATGAGGGCGACCGGATGCTTGACATGGGCTTTGAACCGCAGATCCGTCGGGTGAGCAGTACTTGCTTGAATTCCTGAAATCGTTCACGGATATCGTGGGGTCGGATCTGTTTGTTTTTTCACGTAGATTGCGGGGTTCACACAAATCTGATTTGATGTTATCCTGCGTTTGACGAGGCCAGTAGTATGCTTGACATGAGCTTTGAATTGCACATTGATGCGCAGCTGACTTCGATTTCGAGTTTTCAATCTTTCGTAGTGCTCGTTGCTTTCTTTTATTTCTGTCCTAAAATGCTAGAAGTTACAGGGGAAGTCTAAAGCGGGTCCATCCAAACACCCGCAGATTGTGGAGAACGTTCCTGAGGAGCGTCAGACGCTCTTCTACACTGCCACGTGGCCTCGTGAGGTGCGGTCCATTGCGTCGGATCTGCTCAACGACCCCGTTCAGATCACCATTGGCAGCACGGATAACCTGGTGAGCTTTTCAGGTTCTCCTATTTCATCTCTAATTTTGATTCTGGTCGTCTGGGTGGGAGGTTGAAAGCATAGGTATTTACAGAGGAGTACGAAAAGGATATAGTTGCTTAAGTGCATCAAGATTGCACAAATTGGGTTACTGCGGTCTAGTCCTCCTAGTTCCATTGAGTGATCTCTCTATACAACCTTCTTTGCGTATATTAACGCAGTTTCAAAGTTTGAAACTGCGTTGATATCAAAAGTCGAATGGAAGTTGCTCTTTCTTTGAAAGTCGTCTTTGATCCCGGGCCCTGGTTGTTTACAATCAGGCCGGCTTTCGAGGCGCGTGCGCCGATGAAGCTAGCACTGCAAGCCGAAACGATATCGGCCTTTGTTTTGGGTGCGGACAGTGCTTAAGCAGCAGGAGACTTTTTGAAGGGGAGGGTTTCGAAAGCAGGGCCGGTTTTCTTGATTGGCTGCAGATTTGGAAGCTTGCATCACATTTTGAAGCCTCACGTCGTTTTCCAGGTAGCGAACAAGAGCATCACGCAGCGGGTGGAGATCGTGAGGACCGGACACCAGAAGCGCGAGCGGCTGCTGGAGCTGTTGGCTGAGAAGCAGGGGGCCAAGGTTCTGGTGTTCGTCAACACCAAGTCCGAGTGCGAGGCGCTCATGTGGGAAGCATCGAAGGACCGGAAAGCAGGTGGGCTGAGGGTCCCTCATGTTCAGTACTTTTTTTGGCTCTTCTGTCTTCACGGACATGTGTAGCTTTCGCTTGGAGAAAGAGGGGTTCTTCACCTTTCTTCAAGGCGAGGGTGTTGTAATTCCACCACAAAACAGACCTTCTAAAGCGCAAATCTTCGGTGGGCCTGGTGATTTCAAGCATTGCATGCCGATGCGTTTGCCCCTCTGCGTGCCCTCCTTGCCCTCTGCATTGAGACCGTTGAACTACAGTAGCTGAATAAAGGCGATTGGAATGCTCTTCCATTGATCAATCGACCCGCTCCATTGCAGCCACGATCCACGGCGACAAGACGCAGCAGACCCGGGAGATGACGCTGCGCGCTTTCCGGACGGGCCGCGTCGATGTGCTCATTGCAACGGACGTAGCAGCGAGGGGAATCGACGTCAAGGACATTGAGCTGGTCATCAATTTCGGTGACTCAACGGGGCCTCCGGGTTTTCACCAACTTCATTAACGCGCCTTCAAGTGATTTACGGCTTGATTTATACGGCTTAGTTCACTTCGTTAGCGGCTGATCGGTTTACTTCTTTGAAGGATAATGGTCGGGCGCGTCGTTTTCCAAATTGTCACTTGCCGCTGACATTGCTGAAACCGCGGACCGACCTCCGTTCTTTGAAAGACCTGGAAACGGTTTGGGCTTTGATTTTGCAGACGGTTCCACTTTGGTCAAAAAGTTATGTTCTCTAGGGGGGGCAGCGGAAGCCAGAGAACCTCTCATCTGTTCCTCCTGCAAGTCACCCTTAGAAATCAACCAGGTGGCATTCAGCACATTTGACGTCCTGACGCGTGGTACCTGTTTTGAATATCACCCGCGCTGTACCGAACGCGTTTTCTCAAAGGCGGATCTGGCGCTCATGTTTTCACCTCACTGACGGCCTTGCTCCTTTGTGATCCGGTGCCAAATCACACGCTTTATTTGAAAACTTCGATCGATTGCTATGGACGCCTTCGCTGGCTTATCTTCGTTTGAGCAGCAACACCGATCGCTTCTGGGCAACGTGTATTGATAGATTCCAGCTTCCCCGCTCTTTCACGCTCCCGAAAGGATGTTCAGACGGTCTGGTGAAGCAAGTTCTCAGGTCCTGCGGAGGCGTAACAGACGCCACCCTGTCCCTGATTGGGGAAATTTTTGATGTTGGCATAGCCAGAGTTGTCGGTTGTCGTCGTCCTCTTTTGTGTTGCTGACGTCACTCCCGATTTTGCGCCGGCTGGCGGCACATCCGTTTGAATGCGGATGGCCGACGAACATAAGGGAACATGGTGCTTTCTTAACGGTCCCCAAAGGGGAGGCAGTTTTGACAAAACACGCAACTGACGAATCCGTATTGCGCGCAGACTTCCCCAACTCGGTCGAAGACTACGTGCACCGGATCGGCCGGACTGGCCGTGCGGGCGCGGAGGGCATCTCGCACACGTTCCTGACGGACCGTGACGCCAGCCACGTGCCGGCGCTCGTGAAGGTGATGAAAGGGTCCGGCCAGGAGATCCCGGAGGAGCTGGCGCGCATGATGAGAACTAGGGCGGGCGCTTCCAGCGGTGAGAAACCCTCTTTTGGTGAACAGCAAAACATTTTGGCTGCTTTGCGGGTATGGAATAGGGCTTTCAAGTCAGTCGATTCCTTGATTGGGGCGCTCCGCAAGGACTCGTGTTTCCAACCGTGAGGAGACCTGCTTTTGGTTGAGTCACTTTGTACACTGGCTGGTATGCGGGTGTGCAAATAGGGCCTTTCAGACTGGTCCTTTTGAGGCGTCTTGCCGGTTGGTGCTTCTTTCGTGGTCCTTTCTCGCTTCCGCGAAGTGCGTCGAGGTTTGCTGGCAAGGCACCTAAACCTTTGCGACCGCTGTACCTTGGGATTCATTTGCCGGTCAGGATTCCCTTCAAGAGAAAGTTCAGGCTTCATTTTCTAGAAGTTTATGCTTTAGAGATTACCTTTACTGTCGTTTCCCTTGTCCCTTTGGGGAGGAGGTTCGCTTTTGTAGGACTGACTTTTACGTTGGCTGAGACATGATTGTGCGAGGCACCGCTCAATCGGTTTACATTTCAGAGGTGGAAGGGTTTGACTTCCCGCAGTTGCGAAGAAGCGGGGTCTACTTTGTTAGTGGCCAGTCATGCCGCCGTTTAAGCAGACGGTTCTGATTTCAACGGCCGCATTCCCTTGCGAGGAGCATCCTCCTGGTCTTCTTAGGAACGAGCAGCCACGGACAACAGCCTACTTTTTGTTTTGGAAGCATGACGGTCAACCAGATTTCGTTCGTGAAGCTGTTCCAAGCCTCAGAAGGAGTGGGTGGCAATCTCTAAGTTGGGTTCGCTGTTGGATGCAGGCCAAAATCGGGGGCGCTCGCGCGGCTCGGGCCAGCGGTATCGCGACTCAAGCAAACGGTGGGACAAAAGCATGTATGCCGATAAGTTTTCCATGGGGCGGCGGGATCGATGGTAAATTCAGCAGTGCGTGTACAAAGGACGCAGTTATAGTGTCGCAGTTTCGTTGGGCTCGTGCGGTTAACGCTGAGAAGCTGGGTCAGCTTTGTGCAGCGGTCATCAAATTCTTGAGCCTGGGGCGAAAGGAGTTGTGCAAAAGCGGTATATTGGCTCAGCACTACCTAAAATCCATGTCTACCATACACTATTTTTACCTCAGGCTGCCCGCAAGTCAAACAACAAGGGTGCATTCATTTGTCGGGTCGTCTATTCACCGAAGGTACTTAAGTTTTGATCAATATTGACAAGCCATGGTATGTCCCCTCATTATTGCGCGATAGCTCTGGTTACAACTGACATCTAAGCCTAGCTATGAGCGGTGAACCTGCTGTGCCAGGCGGCTCAGCTGGTCTTTGTGGAGATCAGTCCGCAAAACCTATGCTTGAGGAGGGAGTCAGGCCGAAATTGAATGTAGTTGCGCTTCTGAAGTTGATGCAAGCTATGTGCCGTCGAAGACAATTGTCTACGCTGCTGGATTTTGCAATCGAAGCGTGAGGCGAAAGCATGATTCAACTGGGCACTCAAAAGCACTAGCTAAGTTAAAGCATCACGTAGGCCACGATTGCAAGGGGACGACGTGTCAAACCAAGCGCCTGGCGCTAGGGTGAGTCTGCATGCATGCGCGCTGCTGCCATGATGGTCTTGTTATAGATGCTCACTGCCTCAGTTCCCTGCCGGGCCCGGTCAATGTACCAGGGCCGCAAAAATGGCAGGTTAGCTTTGCCGGGGCATGGCTTCTAGATCATGTTAAGTTGAATAGTTGGCGAATCTGGTATATTGCTTTGGACTTGGAATAATTCGTGCCCAATGGTGACAAATCTGAGTTCAAGGCCATTGATCTTATGCATCGATCAAGGTATGCATGCTTGAAATCGTTTGCGAGCCATTATCTGCAATTAATTGTAGCTAGCCTCCAGGCAGATTTTAGAATTCCTAACGCGCTCCAAGGCATCATGGGCATAATCATGGAAAATTATAGATCTGCTTTGTCTTTATGTCCGTCTGCTTGATTGTCTAGCTCTTAAAGGCTAAGCGCGATCGAGGCGCAGTCGCTTTGACCAACTTGGCAATGTTGGAAGGGGGTTCTAAGTTTATCATAAGCTCATATCTCGCACTGTAGCAAGCGCTCTTGCCGGTGTCACTTCAATGCACAGCCACCTTATTCTGGAATGTCTAGCCGCCATTTTAAGAGGGCGTCAGATTTCAAAGCGCACTAGTGGCATCTGAGTCCCGAGGGAAATTCTCGGACGGACTAGACTGCATGTTGAAATTTGGCCCGAGCGACCAAAATGCACCATTTTCCGGTATATGGTCGCCGAGGCGTGACGAGTCCCAAGACGCCCTCTTTAAGCGTGTCGGCATGCTTGGACGACAAACCAAACAGCAGGCCCTGTTACAACGCAACCCGTATGTCAACTGCCGTTTGCCCGCTGGCTAACCCACAACACCTCCGAAAACGAGGCCCGCAATGGCGGGTACAATCAAAGCAGTCCAACGAAGCGTGGCCCCTTTTCCGCTTCCACCCGTCTGATCCGCTACGCTGCCCTCGTCGCCAGTCGACGACACCGGAGGTTGCGTCGTTCCGATGATGCCTAGCAAACGAAAGAATAACTGTTGAGAATACAGAAAAGTGCAGCGAAAGATCGACTCTGTCGAACCACAATCATCTAAACAGTCTCAGAAGTGGGCTCAATTTTATCATAAAGTAGCTAGATTCACGTTGACTCGAGCTACTCTCCAAACAGTCGGGGTCTTTAGGTGATACCGGATGTGTAGCGTGCTAATATCTGATGAAAGATTCGATCTGGCTATGCTTTTGGTCTCCCGTCTTCATGTAAATCTAGGAGCTGATTCTTTTCAGGAGCGTTTTGCCCTTGGTTGGGCAGAGTCACTGGAAATAGCAAAGCAAAACACCGTTCACTCGAATCACAATTATCTGTTTTAATCGGACCAATCAAAGAGAAACACGTGGCGCGCCCACACCTCCGCTCGGTGTCGCGCTCGCGATGGAGCTGCCGTCCAACCCGAGCCGGAACGCGCACGTGCCGGTTGAGGGATCCCTCTGAGTAACTGTTGCTACGCCGTCGAAGTTACACGTGTTGTCCCCCTGTTGGTGGTGCTGGTAATACGTGTTGAAGGCGTATGAAGCGTGGAGCAACGTGCTGTTGTTCTGCACGAACACGGGACCCGAACACAAGCGTAAGGAAGAAGAAAATAGATTCTGAAGAGCCCGATCCCGAATCGGCTGAGGGCGGGTCAGCATCGCAATCGCCCCAGGAGCCGGGGGATGAAGATAATCTCGTTAGTACTCGGCCGTTAAGGCTGGGGTAAAGCCCAATGCCGTTGTTTTGCTCTGGTCGACATCGCAAAGATCTCATTGATTTCTTCTGCGTGGGGCCTTCAGCGGTGGTCGAACCGACCCTTATGCCCTTTCGGCAGAGAGCCTATGGGTCTTTTGAAAAACGCTAACATTTAAGTACAACTCCTTCTCGCGTCACTGGAAGGCCCGAGGCGCTCAAAGTACCACAGAAGTTTTCGACCTCTTTTCCAATTCTGGTTCTAACTTAATTAATGATATGCTGATAAATTATTTGCAGCTTACTCCGTAGCACGAGCCGCCCGGTTGCAGCGGCGTGCAGTCCGCGCCGCCCTCGTAGCACGCGTACTGGATCGCCGCTAGCAAGTCCTTGACGAGGACTCCCGTCCTGGCGACGCACCACTGGAAGACAACGGTGACGAAATGTCGGTCTCGATTCTGCCGTGTTTACCAATTTCACCAAGCGAGTTTGCTCACTATCGGACTTGAACCGATAACCTAGAAGGAACGGATTTTCAGTCTGTCGTGTTTACCAATTTCACCAAGAGAAGAAACAGAACCCCAAAGCAATCTCGTGGGTATTGACGCCGAGAGGGTCCATTTGGAAGTCAGAGTCCTGAGCGTTACGGGCAGCTTTAGTGGCAGTAATGCTTCTCGTGTACGGAATTCAGAGTCTGATTCTTCGAGTGATAGTGGCGCCGGCGGTTAATTCCTGTGAATCATTGTATTACAGTGGGCTTTGAGAAATGAAGGTCGTGCAGGATTCAACTGGTCGTGAGACGCTCGTACAAGTGCGCCGTACCTGGGTTGGCAGCAGTTTAGGGCTGGCGCTGACTAACGTCCCGGAAGAAGCGCCAGTCAGATCCAAAGCGTACTTGGCAACTCCCTGCAGAAACAATCGTCCGCCTTTTCAGACTCCTGTTACTCGCACCAAGAATGCTTCCAGGGATTCCGAAGAAATACCCACAAAAACTCCGAATTTGAGCAGATTCAGTGCTTTTAAAACGGGGAATGAGCCAAAGGTTGAGGTGCACGAAGAGGCAGAAGGTTCTGAGATCACGCCGAATCAGGTGGATCTGAGCGGATTTCCGGTCATGGCACATACCAGCGGAACTTCTGACATGCCGGAAACTGATCGAGCGGAACTCGAAGCTGCTTAAGTTGAAGGTGCCTTTCGTTCAACTGGTCCCCATAGGTACCTCTTTTGGCATTTATTGGTGTATTATTTGCCCAGGTCTCAGCCCAACCTTCACCGGTTCCTTCAACCAGGCACTCGTCGCCCTTACCGTCTCGGTAAAAAGCCCCCAGTGCCGCTCGAAAAAGATACCCGAGGACACGTCCTTCTGGTCTTCGTCGAGAAGCTCGAAGAAATACGTGGTGACCTGCAGGCGGAGCGGACATGTCCGACTCTGATTCAGATTCAATCGCTGCCGTCTATCTTTTGCCGTCAAAAGGATGGACGTTCCAGATTCGTTGTTACTCAAGGGTTTTGCACTGTTGGCCGGGACCCTTTGCGGAACCATACCCGAATGCGGTTAAGCTGGCCACGACTAAAGCATGCAAACACGCACAGGGGTAAAGTACCGTCAATCAAGGCGGGTTTATTCTCCGGTTAAATGCCCTTCTGCCAAACGAAGCTGGTTAAGAACTGGTTAGTGGCCCTTAAACCAGCTTTGATTGAGAGCGAAATCTTTCTCTGACGGTTGTCTGCATGTTTCTCTCGTGAAGATCGGAACGGCTGCGACACGCTTGACTCTTTAGCCTTCGTAACATATCATATCAGAAAAGAATAAAGGTATAAGATTCAAAAGAGCAAAAAGATAGAGTCCAAGTGACCATCCGGGGAAGTCCTAGTGACGAACCCATCCTTCTTGTACTTTTAGTCTTTCTGCTTACTTCTTTTGGCAACCTTTCCGGGGATTTTTGGGCACGTGCTTATGCACTTCGCCTACCTGTTTTCCCGGTCGGAGGGGAGTCCCCGGGCTGTTGATAAGGTGCTGAACTAGCGCTTGATTGAACTCCCGGGCGAGGGCGGGGGTTGCAGTTGGAGCGCCGTCGGTGGGCCAGCCTGCGGGTGGTGATTGATTCTAGGGTTTGAGGGTTTAATGGTAAGGATTTCAGGGTTAAGGTTTCAGGGGTTTAGGGTTTTAGTGCTGCACCAGCTTCTGGTTGAACTCCCGGGCGAGGGCTTGGGGTCGCGGTCGGAGTGCCGTCGGTGGGCCAGGCTGCGAAGATACCTCTTCAGTTTTAGAAACAGTGAGCTTTGAAGAACATTGTAAGCTCCTGACGCCAAACTAAGAAAGTGGCTCTTGCGGACTCACCTGCTCGGCAATCTTACCTGTCCTAAACCCCAGGTTAACCCACCCGACTCAGGCTAGTAAGCTTACAATCCCCACGTTCGCTTACTGCTTTTCAAGTCGCAGCTGCATCTCGTGGGTATTGAAAGGAGGAGGTTTCGTAACATGACGGGTTTGAAATGAGTACATCGGTCCATTGATTCAGTGTAGCATTTTACGTACTCTGCAATTGTCAATAACCACATGATTGATCCACATTGACGCGCGCTGAATTCGTCCGCAGAGCTTAAAATTTTTGCACGCTAGCATCACAAAAGTTTTGGATCAAAGGTCTCGGGATACAGGAGAATAGCGGATACACTTTACCACCTGACCAAATTCTGACCTTGAATGCATCGGAAATATAAAAAGGGGGTCGATCCAATCATTACCTGCCTCCCCAACATTTACTTCCAGGTTTGGATATCCCGCAGCTTTTATGGCCGAGACGAAGGCGTCAACGCCCATGTCAAAGGCGTTCGTGTAGCGCAGCCCCGTTCCGCTGTCCACGTAGCTGCCGTTCTCGCGGAACAAGATCAGCTCCAGCGGAATGTCCGTGCCCTGGCCGGATTCGAGAAGGTGGCGTCAGTCGATATGAAACTCATATTTTGCGCATGAGGAAAGAAATACAGAAGCCGAATGAGGAGAAATGTTATTGGGCAAGCACAGCAGGTTCCGCTAGACGGAAACGGAATCGCTTCGAAGCGGAGCGGTCTGAAGTTCGTTTCTGAGATCTGGCAACCAGCTGCGGTCGACCGGGACTCGTTTCCCCGATGTATTTGAAGTTGCTGAGTCAAAATAAACGGCCACGTTCTTCGTGATCCCAAAGTGAATCTCTTGAAAACAGGCAATGTGGAAGTACTTTCACTTTTCCTCTGCGTTTCAGATGACGTCACGCTGACGTACCAGTCCGTCGCTCCCCATGTGAAGGTAAGGGTAGACGTTGGCGGTGAAGAAAGAGCCCGACTTGTCCAGCAACGCCAGGATCTTCTGCAGTTCCGCTTGGACGCCCGGGCGGAACGCACCTACAAGAACGGAAGCGGAAAGGGTCGCTTGGATATCACGAAGATGCAATAGGGTTGGGACGTAGAGCATGCAGAAGCAATTTCAGTAAGCGGGGAACGGAGAAGGAAACAATAGAGAAACATGAAATTTAGGAAAGCGTGTAGGAACATGTATACAGCGGGAAAGGTCGGGAATATTCACGAACCAAAAGGTGGAAAGAGTCTCGTCATCTGAGTTCGTAAAGATGGTGGGTTCTGAGGGAACGCTTCAATCTGACAACCACCTTTTTGACATAAGGAAAATGGCTTCAAAGGATAACCAATCAAAATCTTAAATGCAAACCATTGATCGAGATACCCGCTTCTCCAGAATTCGGATCCATAGTACAGAATCGGTAAGTCGGAAACATTTCAAGATTGGGTCAAACACAAGGAGATTGAATCTTGTCGGATTCGTCTTTGCTTACCGTCGGACGGGGCCTGAAATGAAAGGTCCGTAAAACTCGTGGGCTCCAAAGGAAGTGTCAGCTTTGTTATCTCCACAACGAAAATCAAGATAAGCGACGGAGAATCGTCATACTGAACCTCAGAGAAATAGGAACAGCAGCCCATTTGGTGTTTGAATCGCTTACCGTCGGAAGGAGGTTGAAATGATAGGTCGGTAAGGATCGTGGGCTCCAATGGAATTGTCAGCTTGATCGTCCCGTCGAGGCCCGCAGCCTGAAGCGCCATAAGCAGGTTGTTCATGGCGGGGTATACGAGCCCCACGTATTTGGTGCCGTATAAGTATGGGTTCAGCGCCTCGTTCCCGACGGCTATGCACCTGAGGAAGGCGGATAAAGAATGCGCTTATGAAAGGGCAAATGCAGGGATGTAGCGGCCGGGGCATGAGGATTAGTCTCTGGTGACTTCTCGCAGGGGCAGATGTCTTTCCCATTGCCAGACTCTCGACATCCATAAATAGCGCCCGTTCGTTGTGTGGACATTTTCCTGAGGATCCGATCAGAGCGCTTAAGGAGGTTAGCAGAGAAGAAGAAGCTACTAAATCAAAGGCTTCTGGTCTTGCAAGGCCGACCGGTACCGAGAGCATTTGAATCACAAAACGACGAGCGAAGAACCGACCCCTGCAGGTACGGCTTCACGATAGATGGAATATCGTTTCGGAACCTTTTCGTCTCCAATTTCTTTCAGAAAGTCTACCCGCTTTATTAAACTCATTCACTCCCTGTATGGATTTTTCGATCGTACCCGTTTGTCTCTTGATGCTTAAAAGACCCCGAAACTCACGTGCTGTTGTTTTCATAGGACAAGGTACGGCTTTCCATCACAATTACTTATGTGTTACTGTTGAACATTGCCTTTTCACGAAGGATCCCACCTTAGCTACACTCATGTTCGGAAGCATCCTTTCGCAGTTTGAGGGACCTCAAGATTGAGCAAAAGACTCACGTGATGTTTGCTCCCGCGAGAAACCCCACCCCCAGGTGCGGCTTCACGTTAGCCGCAAGCCAGCTGCTTGCATAGCTCACATTCGCGGCAAGGTTTGGAAGCTCGCCGTTTGGCGCGGCCACCATGACTTCGATGCCGGTCCCCGCTAGAGCGGACAGCACCCCGGAGTTGGTGTCAAAGAGCTTGACCTGGATATAGACGGACGAGATTGGCACTCTCGAAAACAGGAAGAGAACGCAATGAAGTGTGCGAAGATGTACAATCCACCTACATCATCTACTGTAGAAGACAACACCGGGACCATTCCGACGGGTTTACTCTTTTTGCAGACAAAGCGAACCAACTTTGAACTGGTAGTCTTCTCGGAGCTAATTCAGTGGCTCTTGAACCTTGAAAATATGCAACCCAAGAGCATGGAGATTTTGAGTCGGGTCATGCCCAGCAGTTTGGCGTTCGCTTATATCGTTTGTTCCCAGTATTTAGAATGGACAGAAGATTCCACAGGTATAATGATGGTCGCTGGAAGTGAGCTCATCGTACCCAAGTGACCAGAGTATGAAGTAGTTGTTCGCAATGTTTGAAGAGCCTTGCAACAAACCAAGCAGAAATTGCGAAACGCTACTCTAAGTATGTCAGTTGCCTGCGGATCACGGCAACTTGGAACGAAAGAGTATCTTGTAGCCGGAGGGGTTTACAGGCCGTGCCTAATAAGACTGGTGATTGCCACTACATGCATCAACAGGTGAGTATAACAGATACACCAGTGAGTTTGTAGCAACAAATTCGCTCCATGAACTAGACCGGCAAGAGAGCCTTCTCCTACTTACCTTGCTGAAGCCATTCTTCTGCATCAAGTCGACTACCACAGAATAGGCGAGGGGCGTTGAGGAGAGCAATGACCCGTAGTTGACACCAATCAGACTGCGGGGGCTGGCGGCCGCTGCCACACTCCCCGACAGTGTCAATGACAAAAGCAGAGCGAGCGAACGCAGCATTGTGAGTGGCCCCCAGGCAATGCTGTGATGCCTTGCTGGTCCTGCCATCACTCCCCTTCAAAAAGCTTCAGTATGGTGCTAACATACGTCTGACTGAACACCGCGCAAGGCCTGAAAGTATCTGTCAAGTTGACTCACTTCAAGCCTATGCGCCTGATACCACCATGGCTTTTCTGATCCAATGCAGAAGAGCATGGTGAACAAACACCTCAGATATCAGAGACGCAGCAGTCTCCACCAGCGGCAATCTCTACATCATATTCTGCATGATGTCATGCATCGTGAAAGCAGCACTGATTTGGCAGAGGGGGGACAAGGAGAATGATTATTTTAGCGACCCTGAGCCCGGGGACTGTTGGAAGGTGCCTATAGTGACCTGGGGTGGACTTTTCCCGGGAGATATGAACGTCTTGTGTCAAAGAGTACAAGAGGATGGTACGATGATATATGTAACACAGGCAAGATGCATTGACCCAGTAGGTCCTCTCCGACTTTGAGATAACTTGTGCCAGCAAGACAAACCCGAATCCTGACCCAGAACGATGAGGCCCATGAGGAGGTACACACCGTTCGATAATTAGCATTTATGCATCGATGGTTGAATATCTGCCATTTGTACATGTGGAGATGTGATCAAGATGCATACGTCAGATAAGGCACCTTCCAACAGCCCCCGGGCTCAGGGTCCTGAAAAGAACCATTCTCCTTGTCCGCCCTCTGGCAGCATTCTCGCTAGTCAGCATAAACCCTCTCAGCCCAGTCAGCACATTCTGCCGCCATCTGCAGTCTCGCGGCTCGAAGTTTTTGCGCCAGCGGTGCAACTGAAGGCCGTCGGATGATTTCAATCACATAGATTGACGGTTCGATGGGGCTGATTGCAAAACGTGCGTGCAGTTGCTTTCAATCGGTCCCCGGCGAAAGGTTTGGTGTCAAAGTAACTTCGAAATTGGCGTGTCACGTGGCCGTCGATAACTAATGGATGGCTACGATAGCATCTAAGTTAGGCATCTCGTCAAATCTCCGAGAAGAGTGACTAGGAGGAAGCAATAAAAGCCATGCAACGCTTTGTTGGACACTCTTGTACTCCGATAACTCTCGTGTGACCTAAGAGCCGTGTGACCTAAGATAGGCACCCGGGGGACAGGTGGGGTTGGTATGGTGGTTAGGGTGGGTTGGGGTGCGGAGCGGGTGTTTATCTGGGTTAGGTTTTTAGTTTGAAGTGCCCGGTTGACTCGTATTTAAGGTCACACGCACACGAGAGTTATCGGTATCACTCTTGTATGTTGTGCTGATATCGACATTCCAATTCAGCAAGTCATCTCTAAGTTCAAAAGTCAACGCCGCAGCCACCAAGACTATTCATGGGGGACTCTTTACACTCTTTCAGGGTTCTGACTTTGTCAGAGATATCCTAGATCCTCTATTGATTCTACTGCCCAAGACTTTTCCCGTAGCAAAGAAGATTCTCATGGTCACATTCCGCAAGCAGGTTCGTCAATCACGGGCAGGCTTTGAAGTAAACTACATCACTACAGGGCTGAAACATTGATTGTTGCGTGCTGAACAATGAGTTGCCAGAAGAGGATGATCGCTGCAGCAATATTGATCGACAGGGGCCAACAATAAGGTGAAAAACGGCTGAATCTTCGTCCAAGTGCAGAGCAAAGGGTTTGCAGCACGCAATGCTGGGGGACTAAGGGCCTTCTTAGCCCTAATTGGTCATTTTGGGGCACCATGCGTAGGATTGCATGGCCATGAGGGGATATAAGGTTTCCAGGTACAGGTGGAGAGCCACAGCATTTTGCATTGCTGGCGCGTACTAAGGGAACCCTTGACTCACAACAGGCAAGGGCTCGATCCTGTAGCACGTTGCAGACAGCTTTCCTTACATTCCCATCCTTGGTTCTGTGATGCAATGCTGTGCTAGCATCTCTGAACAAGACGAGGTTTCTGCTGGCATGTTGGAATGTGGTTATGTAAGCAGCCCTTTGTTGCCACTAAGAAAAGTTAAGAAACATCCACCGCTGGAGGAAGGTGTAGACCAGAAGCCTCTACGCCTGTCTTTGGAACGTTGAGCATCCAGGATCTGCTGTTGGTGGCTCAAAAGGGGTGTGTCAGATGTCTGCGATCCTGGTCAGGCATTTGACTGTGCCACTGCGCAAGGCCAGCAAGACCACCGCTGAGCCTGCTAAGTATTGATCCCGAGCACACTTGTGTAAGCCTGGACACATGACGCGCTGAGAAGCAATGCGCCATGCAGACATAAACTCACAGAAGATTACAAACAGAAGGCATCCCTTGAATTGTGGGCTCAGCAAATGCCAGCGCATCAACCATAGCAAACTTGGGAACATCCTGGAGCTTGGAACTGGACAATCTGCTGGTCAAGTTTTTCAGAGGAAGCAGATTGACGCAGCAGAGAGAGAGAGACCGTGACCATTAAGTACGTAGATCAGCGCTGAGTCACCTGCAACAACAAGTCGCGAGGACTGTCAAATGGAAAGCTCTTGAGGAAGATCTTTGTGCATCCTGCCAGTGCTCGAGTCAGCTCTGTAAAGGCGGCATGCATTGGGGCAGTTCTAAAATGTAAAAAGAGTGGCCCTCGTTGGGCCATAAACAAAATCGCCAGGACTTTCTCCAGCAGACGTGATACTTTGAAGCTATTTTTCCATCGTTTCTGTGGCACCCTTTCTCACTACGAGGGCTCAGCATCCAGGTTCAGCAATACAGCACCCAATCACTTCCAACCTCGTACATTAATTGACTGCTGGTTGAACCTCTGTGCCAATGTTGCAGGTAGCCTGACACGTGTCACCATGGCGGGTGTCCGGACGCCCCGCCAGACGGCCGATATGCGGACCACGGTTGTGGACAAGGACGATTCACATCCAGTGAAGGTGGTCCTGAGATGCAGGCCGGCGCTGGTCTCAGAGCTGCAGTATGGTGCCAATGCGGTGGCTGCAATGATAAACTACCCTAATGCAGTCCGAGTGCAGGTAAGCTTTGCGGTTCCAGCAAGGAATTCTAGCCGTGCGTTTCTGGTCGAGCGGATCGAGTCCGAGCTGCAGAAGGATGATTTAAGTAAACAAAACCCTGCTCTTTATGTCTCAGTCTTCGTTCCTCACACTCAAAATATACTTCTTTCCATCTGTTTCAGAACTGCAGTGTTGACACCACATGACAGCTGTAACAGTCGGACGTTGTCGAAGTTACTCTCGAAAAGCATGCAAGCACCTGTCCGGGTAACGATTTAACCTGATTCTATATCAAACAATCTGTACGTTTATCCTTTCCCTTCTTCTAATTCTGTCTCTCTGTCTCTATCTGTCATGAAAAGCTTTGCAAGCTGGACGATATTCCTTTGTGCGCCTCCCTGGTCTGTATGCCCTGTTGCTTCAGCTCGTCCATTCTATTTCATCCTCATTTCCCTTGGTAAGTTACCCCTTGTACGCAGAAACGGACCCTTGTAACTCGCTGATCGAATCGTCGAACCGCTCATCTTCACCAACGAAGAAGCCTGAAAAGCTACTCAACCGGCGCTGCCTGCAGAAAGTCTTCTTGTTACGTCAATCGCCTGATCTTCGCAAGAGTCAAAATCTTCCGTTGCCAGCAAGCAGGACAAGCTGCATCAGCCGAACGCCGTTGTCTCCTTCATTGAGGAACTGGGGGCTTACTTCTCACCGAGAACTGCGCAGAGCGCGATAAAACCAGCCGTCCTCATGCTATCGGTTGTGTTCACAGGAGAAGCTGTATCAGTCCCCACAGAGGAACCTGGAATGCTTGCGAAAGATGGCCATTTTTCTCCATGAATCAAGGAGTCTCATCTTATTCTCCGTGTCCAAACAAGTTCCTTCCCCCTCGTCTCCTCAGGACAAGCTGTACCACTTGGACGGCGTCTCCTTCGCCACTGAGGAGCCCGGGGATCTCGTCTACCGGCGCTTCACGGAACGAACCATCAGAAATCAACAGCGAATTGATCACTTCTCTTTCTTTTCCCTTCTATTTTTCCCAGCTTTTTGGATCTGATGTCCCTATTTGAACGAAGTTTTCCCCTCCCTCCCCACAGGACAAGCTGTACCAGCTGGACGGCGTTTCCTTCGCGACCGAGGAGCCCGGGGACCTCTTCTACCGGCGCTTCGTGCAGCAGAGCGTGGAGGACGCGCTGACCGGGGCGGACCGTACCGTGCTCATGTACGGGCCTACGGGCACTGGCAAGACGTACACCATGTTCTCGTCGGCGGAGGGACTGGCGCACCTCGCGCTCAGACAGGTGCGTCGCTTTTGTCAATTTGCAGCAACGATGAAACGAGATTCTGACACCAAATGTCTTCAAAGGTCACACGTGCAGCTTTTCGGCCATGTGATTCTGCGGCTCGGAGCAAGGGGCTGAAGTAGGTCGTACACCGATTGTGATCAAGCATTAATAGGGATCAGGTCTGAGGTGTTTATTTTGTGCAACCAAGGAGGTGCTTGCATTCAGTGACAGCCGATCTGCGACCAAAACGTGACGAAGCGCGAGAGTCGACGTGCGTCGCCTCCTTTTCTGGCAGAATGTTTGATCGACAGGTCCAAAGTCTTACCTGATCAGGCAGTGTCTATTAGAATTGCACAAGGAACCAACATTTCTTGCTACTTAGTAATGCAATGCATGCTTTGGAGCTGACGTTATTTTTCGCGCAGATCATGGGGGCACCTATAGACGGCGGGCGCAGTCTCAGCGTCGCCGCGAACGTGATGAAGATCCACAACGACAATATTTATTAAAGATTTCAATGCTTTGTAACACTGTAGTAGGCTCTGGAGCTGATGTTACATTCCGCGCAGAACATGGGAGCGACCGTGGACGACGGGCGCAAGATCAGCGTCGCCGCGAGTCTTGATTTACAACGAGAAGTTCATAATAATCTCCACTGCTTCGTAACGCTGTATAGGCTCTGGGGCTCACATTACATTCCGCGCAGATCATGGGGGCGACTATGGACGACGGGCGCAAGATCAGCGTCGCCGCGAGCGTGATGGAGATCTACAACGAGAAGCTGATCGACCTCCTGGCGCCGTCTACCGGGCCGGGCAACACGTTCGGGGGGGGCGGGACGCCTAGCAAAGCCAGCCTGAAGGTGCAGAAGGGGCGGGTCCTCGGGGCGCAGTCGGTGAGTACGGAAAGCATGCGGAATCCTGATTGCTGACTTGCTTCTGAGTGATGATCTTTTAGGAAGCTACGACCAATCTGGGAACCCACCTCAAGCTGCTGCGAGGCGCCATTCTGTCTCCTGAGTGATAAATCCGTCTCGGTTAACTTTGAGGTTACAGGTGACTCTGAAGAACCGCTGAAGTGGATTCCCAACCGGAAGAAATGCTCTTAAGCATGCCAGATTGCATTGCATGCCATGCTACTTCGATTTTCGACTAAGCCCCTTTCCGTTCAATTCAAGAGTTAGCATTTCTGTGTTTTTTGCTAATATCCTTGGGATTGACTCGCTAACCTGCTCGGTTTACCCCCCAGGTTACGTCGAGCGACCCAGTTGTACTGATGAAGCTGCTGGCGCCGGCGTTCAAGCGGCGCACAATCGCGGCCACCAACCTCAACAGCCTCTCAAGCAGAAGTCACTGCATCCTCACCTTTACCATCCTGGTAAGTGCGCTTCGAGGGAGGATGTAAACTTCTAGGGTTCCAGGATTCGCAGGCGAGTCCTTTCATCAGAATTCTGATTAGTCAACAAATCTGCTCAGCATCCGTCCCAGAAGGACACGTTTGACGTGAAACTTCCGATGTTGAGTAACGTTTCCTGCTTCCAGCCGCTCGGCGGACGCATCCCTTCGTGGACCTGGCCGGGTCGGAACAATTCTGGCGCAGGGCCGACTAGTCCGGAATCACGCTTAAACTTACTCATCTTTTCCAATCGAAAGCCACCAGACTCTTCAGAACGCTTTTGCTTCACAGCCGCTCGCGGTCGCATCTCGTTCGTGGACCTGGCCGGTTCGGAGTCCCTGGGCGAATCTGGTGCAGGACCGATCAGTCCGGATGCACGCTTCAATCTGCTCAAATTGCTCAAAACAATGTCCAGAGTGAAAGCTATCAGACTCTTCAGAAGGCTTCTGCTTCACAGCCGCTCGGCGGGCGCATCTCGTTTGTGGACCTGGCCGGTTCGAAGTCCCTGGGCGAATCTGGTGCAGGACCAATCATTCCAAACGCTCTGTTAATCTGCTCAGCACAGTTCCCCGAACCCGAAGCTATCGTATGATTGATGATTGCTTTTGCTTCACAGCCGCTAGGTGGGCGCATCTCGTTCGTGGACCTGGCCGGTTCGGAGTCCCTGGGCAAGTCGGGCGCGGTGGACGAGCAGGCGAAGCAGGCCGGGACGATCAATCAGGGACTGCTAGTCCTGCGGCGCGTTGTCGACGCGCTCGCCGCGAAGCAGGCCTTTATCCCGTACCGCGACAGCAAGCTCACGCTGCTGCTACAGGTGAGAAGCTGCCTTTGAAAGTTATCCACTTCTTTTTCTTGATTATAGCATGTCCTGGTTAGTTATGATGTGGTTCGATCCTCTCTCTTCAAAATGCGGGCCTCCATGTCCTATAGAGACAGCTGACGCTGCTGCCACAGGTTACAAATCCAATCTCTTCAGTTCCGCGGCGTTTCTCCTTTACAATGTCTGTTCCTTGCCGGTGAGTTGTAACCGTATGAAGATACAGTCATCCGTTCCCCATCGGAGCGCGGTCGCAAGAGAGCCTGGCGCGAGGCAATTCTCGCACGGTATAAGCTCAACCGACAAAGGCGGTATCTACAAAAGCATCATCGCGCTTTGCTGCAATACCCAATTCTTTGATTCAAGGCCCATAGCAGGGCCAGTCTTGAAAGCTGAAGCCCCGAAATCGTTCCGCAGGAGAGCCTCGGCGGCGGCTCGCACAAGCTGATGGTTCTGTGGACCTCGCCCTGCCCACCAAACCTCCACGAGACGATCATGCGTAACCCGTTGAAACACTACGTAAAACCTCGGGAATCAGACAATAGATCAGAAACTCAACCTCAGAGGATTGGAAATCCAACTTTACAAAGCCAGAATTGCTTGTTATTCACAGGAGAGTCTCGGCGGCGGCTCGCGCACGCTGATGGTCTTGTGCACGTCCCCCTGCCCCGCCGACCTCCACGAGACGATCGTAACGCTCCACTACGGCACGACCGCGCGCGACATCGTCCAGCTGAAGCCCGAAACCCCGAACCCCGCGGGCGCGGCCGCGGGCCGCGACGCGAGCCTGATCGAGATGCAGCTCAAGCTGAAGGACGAGATGATCGACCGGCTGCGGCAGCAGAACGAGGAACTAGAGCGGCGGCTGGCGGCGTTCGAGGTACGCGCGCGCGCGCGCAGATTCCTTAAAAACCAAATTCAGCGTCAACTTTGTTTCCAAGTCGTCGTTTCCTGCAACTTTGTTTTTGGTAGCAGTCGTCGTGACCGAATGAAGCTTTGGATCTCGGTGGACTTGCTGCGGTACCTGGGAACCAGAAAAGTATCTGCAAGCAGCTTTTGACAATGGTCTCCGAAGCCTGTGTGTCTGTAGAATAACCTCTTTTGCGAATCCAATATACTTGCTGTGCTTTGTATTCCTGACGTGACAGACGGGGAGCCTCTATTCGAAGGGCTGAAGCTCTGATGTTCCCCTCTAAATTGATCTGAGCCCAGACTCGAGGAATTCTGAGACATCTTGACCACTGACAGCCACAAACCCTCACAAACGGCACGATGGAGCAAGAAACGACGATTCTCCAGGGCATAGAAGCAGTTCTCCGTCACACCACCTACCTTGCGACTGTTCCAAAGGATCGTAAATGGGAGACGTTTTCTATTCTTTCTGCAAGTCCCTGAAAGGAACGGATAAAACCCCCATATACCTAAAACCCTCCTGTGAAAAGGAGCAAATCTCAAGTCCTGCCTGTTGAACTTTTCCGGAGGACAACTTGGTAACAACTTGTTTCCCAATCCATTTGCAACTTTGCAGGCCGCCCGGTACGCACCCGCCCTCCGCGCCGGCTACAGCAACCCCCTCAGCCCCGAGGATTCCGACGCAGACAGTTCCGTCAACGGAAACGATTCCGTCTACGACGACGACGGAATGAGCGTCTCCAGCGAGCCGCTCGCCGAGCGGACGCTCATGTCGCCGCTTGGGAGGGGCGTTCCGGCTTTTGTAGGCGGCGGAATCGGAATCCAGGGCGGCGGAATCGGGGGCTCCGCGAGCGAGTGCACTTCTCCGACGGAAGGAGCGTCGCCGATCAGCGGAACGAAGCCGAAGAAGGAGTGGAAGCTGGAAATTTGGCGGCGCGCGAGCAAGGCCGCACGGGCACAGGTAAAGTTTCGAATCTTACATGTGCTTCGTCTCATAAGAAATGCACAAGGGTCGGGGTTGCTGATATTAAGTCATGAAGATGGTGATACTCTGGCGGTCCTTGCTACTGTGTGCGACTCGCACTAACAGCGTTGCCGAGTACACAAGAGGGAATCGGACAGCTTTCTCCGAATTCTTAAAACGTGGGACTTGAATTGAAATGGTCCGCCCAGTCCGGCGCTTTCCAATCATGTACCGCCCTTTGACAGGCGCCTTCAAGGAGCGCTGTTTACTCTGAGCTTTGAGACGTTACTGATCGCCTCAACTGGGTGTCCGTCGTTGCGGATTGCATTCTTTCGTTATCTAACGTCACATTTCCCGATGCTGCAGCACAACATTATCAGAGCAGCGGCGGCCTGCTTTCTATCGTATACAATGCAGAAGGGGAGGGTGATGCCAGAGTCTCTCTGTCTGACTTCAGCATTCTCTACGGATGCAGCACAACGCGGTGAACGCGTTCCGGGATGCCCTCAGCGAGAGCCGCCAGCGGAGCGCCTCCGCGGCCGCGCGCGGAATGGGGATCCGTCCCCCGGGCACCGACCGGTGGAGGTCCCAGTCGCAAGAGGGACCCCTTCCGAAGACGCTCTTCCTCGAGACGGATTCCGGTGAAGAACCAGCGGAAGGGTACGGGTTGCTAAGCCGAAGCGCAGAGGGAATGCTGGAGAGCCCCGCCGAAACCCGGCGGTACGTCGGAACAGAGAGGTACCCGGAAGACGAATCCGATGATTCCGGCGCGGAGTCCGGTTCCGGTCCCCTGGAGAACGGGCAGGCGGAAAACGAGGCTGTAGAAGCCGTTTCGCCAGAGGAGGAAGTACCACCAGCGGAGGGTTCTGCGCTCATGGCGGAAGGAAGTTCGGGAACGAGAACGGAATCGCACTCAGCGGAAATGGAACGGACCTCGTTTCTGAAGCGGTTCTCGTTGGCAATTCGGGGGCTGGTCACCGACCCAGTAGCCGAAGGAAGGGCCAACGAAGACCCCGGGTTAGTTGAACCGGTCTCGGAAGACTTTGAGTTTGACAGCCCGCGTTCCAAACAGCGCCCTGGAGGTTCCACCGGGGATGACGTTGGCAGTGACGAACGCCAAACCGGCTCTCAGAGTAGCGACATTCCAGACCGGGACACAGTACAAGTAGTAAACTCGACCACCGTGAACGGTTATCCCAAACCCCCGGTTAGTGTTACCGAGCACAAGTTGGCTGAGGGAGAAGGCAAGTCGAGTGCCCGGTGGACTTTACTGGGAGCGAGGCACGATCCAGACGCGGAGCGCTGGTTGGTCGCTGGGAACGAGAGCGGACGGTTTACCCGCAGCCTGTCGCAGGACCTGGCTTCCGTTGTGGCAACGGCACAGGAGCCGCTTTCCGCCGGAACCACCGGAAACGGAAAGGGCGAAGCCGACCACAAACGGACGCCCAGCTTTGACCGGCAGCAATCGGCAAACCAGTACTTCGATGCGGTAGAGACCCTTCTGATACCGGGCCCGGAAAGTGACGTCGACGGCGGTTCCGTTCAAGGTCAGCGGAACGGCGGTGCTCGAACGGAAGATTCCGCTTATGAGTCTTTCGGGCTCGAAGCTTTGGCGGAAAGCGGAGACAGGCGAGTTGCGGACGGTGCCGGAGATTCAACAGACCGCCCGACAGCGGAGTCCGTTGCGTTGGACGGAACGCGCCCAAACGCAATGCTCGCAGACGGAACACAGGGATCGGAAGCGGCTCAGTACGTTTTGCACGTCAAAGTGGAAGGCCGGGGGGGTGAAATCGTGGGCAGTCTGAGGGAGGTGGAGAAGGGGATGACGCTGGATGGGCTGCGGAGCCTCATCCAAGAACGGCTCGGGGGGAAGGCCCCGGGCACTTTTGCCTTCCTGATGCTCGATGTGAGTTTAAAGCTTGTTTTTCCTTTCAGCTTCCACCCCTCTTTTACCGTCTTCTGACGCTTTTCGCTCGCAGTTGGGTTCTACCTAGCCTCCTGCGTTTACAAGACCCTTCGAGACTCAGAAGTGTTAGCCTACCCCAGCAAAGTTGTTCCAAATGCAAATCTGTCTTGTTAACAGTCCTCTGGTTAAAAGTTCTCTAGGATTTCGCATCGCCTTCCACTGTCAGCCATTCCAATCGAGCAACTAGTATCGTAGACTTCAGATACGGACTCGTCTGCTTCAAATGTTCTTCGATCTTCGTCTCCATGTTTGTATGCCTAGAGTAGCCTCGACGTTCAACATCTTTCTGAAAGTAAACCATTCATACCCTGCAGGGGATTGCAAGCGCTGCGATTCAACGAACTCACGAGCCGTCTGTGACCATCAGTTCGCTCCCCGACTTCCCAACGCAAGCCGGCAGCCTCCCCTGCAAGATGGTTTGCCTGCGAGTCCCAGCGGGCAGCCGACGCGCCTCCGCCGAGCAGCCGGTAAACCCTTTCCTTACCCCCGCGGATGCGGCCGCGAACAGCCGCCGCGCGACCCTCGACGAGCCAATAAACCCTCGCCAAACCCCTGGGGAGGGGACCGACGCGGCCGGATTTGCGCCCGACGGGTCTGTCTCCGGAAAGGAAACGCTGCACAACGGAAACGGTGCCGCCAGGCGGAGTTCCGGCGGAAGGAAAGAGCGGAAGTCCTCGTCCGGCGACGCCCACGCGGGGGCCCCGCCTGGAACGGTTGCCGAGGAAGAGCGGACCGGAAGCGTTCAGCGGAAAGGAGCGGAAGGGCGGGCTCCGGTGCAGAGCAAGCGGCGGGCCGCCATCGAGGCCTCGTTGACGGCAGGAGCGACCGGAAACCGGCGGCGCAGCTCGTACTCCGACGCCAAAACAGGGCCCCCCGAGGACCGCCAGCCGTCCCCGCAGAGCGTCTCCCGGAGGGCGTCCGTAACCCGGTCGTCAGCAGCAGATAACCGGGGTTTAGCGGAGATCCTTCCAGAGGGGGTCATTCAAGAGCGGGCCAACCAACCCCCGGGCGTTGATGAAGCTGCAACGTCGGCGCTGACGTCAGCGGACGGGACGGGCGCGGTTCGGAAGATGGAGCGGCGCGCGAGCGGAGGGGAACTGCTGACGTCAGCGCGGAAGGCTGACGTTAGCGTGCGGTCAAGCCTGGACGGCCTCCAGAAGCACCGCCAAAATCCGGCGATCATGAAGTGGGTTAAGGAGCGGCTGCTTGCCCGGGAGAAGAACGGAGTGGCCGGGGGGATCCCTCCCGAGCAGGATGCCATGCTCAAAATGGCGGCATCCAGACTGATCGGGAATATGGAAGAGTTGTGGCAGTTGGGCCCCGGGCCGTTGAAGATCGGCGGGGTGATATGACATAGAGCTAGTCCACTTGACCCCAGGTCATACAGTAATCCCTCTTCACAAGCCTGGCTCTGCAACCGCTACTTTACGCGCGCGATCCCAATGTAGCTAGATCCTCTGGTCTCTCTACCTGAAATTCGCAGAGGTCTACCACACATGTATCTGATTGAGAAACACACAGTTCATACATGTATGCCATGAGAAGCCTACGGCGAGTACGAAAAGAGACCATCCTAGATGCATCATTCCAATTTTACAGGGCGGCCGGGGGCTGTACGAGGCGCATGTTCATTGCCATGTTAAAATAAATTATTATTGTCTACATAGACAGCAATGTAGTGACAGCTGTGCGGTAACTTATGCTTGCGCACAGTAATTAGGCACAGTAATCAGGCAGGTAGGGCCGGGTGTGCAAATCTCGATCCAAGTATCCACGTAGCACGTAATGTGTTGCAGGCCGGCCGGGCTCTTGTCGAGAGTCAGCGCGCAAGTGCGAAGTCAAGATCACGTGCCAGCGGGCTTGATTGCCAGCACGCATATGCTGGCTTTCCTATCTGGTTTGAGCAATCTGAAATCACGCAGCATTCATTCATGATAGGTTGCGCTAGATGAAAGCCCATCAAATGGGAATTCACAACCCATCATTATGCATTAAGTCGGCGGCTCGCACTGCCGCCCGGCGAACGATGCTTGCAGTACACGTTGTATCTAATCCTCATGCATCTAATCAGCATGTACGGTGGATTGACATGGCATGCGGGCAACAGTTAAATCAGCTGGGCGCAGCCCTTTTTCCTTTTTGCGGCAAACTTATTGGGCGCATGCACCGTGACGCGCGCCGCGCGGCCCTCGCCTAGCTTCAAGTTTGGATTTTTCGTTCGTGCAATTTGAAAACTAAACGGACATATAAGTGGAGGCGTCCGTACATGCGCGCAACCATCTCATTCGCTATACCCAACAAATTGTTGCATGTTGAGATCCATTTGCGTGCTCTTATTGCATGGGGTATATGCACTCATGTCTTTCAGTGATTCGCGATCCGCGGCCGCCCAAACCCACGCGCACACCAGCGTGTCACTGTCACCCGGTGCGCCTTTCGCATGCGCCCTCCATGCGCCATTAGCAGAAAGTGCAAGCTTGCCAGGCTGGCAAGCTCTATAAGTGACGTCGTCGACTGCATCGCTGAATTACAGCATCCGCTTACTATCACTCCAAGATCAAGTCAGTATAATGTAATTTGTTACCACGATAATGAATATGAGTCAATTTGCGATCTACGAGTTAACCAATTATGCGATGTCAAGGCGCTAAGCATAACTGCAAGGTTTGCTTTGCCTGCCGGTCTCTAGCAGATTCAACGAGTAAGTCAGACTCAGCCGCTTCTACTACTAACCGGCCCCAAACCAGACACTTCCTGCCAGACCCTTGGCAGAGATTTCGGACCCTTCTGCTTTACCTTAACTTTACAACTCTGCAAAGCGGCTCACAAACTCATACCTGTCGATCCGCAACAAAAGCGCCTCTCCCGTTCCTTCGTCGACCCACTTCTTTGGGAGCCAAACCTCGACTTGGCTGACGTGGCCCTTGTCCGGTTTTCTCACAACTAGACTCGAGAACAAGTGCACCCCACGGCGCGATTCCGTGAGCATTGTCCGAAGCCGGTCCCCAGAAGCGTCTGTCATGCGCTGATATTTGACGTCCTCGGGGGAAAGGGACTCATTGCTCTTCTCGGGCTCGATTACGACAAGCGCGAGCTGCGGATTGCCCGTAAACGTTCCGGCGATGACCGCCCACGGAAAGAGCGGAACGGCTAGACTGTGCCGGACCAGGGAACTCAGCGGAAAGAGAGCCGGGGACGCCGGAACGAACGGCAGCGACGGGAGCGCGAGGGAAACGGCCACGGCGAGGTCAGTCCGCCAGACTTCCGGTCTCTGCAGCGCGGATTCCGTCCGTTCCGCCACCCAGTGCGCGCGCGCGCCACGCCGCTCCACCAGGTGTCGCAAAAGGTTCACGAACGTCGCGATGGTGTGGCCACGTGGCTCGAGCACCGAGCACCCGCGGCCGGGGGTTCGGCGCGGCTCCTCGGTAACCAGGGGCAGGGTTACGTTAACCAGGGTCTTCTCGAGCCACTCCGCGAGGCGGGCGCTCCCGGCAAGCGGCGGCTCCGTGCCCAGAGTGGGCACCAAATACGTGGGATCCGCCAAATCGTGTGGGGAAACGTTTACGGTGTATCCCAGGAAGTCGAGAAGCTCCCGGCGGGAGAGAAGCAGCTCCCGGCGCAGCCAGTGGTCCAGATCGAAGACACGTGTCGGGCTGTCGGGCTTGAGGTAAAGTCCCAGGTTGAGCAGCACATTTGTTTTGATTGCCACGTGTCGGCAGTCCGGCTTGAGCTGCGACCCGATTCCGGTGAGCACGTTGAGCGGGCCGACGTAGTCGATAACGTTGGTGGTGTGAATGCGGTCGTACGCGTGTGGAGGGGAGGGGTTTACACCCGTCCGGCCGTCAGATTGAACCTTCCGTTGCGCCTCCTGTGATGAGCTAGTAGATGCATCTTCGGTCAACACTTGAACCGGTTGCCCCTGTCGGGGCTCAGTTGCAGGAGGGGGTTTGAGATGGTTGCCCGTTAGACTGTTCCGGTCTGGGAGGTTCGTCCATTGGCGGCGGGGGTTGGGTCGGGGCAGGAACCGGGGTCGTTGTGGGAGTGCTTGGTAATGGAACACCATTACCGGCCCCGTCGCCAGCAGTCGGAGCGTCCGAGGGGGATCCCCCACCCGCGCGCTCGCGCGCCCCACCGGCCGCCTCGCAGATGTCGCCACATAGCACCCTGACGCGCACGTCGGCGCCTCTGCCGAGGAGCCGCGCGAGCGCTTGCGCCCAGATGTAGAACTGGAGGCTGGTCATGCCAACGAAACCGCGCAGCGCATCCGGCAGGTCCCGCAGGTTCGGCGCGAGGGCGAACGGGCCACCGTTGTAGAAGAGCGACTCGGGGCCGAAATTCCAGGGGTTGTCGGCCGGGTCCTTGGCCACGAACTCGCCGTCCGGAGTGATCTGACAGGGTTAAGAATAGGGTTAAGTTAGATTTTAGGATCTAGGTTTGTCCGGATCGGTAAAAGATAGGATTTCTAGGCCAGTGAAAGAGCGACTTGGGGCCGAAGTTCCAAGGGTTGTCGCCCGGATCACGAACTTTTTTCCCGAAGTCATCTGGAGAAAGTTTTGAATGAGGCTGAAGTGAATGAGTCTGAAGAAAAAGAGTGAAGCTCAGGTTTGTCTGGATTCGTCCCTAAACATAGGGATTCTAAACCGGTGAAAAGCGATTCAGCGCTGAAGTTCTAGGAGTTGTCGCACGGATCTGGCTACGAACTTGCACTCCAGAGTGATCTGGACGGGGTTACGGGCAGGGTTTAGATGAACCTCTTAGATGCTGTCTGAGGTAACAGCAATCTGTATTGCGTGCCCCCAAAGTCACCCTCAAGACATTTTCTGGAAGGGATTGAAAAGCAACTTTCAGAAACGGAGGTAGAAAATGCCTGCGTCCTGTTGTCCCTTATAACGAGGTTCTGTCTTTGTGGTCCTTGACAATCACCGCGCCCTTTGTGGTCTGCGTATAACAGGGACCGCATCCTCGTGAGAGGCTTTCCTCCAATAAAACCACTTAAAGCTTCCTCCCAATCAGACCAACAAAAATGGTCTTCGAAAGGAGACGAATCGGTGCAAAATCAGCAGACACGTCACTAAGCATTGGGGATACAGATTTAGCAATATGAATCAAATTGTTAATTCCCTCTTCCGACGTCGAGGGACACACACCACTGCAAATCCGGAGTCGGAATGAAGAGCCCAAGAGGGGGCAAACGGAAACTGAGAACCATTTCGGGTCCCCAACTTCGGTCGGAAAGACAGTTTGCGGGCAGAAGCGTGACCATCTTGAACACATGAAGAACGACAGACGAGCTATTGTGTGTCGCGGCACTGCACTTGCATATCAGATATGAGACGGGCAGCTTTGACTAGGTTCCCTGCAACGCAGAACCAGATTGTTTGCAACTTCAGAATCAGACCCAAAGAAAGATATTTGAGTTGCAATTTCAGTTCGTATCCTCTCGGAAGGGAGATCGCGCACCTCATTGAGCATCGTCGGGTTGGGCGGCATTCCCTTCAGCCCCGTCCTGCCGGCCATGACGTCAGCATACGATGCGGTCACCCCCGTGCGCCGCCAGCTGTCCATCTCCACCCGCGCGCCCTTGTTGAATTCGTCCCGCCCGTTGCGCATCCTCATCATCGGCGCGTCCGAACGCAGCGCGGCCACCATGTGCCGCAGCTTGTACCGTCCGAACCCCTCCGGTTCCGTCCGCATCCGCCCGAACGGATCGAATTGCGGTTTGTACCCTTCCGGAGCAACGGACGCTCCCCCCGTGCGTCCGAAGTCTCTCCACACGCGCCAAAGCGTGCGCGCCGCAGCGAGGGAGTGCTCGGATGGGAATTCGATCCAGCGGAGTTGCGGGTCGGTCTGCCACGTAGCAAGGGAGCGTGAGGCGGCGACGAGCGAGTTTAGGGTTTCGGTAAGTGCCGTCGACTCGGCGGCGGTCAGGTTGCAACTGAGCCACACCTTGTAGAGAAGTTCCCCCGAAAGAACGTCCTGCTCTTGAAAGTGGGTCCCCACGAAAAAGTCCTCGGAGAAGTAGTCCTGGAGCAAAAGAGATGGTCGTGTGAAATCGAAACAATGTTTACGGACGTCTTTTAGCGCTTTGGCTTGGGTTCGATCTTCCGACTTTAAGAATTGAGAGTGAATCCAATGGTCAACAACCTCCGAAAGTAACTTAGATTGTTCAGATATTTGAGACGAGCTGCTGGGCACAGGTGGTATGAAACAAGATGCCAACCACGCATGAGTTCAATCATGCAAGATATGCGGGAACGAAGTGCGGTGGCTTCAGTGATGCTCCTTTGCTGCTGTCGTTATTCTGCAAACGAGCGAAACAAGTGGACTAAGTCTATGCTTTCTGATTGTGCTTAGACCGAACTCAATAGATGCTCGTGGATCACCACTCCAAGCTGAAGAGCCCAGCACACTGTCGATGATGGTACAACAAGATAAGCGCTTGCCGCAATAGAGTAGTCTAATACAGAGTAGACGGAAAGACAGTTCAGTGTGAACAACACCACCCTCTTTGCAAGATTAGCAACTACAGCAAAACAAGTTCTTGCACTTTATCTTCAATTACAAACCAATTCTGAGAAGGATGATCAGGCAGTCACTGGCAGAAGAGAGAGGGTTTTCGTGAAAGTGCTGCAGGGGGAAACTTGGAATTCAGAATCGCTTCTGCACCTTTAAACGCCTTCTTTATCTCCCAAATGCTGATATCCTCTTGAAACCGACAAGATCAGAATCACCAATTTCCTATTTTGCTCTTCCGGCAGTACCTACATTGGAGTCCCTCCCAGGATGCGCATCCTCCCACGCCTTCACGTACTTGCGCGTGACGTTCTTTGTGCTGTCCCCTTCCTCCATCGTCTCGATCATGTCGACGTACTTGATCTGCCACCGCAGTTTGTCGAGCACCGCACCCCCGTCCTCTGAGCACCCGGGCTGCGTTCCGACGTCCCGTAGCAGCACCAACATGAGTACGTTCCGGGCCAGGATGCGCACGTCGAGATCGTTCATGTCACAAATCAATGACACGCCTTCCCACAGCGTTGCGCCTTCCTCACCGTCACTCTCTGTACCCTTCTCTGAAGCCTTTCCAGAATCTGCAGTTAGACCCTCCTCTGAGCCCTCCTCTAAATTCTCCTCTGAACCAACTTCTGACCATTCCTCTAAACCCTCCTCAAGATTATACTGAGCCGTCAAATGCGACTCGAGCTCGTAGAAGCTCTGCATGACGTGGCGAGGGTCTCCGCAGGCGCCGAACAAGAGGCGGACATTCAGCTTCTCGCCCGAGCTCAACTCTGCCAGCTCTGAAATTGGAATCGGCTCAATCCCGGTCCCATCCACCGCCCCAAACGCTCCGATCAGCCCATCCGGATCCTCGTGTCCCACTGGGTAGTGCCCAAAGTCTGAGGAGATCGATGCCCGGGTGGTGGGCAAAGACAATGCTGATCGGTCGTAAGTTTGATGAGCCACGCCTAGTTAATGGACTATCCGACGGGTCTCGGCCCCAACGCAATGCTGCCGCCCCAGGCGCGCCTCCACCTTCTCCAGCAGTTCGCAGAATCTCAAGCACGTGCCCCACTCTTTCCGCTGCAATGCCGCCCGCCGCGCCCTGTTCAGCACTTTCTCCCGAAGCTGCAGCCCCTTGCTGACGTCAGCGGTCACGTCAGCGGAGTCCAGGAGAGCGAGGGCGGCTGAGTCGTCTGCAAGGCTGGCGGCGTAGTCCCCCGTCTCAAAGTGAGCAGCAGCCCTGTTCGAGAGGAACACCGGCTCGTTGGGAAGCACATTGTGGGCCTCGGTGTACAGGCGAACTGCTTCCGAGAACCGCTTGCTGCCATATGCCTGATTGCCCTGAGTTTTATACGCTTCGGCGGCTGCCTCCACGTTCCTGATGGAGGTCTCCATGCTTGGCAAGGTGGTGTCACTTGAGGACGTCAGCGACCACGCCAAACGGCGCCATTGGCTCACTGTGAAACGAATGTCTTGGAGACCGCCACCGCTGAGCAGATGGAGCACCAGCAGCAAGAAGTATGAAGGAAGTAGGTTGCAGTCTGCAGACAACTTCAGCCGCAGCGAGAAACCTCTCATCGGCGGCATTGACAATGAGGGGGATCTAAGTCTAGAGCCTCAGCTATAGCCTGAGGAGCTCAATGCTGCCGCAGATTAGTGTGCATGCAAGATCCACGATCCTTTTCCGCAACTTGACACCACGACTCCTTGATGAAGTTGATCTGGGCTGATGCGCCCAGCGGAAACTAGACCACAACTGGCACCGGTGTCAATCTTGATTTTCTCCTAGTGGCGGGAGGATGGACCCGCACGAATCGTCCGATCTGCCTATCGCACGGTTCCCGTCGCGCACAATGGACATCACCAGGAACATCCAGGATACTGGCAACTCTTGCTTTCACTAAGGGGTGCTTTCACTAAGATACAAGAGCCCCGGGCACCTCAACTAAAAACCCTAACCTAAATAATGACCCGCTCCGCACCCTTAACCACCCTAACCCCCAAACAAACCCCACCCGTCTCCCGGGTGCCTGTCTTAGTGAAAGCACCCCTTAGTGAAAGCAAGTTTTGCCAGAGTACATCCAGGAACATCGGACCGTCCGATATCGCAAGTCAATCTGGTGACTGGACGCGAAACAGGCGGCGGTTTGGGCATTTGGTTCACCCAAGTGGAAAGCGGCGAGTCCCTAGGACTACACTCGAGCATCAAATTGCGTTGAAATACAAAAGCCCCGGGAACCAAAACCGAAGCTCTTAACCCAATACTGTAAGCGCTCGGCACCCGCATTCACTAACCCTTCGAATAAACGCAATTGTCCTCCGGGTGCATAGGGGGTTCATAACATCGTGCATTCGGCTGTTCAATTGCAAGCCACCTGTGTTGAGTCTCAGCTCCCTCTGTAAAATCAGACTTGCAGCCAATTCCTTCGTGAGGCTAAAGACGCTGGTGAGACAATAGCTGTGGTTGTAGCTGCAACTTCCGACAGCGGAGGACGGTGCCTGCGAAGCATTTTTGGCAGCCTTTAAGCTGGCCAGCTACGATAGCGTCAGGGCTTCATCACGCGAAAAACAGAGAGTGTGGCAGATTCTGGCTTGTTGCAGAGCTCTCGCAATAAGGCGCGTTTACTTTGACATAGAAGATCCAACATGCAGCTGTACGGATATGATGACACACCATTTTGCTGCTCAACTTGGTCCTCAACTTTGGAGAGATTCTTGTCTGCTGAGTCGTCTCTTTTAAGAGAGAGAGTTGATCAATGTTGACCTTCTTGATAGAAAAACCGAAGGGAGAGAGAGGAGACTTGCAAGCTGGTTGCTTCACCTTGTTCAACTGTAGCTTCTTTTGCCGAGTGATTCCGCATGGTCAATGCTGCGTGATCAAATTAATGCAGCAAGATCCAAACAAATGCAGCTTTGTTCTTGGAAGAAAGGAAGGAGGGAGGTATGTCAGGACGGCTGAGCTGGCTGAGTGTACAGAGCTTCGGGGCCTGCACATCGCGTGCCTTTTGAGGAGAGAGAGATCGTGCTCATACCAGCACAAGTGATCTAGGTATGCTCAGTTGCTCCATTTTGATGACATTGCTTGAGCTAAAATACCAAGTGACGTTGATCAATCAATTGCTAAAGAGGTGTGTAAAGCATAGCTCGGGAACCGAGGTTGTAGCCTATTCTGGACATCTGAATGTCCCAACCTTTCAACAACTCTGCATCATTAATAGCGAGGGCATAGGTCATAATGCTGCCAGTCTCTGATCACTGCTGAGAAAGGATGTGCAACATTCTGATGAGCCAGGGATGGGGTCGTAATCCAACTGCAGATACACGAGCTTTGTGCATGACCTTGCACTCACCTATCTTCAAACCTCACAACCTGTATTGTGAGAGCCTGACCGAGAAGGTTAGAATAAGATTATACAAAAAAGAAACCGGTGATTAGAATCAACACTCAATTGACCTGCTCAAGAGCAATCTGGAACTTTAGAATCATATTCGACGATTGCCAGGGTCTGAGAGTCACGCTTTGCATCTTAGCCCCGCTGGTTGAAGGTTCTAGACCTTAGCCGAGCCAGCAGCGTTTGCCCCAGAGGTTTGTTTGGCAGTGCTACGAGGCACTTCGATCTTCAAAAGTAGTCCGAGCTTGTCCACTGGCAAAAGCAATGGGAAGGTCAGAGCCAAAGTAAAGGTCATGTGCAGCTACAGATTTTGAAAGGTCCCAGACGTCAGTATGCTCTCCTTTTGAAAATACAGGGAGCATTGAATTGGCTACTAATCGTTCAGCTCTGGTTGTTCTCAAGCTCTGATTGTTGAGTGACTCGCAAGGACCTGTGCTGGAGTCCTTATAGGGGAACGCCTTTACTGAAAGAACTTCTTTTTGGAATGCTTCATTGATGCCCTCATCTGTCTGCCTCTGCAGGTACTGTTTCTCCTCTCTCTTGATGTCAGCCAGTCCTCCATGACGTCAAGCAGTTTCCCTTCACACGCTCGACGCACTTGAGCTCTTGATTTGAGCTGACGAGCGCTCTAGCTCCAAAGCGTGGGTCAAGTTGACCACCAAACAGGGGTTTGACAGAGATTAAGTCAAGATGGAGGCCCTTCTAAACGACGAGTCACGGAGCCAGGGGAACAACCACTCCCCCCTACAGCAGGAGGGTTCCGATAACCTGTACTCGGGTTTCATTGACCGGTTCCCGTCATTTGACTCGATGTTTGGTCCGAAGCAGCGGCGAGACTCGCCGCAGAGCTCAGACGCTTATACACAGCGGGAAAACGAGCGCTTATCAAGGGCCAGAATCGAAGCAGAGGAGATCGAACGGCTGAGGAAGGGCGCGCTGAGCCCGCTCAAGGGTGCGCGCGCAAAGATGGAAGATGAGATGGATGCGCAGATTAGAGGGGGGGACAGGAGGAACGGGGCTGCGCTAACCCGCGCGCTTAACCTCTCACGGTTAGGAGCCCCCCAGCAGAACTGGGCCCCCGTGAAGGACGAGTTCAACCAGCGCGGGTTAATGAAACCGGCGGAGGATAACCAGGAGAAAGAAGCGGAGAACGGGGACATGGGATTCGTGGACAAGGAAGTGACCACGTGGTACTCCGTGAGCAACCGGCAGGCGGTCGGGGCGGGCGACTATGCCACGTCAGCAGCGCTGATCATGCAGCAGAAGCTGTGGGAAGCGATGCAGGAGATCCAGAGGTTGACGGAGGAGGGGCAGGCGCGGGAGAAGCTGTGCGCGAAACTGCTGCAGCAGAACGCGTTCCTGCAGGCGCAGATCAAGCAGGTGCGCTTGATCTCATTTTCTTGCGCTTCCAACCGTTTTTGCTGCTTGTCCTATTCTCGTTCAGGCCCATGATAGAAACAGAGGACGCTTCGCGCGCTTTCTGTCTCTCCTTTCATTCTGTGTTCCTTTCGTTCTCTTTTCCTGGGAAGTTCTAGCTGTCTGAGTTGCGCAGCCACTACTGCATCCTCGTCCTTGCCTGCCCTGCTCGCAAGTATCTCCTCAAAATCGCCGTGGTTGGCTAAAGCCTCGAAAGCAAGTCACCACATTTTCAGATACGCCCCGCAAATTTGCATTTCGCGGAAGCCATTTTCATAAAGCCAGGGTACGTTGGCGTCCACTCAGGAACATTTCCCCTAGCTAACAAAATGTTTCCGCTGCTGTCAGTACCAAGACTGGTCAGGTCTCCCGGCCGCGGATCGCACCCGGTGGAAGAGCCCCGAGCCGTTTGCCCAGCCTACTCACTACAAGAACGAGCCGAGGAGCCCGTCCCTGGCCCCGGTGGATGTTCCCCCGGTCGGCAACCGCCCGGGGGGGCACCAGGCGGGGGGCGCCTTGTTTGAGAGAACGACGCTCGGGGCACTGTCGCCGCACCGGCCGCTCAGCCCTCAGTGTATGCGAGGTGGGAGTGGTCATCATTTGAATCGCTAGGAGTTGATGGGATTGAACAGTCTTTTCTAGGTTTTCACTGCAACTTTGCCAATAGTGTCTTTTCGACTTCGTCAGATCGGTGTGTTGTGAACCATCTTTTTCCACAAAGTCTGTAGTACCCATCTGACCGTCAAAATTCTGATTCATGTCGCACAGTCTGTTTCATTGAAGGTTCTCGCGAATACATTTTCTCATCCAAACGCAGGGAAAGAGTGGCTTTCAGACTAGAACACTTTCTTGCGCGCTGCCTCTCCGTTCAGAACTTGACAAAGAACAAGCGGAGCAAAATGCAAAAGTATTTCATTGCGCCTTTGTGCAGCAGATCCGCTGAACCTCGCGGTCAAGCCCGAGGCGGAACGCGCGGTGGGGCATATCCCGGACATGGAGAACCTGCAGAAGGTGATGCAGGAGAATGCCGAGAAGAGCGCTAAAGTCGCCCTCGTCATGAAGTCCAATGCCATTACGGTGCGTACCGCTTTTCCGATCTTCCACTTCATCTTGTCCCATGTCGTAACCTTCCCTGTCTCTTTCTCCCTTTTTCTTTGCCTGTACCCTCCTCTCAAAGATCAAATAGGCGCCAATGTCGCGCCGTTATGACAGTCCAAGCACCTTACGCACCGCTTCTCATCCTTCTGCTTGATTATGCACCATTCAACAGCTTCAAATCCAACTCAACCAGAGATTGATTTGAACTCCACCTCTTTGACGGCAACTGGCACAAGTATGGCCGGATGCATGCCACTCACTGTCACGTCCTACCAGGATTTCTCGACGTCGAAAGAAAAGAATGCTTTTCAAACCTGCAGATCTTCGACGGCTGCAACTGGCGCAAGTACGGCCAGAAGATCGCCAAGGGCAACCCGTGTCCGAGGGCGTACTACAGGTGTACGCAAGCCGCGGGCTGCCCCGTCCGGAAACAGGTAAGCCAATACGTTATAGGTACCATACATAAAAGGAGTTCCAACTGATTGAGCCGTTTATGGTCTTGAGCCGAACCTTTGAGGCCTCACATCCAAAGCAAGTCTCGAATATGGATTCATTAGAGCAAGGAGGTCTCGAAGACGGTTTCGTATCGGGCGACCGACTCTGCTGAATATCACAAAAGTTCTTCTGAGGAGCCGCGGCCGTATTGACGCAAGAAAATACGCAAGGAAATCCTGTTGTCAATCATACCACCCACGTAAAGGCTAAGAAGTAAGTAGAACCGGTTCTGATTGGACCTGGAAGACTCTGAAATTCATAAGCACGACCCTAGAAAAGAGAGGACCTGGAAAGCCTAAACTTTACACAGGACCCTATAAAATAGAGAAGGGAACAAGCTTATAGACCTTGAATCAAAGTGGTCAAACATATTACAGGTCCAGCGGTCTGCTGACGACCCGAGCGTGCTGGTGGTGACGTATGAGCACATGCACAACCACCCGCTCTCCTCGGCGGCGGCGCCCATGGCGGAGGCCACGTCATCGCTGGCGTCATCCTACCTGTGCAACGTCACCAGCAGCAACCCCAACGCGTCGGCGTTTGCGGGGGTCACGGCGAGTGTGGACGAGGGGCACGGTAAGTGGTCTCTGTTGTTAGAATATGTTACTAATCAATTTGGAAATTTATTTATCCCATCAGTAGAACATCTGACAGTCTTTCAGCCAGAAAATTCACATCCCGCCCCAAAGACGTAAGAAAAATTGTTGCAACTATTGGAAATTGCAGAATGAAAATGGAGGGGTAGATCACAGGAGACGTATTGAAGAGGCGTATGTATATGGAGAGGGAGCCACAGAATGCGCTCAGCATGGATGTAACGGATGCTGCTTCAAAATGGCGAGGTTTTTGAAATAGATCTCGTTATTTTCTCATTCAATAGATTGGATTGGGAGGCCTCTGATAAAGATCTCCGCGCTCTATTCTACATTATGACTCCTACTGATCGCAGCGAGATCAATAACATTTGTAGTCGCGGACTTGAGAACGCTTAAAGGTTTCTGCAAAAGCGTCTTTTCTGTTCGAAAGGTTCTACAAGGAGGAGGTAAGGAGGAAGCGTTCATGAAGAGAGAGCTTTCTACCAACACGCCAGGACCCCTTACCCGAAAACAGCTCGTGCGCTGTGTAAGGTAGATACTGATTTGGAGAAAGCCAAACAATCGTTCGCTCATCTTCGTTCTTTTTACGTGCAGCTTCGAGCAACTACGCCCCGAACGCCAACATCCCCACTATCACTGTCGACACGATCAACCAGGCCGGCTCCGAGTGGGCCCTGCGCATCGCGGCCGCGCGCGCGTCCGCCGCGCTCCCGAACGGCGGCGCCAAGGGCGAAACCCTAAACCCACAGGCGAAGGGCGCGCCGTCGCGCGCGGGCGTTTTCTCAACCGTCGAGAGCGTGCTCAAGCAGCAGGTGAAGCGCGCGCAGGCCGCGGCCCCCAAGGACCCTGCCGAACCCCTAAACCCCCGCGCGAAGTCCCTTTCCGGCGAGAAGGCGCAGCGGACGTCTTCCGGCGAGAAGAAACCGAAGAAGAAGGCCAGCAGCGACTCGAAGGGGAAAGCGCCTCTGACCCTGCCGGTCAAAGCAGAACTCATGGCCGACGCACAAACCCCGCGCTTCGTCCAAACCCTCAAAACCCCGCGCTCCGCGGCCGCGAGCACGACCACGACGCCCTTCCCCCCGGCCAGCCCCGCCGTCGACGCGCCGGCGGGCGCGAGCCTGCTGACGTCACTCCAGACCATCACAGAGCGGCTGCAGGAGCTTCCGGGCGACGAAAAACCCTCCGGGATTTTGGAGAAGCTGCCGACGCGCGGCGCGAAGAAGCGCTCGCGCAGCCGCACCGTGTCGGCGGACACGTCAGTCCCGGTGGTGCCGTCCACGACGGACGACGGCGCGCGTGCGAGCGCGCACGGCGCGGCCGCATTCGAGGCGAGCGAGCGCGGCGACCAGGCGGTCCCCGAGCCGCCGCGAAGCCTCCAACTCCTGCGGACGTCGAGCCGGACGTCCAGCGACAATCTGCTGCACGCGCTGCTAAGTGGGGCAAAATATACGCCTGGGCCGTCCCCCCAGAACAGCTGTCTGCAGGAGCAAGGGCTGTCGACGCTCATGGGATCAGGTCGGTGAAAGCTACCGGCCGTCGTTTCTGATATTCGTGATGTCAAGTAGAATTGGTTCTGCCAGATTGTCGAAGTGGATCAGTAGTGTGGGATCTATTCCGCAGTGGAAGAAAACGAAAACGTCATTTGTGCTGCTGCAAAACTCTCCAATTGCTTGGCTCTTCGAAGGCACGTTTTCGCGAAGCTTTTCCGCTTTCAGTCTCCTCACTTTTTTCCTTTAGACGTTGCTATCTTCAATGCCATCTCTGTAACATCTTCCCAGCTTGTTGGATTGTACAGCTCCCTAATGATGAGACGGTGATTAAACTTCGGCTGCCCGCTTTGTCGCAACGCCCGGCAGAACCTCGAACGGTAGCGTTCTGAGTTTTAAGTCGCTCTGAGCATCAAGGATAATAGAGAATTCAAACAGTCTTGCAGTCTTTGCTTCCCTGTACCTGCTCGCATGGCGCACCTCGCCAGCGCCTAAGAAGCAGACAATCTTTCACAAACCGTCCGCATATTTGTGCTCAACATACCCCCCCTCAAGATTCCAACGGTCTTCCTCCTTCTACATCCACAGGGCTGTCGAGCTTCGGCCTCTTCGCGGCGGCCCGTTCAGGAGTGAAAGAGACTGACCATGACGCCGACGAGGTGCAAAGCCCGCGCCGAAGCGACGGGGGCGCGCCCGACGGCGACGCGGCCGCCAAGCCGCAAACCTCCAGGGTCGCCCGGCCGTGGCCGAGCTATTTCCAGCCGGGGGGATCCACCGTGAAGTAAGAAATCAGCTGTTGCAGAATCATTGCAAAAGCGAGGAAATGAGACTCGCCAGTCCTGTATTCGATGCAATCGCTGAAAGTAAGCGAATTACCACAGCGACGCTTGAGGCCAGCCGTCGTAACTTTAGCAGATGCACTTCGAGAATGACTTAAGAACAGGGTATTGTTTAACACAAAGGTGAAGAATGTTTCTGAGAAATAGTTTAAGAACAGATTTGTCGCGCCGAAAAGTGAGTGTCTGCTTCAAATTCTCCTTCATTTATAGCATCCGCTAACAGTCTAGACCTTGGCTTTTCTTGCTTGTCTGCTACCTTTGCCCATACCCTTGCATTTCTTTTACCCGGATCTAAGAGGGTGACCTTTTTCTTTTCAGGGGCGACAAGCCGACCGACGCAAGCCCCGAGCAGTCGCCCCTCCCCTGGGCGTCCTTTCACCCTTTCGGCCTTCTCTCATCGACATACAACAGCTACGGAACCAACTTTACCCCGGGGCCATTTACCGGCGGCTTCGGCGCGCATTTCAGTAATCGGGGGAACATTTTCCCTTTCGGCCCGACCCCGGAGATGAGAGACGAGAAAACCCCGGGCGCGAGCGCGCGCGAGGAAACGGCGGCCGCGGGGGGCGACGTGCGTGGCCGGCCGCGGTCGCTGTCCCTGAACCTGGGCCCCGTGTCGCCCCCGATGGTTTCGAAGTCGAACGGGGATCCCGCGAGGACGCTAGAGCACCAGTTCGACGGCGACGACTCTCCGCTGGCGCTGGTTCGGAGGAGCCCGGAGAACAACTTCACGGGGCTGTTGACGGCGGTGGAGTCGCCAGCCAACGAAGAACTAGTGCGGGAAAGGAAGCGCGCGAGAGTCGCGTCGCCTGGTGTAGAGGTGGGAGACCGGGAAAAGGTGGTTGTTTTGGATCAGGAGAAGCGACCGGGAAATGCACAACCGGGACCCGCAGGGACCGTCGGTGGAGAGCTTCCGACGTTCAACCTGATGGGCGCTGCGATTACGCACGGACGAATCGAGGTAAAGACTGTTGAGAATGCTCGGCTTGCATTGGAACAGTTCTTGACGGCTATCCGGGACACCGGGCTTGAAAAGTAATAGAGGGGAGGCATCGAGATTCGGCTGCAGCTTTCATACAAGATGATCATATACTGAGATACTGAAGCTGTGCCTTTCAGTTTCTCGAGAAGCTACGGAAGTCTGACGAACAGCGAGATTTATCGCTTCTGAAGCAGCGCCTAAATCCTCGGGTCAGTTCCGGTCGATCAACGGCGTACTTGTCTCAATTATGGTATGTTCGGGCATACCACTCTCAGACGTATGGTTACTACACCTCTCTAAAACTTCTCAAAGAGAAATGCGGACTGAACATCGTCACATTATTTGTTCAATGCAGGGAGCCGCCCGCATAGAGTCAACGTAGAAGCAACTTCGAAAAGATGGAAGACGGAAGCAAGTTGTAATCTGCTTCCGACCCGCACATGGACTTAGGCGCTACTGGGATATTCGCAACACCGCGCAGCAACGTCGGTCCCGAATTGGTCACAATCTCGGTGGTCATGATCTCCGTGACCACTGATCATATCCTCGACAGCTCCAATTAGTTTCAAACAGCAAGATGACCAAGATAAGAGTAGACTGGCCCATTAGGTTTGATTGGCAAAGTTGCGAGGGCAAAACAGAATCAAAGGACGGTTTACATTTTCTGCTTAACGACAGCTATTGAGGGAAACGGGAGCAGCTACTAGGTGCAACTCGTAAGGTGCATTTGCGTGCGGATAGGTATCAAAAAGTACTAGAACGATCAGTCGAGGTCAGACTCAGGTCTGACCGTGTCAGCAATCTAGGGTAGAATTCTACAGCACTTCACTGGAACACCAAGATACTAAGCTATTACGTCCAAACGGACGGTTAGTTCAGCCTCTGACGAACATTGAACAGTGCACGCTTAAGTGCACCGCGGCTGTGTACACACGCTGACCTCAAAACACTGAGGAATATGCTCATGGCTTTGATTTTTATTCAACCTGTAACAGTTCCTTACGATGGCCGAGAGAATTTGTACACCATTGTCTTGAATGGTCCATTGCTGAGTGCCTTGAGGCGATACGATCAGTTTGCCACAGTATTACTCGCTTTTATCCTCTATTCGTCTTGCATGATCTAGGACGGTGCAGTCCCTCGTCATTGACTCGGACTTACCTCGATCCTTATTTAGGCAAGCAGTGACTGAGTTCTTCTATGAAAGGCGTTTCGCTCCTCGTTTAGCCTCGTATTTGGACATAATGATGCACTGAGTGCACGGCCCGCCAAAATCCGATTAATCGGGGCCTAAGGACGACTCCAGGTCAGTACACAACCCCTCTCCAGGATGTACTTCAGATGATCTCGAATGGATAAAGGTGCGCAAGAGAATATCAGGTGTGGGCCAGCTTGACGCGTGCACATAAATAGCGCTGCAGCCCTTTGCTATGTGCTGCCAACATTTCACAATGCCTGCAAGTCGATACGACCCAGCAAAGTTCAAATTGCGGGATTGCGTTGACCAACGCGTGTAAACTTCAGCGCTAGTTGAGCTTTAGGTTAATGCATTGAGGTTCTGGCACGTCACCACGGTAGTTAGCGCCGGGCCCGCGTGCCGCGCATGCAGTGCCTCCAGGGTCTGCAGGGGCCGCGCTCCGTTCCGGCCTCCTTTCAAATTCTTCCGCCGAGGTTCAGCTGAGTTCAGCTCCACAGGATAGAGATAAACAAATCTGAGCCGTTCATCGGGCAAGCCACAGGCTCGCCGCTAAATAGACGGCGGTTGTCGCGAGGCCGAGGTTGTTGCGTAGGGAAAACTGACTCCGAGCTAAGTTATCGATCTTTTTTTTTTTTTTTTTTTTTTTTTTTTTTT